TGGTTGGGCCCAGAGTAGGGCATTGATGTGTTGGTCTTTTCTTTCTTGTTTGGGCTTTGGCCCGCTTGTTAACAACAACAAAAAAAGTTTAGTGGGTGAAAGCATTAGTCAATAGGTCACATAAAAATAGAGTCGAATCTGATTTACTAAACTTTTTTCTTCAACTCTGAGGAATGCTGCAAACCCCAATGAGGCAATGACTAAAAGTTGTATAGCTGATTTGTTTTCTTGTAACTTATTCTAGGTACGTCAATCGTGCACTCTATCTTTTGCACCTAACATGCGGACCGTCTCATCCAAACACGGCTGCCACCTATATTAATGTAGCAATGATGGAAGAAGGTTTGGGGAATGTCCATGTTGCTCTTCGGTACCTCCATGAAGCTCTAAAGTGCAATCAAAGGCTCCTTGGAGCTGATCATATACAGGTCTCTCTCTCTCTCTCTCTTTCAACAAGATGAGATTATGTTGGTAGTTCTGTGATGTTTGCATGAACAGAAATAATGGAGTTAGACCACGATAGTAGGAAAACAATGGAGTTGGACCATGGCTTTAACAAGGAAAACAATGAGTAGAAACTGTTTTTTCCCTGCTGATTCATAGATTGTCCAGTGTCACTATCTTCTATGGATTTGACACTGTGCTTATCTAACTTCGATGCTGTTATCTGATTTAAATTTTATTGTTGAGGCTTTTATTGATCAAACTAAAGTTGGTTAAGCATGTTGACCAAAAAAGAAAGTAGGTTAAGCATTGGGTTGGAGCTTGCACTAGAAGAAACTTGGGCAAGTCTCCAACCTTTCAAACCTTCATTGAACAATCTTAATAATCTGAGAAACTAAAATATGAAATTGCATGAAATTAGAGGGGTTGTATCTCTGTCTCTCTCTCTCTCTCTCTCTCTCTCTCTCTCAGTTCTTCAAGATATCTTTGATAATTGGTCAAACATTACCCAAGGGATTCATTGTTGTTCCATTCTGCTTCTACTTTGCGCATGAGCATCCTTGCTCACATTTGTTTGTATTTATTAACTTGCGCTATGACGAATTGGTGTTTAACTCGTATTTCTCTTGACTTCAGACTGCTGCTAGCTATCATGCCATTGCTATCGCACTTTCTTTGATGGAAGCTTACACATTGAGCGTTCAGCATGAACAAACTACCTTACAGATACTGCAGGCAAAGCTTGGGCCCGAGGATCTACGCACACAGGTAATATTAGTTTTAATAGTTTTTAATTGATTCTCATATAATTTGGTGAACCTTTCTTATTTACACACACAGCCACACTATAATGTGATGATCCATATTTATTTTTATATACTGATATTTTAGGATGCGGCTGCATGGCTTGAGTATTTCGAGTCCAAGGCTTTGGAGCAGCAAGAAGCTGCACGTAATGGTACTCCAAAGCCAGATGCCTCAATCTCCAGCAAAGGTCATTTAAGGTAACTTAAAAAAAGTCAGAATCATGCTACAAGTAATATTTTCACCTTTGGCACTCTGGTTTAAGTATTGAGGTCCATGCATTGCTGATTAGGACATACTTAATCCATAATTTTGTTTCATGGGTTCTTGTGTTTTTGTACTCTGTACTTGTGAAAAACTTGTCCTCTTGGTTTTTTTATCATGTCATTGTCATTCCTTTGCTCCTTGTCATTCTTGTTTGTGAACCAAATACCTCTAAATGGATATTACAAGTTAATCTGAGTTCGTGTACAAGATTTGTTTGGTATAATTTGATAGCTTGTGTCTCTTAATTCCATAGAAGTTGGTCAGGGTTGCAAGTACAAGATTCATTTGGTATAATTTGATGGATTTTCTCTGAATTCCATGCGATATCAACATTTACACGCAATATGATTTTTCTTTCTTTGATCAGTGTATCAGACCTTTTGGATTATATAACACCAGATTCTGATATGAAAGCAAGGGAGGCCCAAGGAAAGCTCGTGCAAAGGTCATAATTTCCTAACCTGCCTGGGATTTTAGTCTCTTATGTTTGCCCCTTTTTTATTCTTCTTTTTTTCTTTTGTTTCCTGATAAGTTCTCTTTACAATGCAGGTCAAAGGAAAACCAGGACAAAACTGGGAGGTAGGCTCAGATGAGTACCAGAAGGATGAAATATTGTTACCAAGTCATCCTGTTGCAGAGAATTCAAGTGATAAAGAGAACCAGTCTGAACCTCAATTTGCAGAACCTAGGAATGAGAAATCTGCTTCAAACCTACTGGATCAATCAATAATATTCAATACAAAAGATGATCTAGCAGAAGATGACACATCTGATGAAGGTTGGCAAGAAGCTGTTCCTAAAGGCCGTTCACCTATGGGTCGCAAATCTACTGTGTCGAGGAGGCCAAGCCTCGAAAAATTGAATACTAACTTTATAAATGCATCCCAGTCATCAAGATACCGAGGAAAGCCCAATAATTTCACATCCCCAAAAACGAGCCCAAATGAGGCTGCTGCTTCTACTGGACCTGCTCTTCCTATCTCAAAGAAATATGTCAAGAGTGCAAGCTTCAACCTTAAGCCAAACAACTCTAGCATATCAGCTAGTGGAGGACCAGAGAGACTGTCAAACCCAAAGTCAGCCCCAGCTACCCCAGCTTCTATCGATCAAGTTTCCAAGTCTGCTTCTGTGGCAAGTCCAATCAGTGTTCAGTCAGCTGGAAAACTTTTTTCCTACAAAGAAGTTGCGTTGGCTCCTCCTGGGACAATTGTGAAAGCAGTGGCAGAACAGTTACCAAAAGGAAGTCTCCCTATTGTACAAACTTCTCAGGTGGGACAGGAGACACCTGCTACCGATGTCATTATGGGTGAAGTGACGACAGTGAAAGATGTGGAGGAAGATAAAAATCAGAAACGCACGGGAGAGAAACAGGTTTTGGCTTCTGAGAAAATCCCAGTTGATGTAGTACAAACAAAAGTGCAGAGTTCTGCGGTGAAGGAATCTCTGGAAGTTGTAAAGCATGCTAGTGTTGGAGTACAAGTGGAAGCTGAGATCATAGAATGGAAAAACACTGTTTTTGAAGATGCCCAAGTAGAAAATGTAGCAGTCGCAAATTCGAAAGTTGAGAATTCTGAGACTTCCCAAGGTCCAAATACTACTCTGGAAAGTGGGCGGTTGGAAGCACCAGTGCTACACAGTTTCCCTGATTCAGAGCCTTCATCTGTTCTAGCTGAAAACACAGCTCAGTTGCTGGATAAAAATCCTATTAATTCGAAAATAAAGGTGGAAGGAGATAGAAAGCCAGATGATATACCCACTGATGACATAGTTAAGCCAGCGCCAACTGATGGAGAGAAGTTAGATGAACAAGAATCTGGAAAGGAGTCAACCAAGAAACTTTCTGCAGCTGCACCTCCATTCAATCCATCCCTAATTCCAGTTTTTGGCTCAGTTCCAGTTGCAGGTTTCAAGGATCATGGAGGGATTTTGCCCCCACCAGTAAATATTCCTCCTATGCTTGCAGTTAGTCCTGTCCGTAGATCACCTCATCAGTCAGCAACAGCAAGGGTTCCATATGGTCCACGGTTGTCTGGTGGATATAACAGATCTGGAAGTCGGGTTTCACGTAATAAACATAACTTTCAAAACGGTGAACACACAGGGGATGGGAATCACTTCAGCCCTCCCAGAATCATGAACCCACATGCGGCGGAATTTGTACCTGGACAACCATGGGTTCCCAATGGTTATCCAGTGTCCCCAAATGGTTATCCCATGTCCCCAAATAGTATACCTGTATCACCAAATGGATATCCAGCATCACCGAATGATATTCCAGTGAATCAAAGCGGGTTTCCAACCTCTCCAATTAGTTCAGAAGATTCCTCGAATGTTGTAAATGCTGACCTTGGTGTTGAAACAAATATTGAAGGCGAAGCGAAGGAGAATGATGAGAATTCTTCAGTAGAAGTTGGCGCTGAGAAGCATAAAATCGACGGAGAGCTGCAGGAAGAACAGTCTGTAGATAATGTAAAGACGCATCCTGAAATTGAAGAAAATCCTATTGATACAGATACAGTTCCTGGTGATACGGTTGTAGCAAAGGACACTAGCAATTTAGCCGTCGAGGAAAACCCAAGCAAATGCTGGGGAGATTATAGCGACAGTGAAGCTGAGGTCATTGAGGTTGCTAGTTGAAGAAGGATCTCGAACTTTTCATATACCAACTGGTCACAGCCTAGGGTTGGGGCGGAAGAAACAACAGATGGTTGTCAGCTCTTGAGTGAATAAATTTTCCCGTGAAGCCTGTGGTATAACTAACTAGAATCCTGTAGAGTGTGAAGACTTTCTGATACAGTTGTCTTTGCTGCAGCTTGAAATGAGAATTTGACATTAGAATTGAGTTGATAGAATGGCATGCGAAAGAAATATGCCATCACTGCGGAAGTATTTGTTGAGTAATTCATCGGTGGGTCGTATTCTTTTCTTGTTCAATTATTACCTTTTTTTCTCATTCTGATATAACTGTTGTTGGCTGCCAAGTGAAAACGAAAGAATAGAACCTTAGCTGTGAATTCTTAAGATCATGCACTCTCAGGGGTGATGATTGCTTGGAAGTTCTAAGACAATAAAGTTCAAATTCTCCTCTGCATTAATATTTTTGAGATATCTCAGATTTCCTGATTTTGACTTATTTATTTATTCAATCTCATAACCTAGTTGCTGATATGAACGTTTTCTTTTGATGGTTATTTACTTGAAATTTTTACTCCATTGAAATCCAAACATCATGGAAACCAACTAGTGGTGATACGAAATGATATCACCAGTTCTTAATATGGTAGAATCAATTATGGTGTAACTGATAGAAGTCTACAAATACAACATTTTCGGTACACATACGAAGACAAGCTTTTCGTTTTAGGCAGAGTTTTACAACACAAGCTGAACAACAAGACAATACAAAAACCTGGTGCCAGAATGATTGAAACCCTCACCAGTGTGATGCCTAAGCTAACACTGCTAAACGTGTGACCGGAATGCGCCTAATATCCACAGGTTGGTGATCCCCGGCGAAAATCCATAACAACCAGTGTGGCAGCGCTGTGTGCAAGTGCGCCGAGGACAACAAAGACATGGAAGATCTGATGGCTGTGCCCTGCAAGATCAAATTTACCAGGCTTCCAGCGTTCTGGTATCCGACTAACGTAGAATGCAGCTCCTGAAGCATAAAAAATAGCCATAGCAAGCTCATATCCCAAAGCAACAAATATATGTTGGTTGCCCCAGTAGAGAACTAGGGCATGAACTACCGGAATCACCCCGGAGAAGCCCATGGAGAGAAAAAGGGTAGCCCTGAATGACCGGAAACGGGGTGCAGAGAGACTAGGCGAAAGAAGGGTAATGATGGCAAGGATTCCAAGCACAGATATTGAAGAAAGATAGAAAAACCGAGAGTATGGATTGCAGGAGAAGCAATAGTAAATGGGAGCAAAGAAGGAACAGACTATCATAAGCGAAATCCCGGCATAGTCTAGGCGCCAGAAGAAAAAATTGAAGCGTTTGGAGTGACAAGCAAGGAGGTGGGAGAGGGAGCTGCAAACTAAGCACCCCATAGCCCCACTTAAGAACACAAACCAAGGCCATCTTGGAATAGCATCATAACCATCTTCCTTGTTTGCATGAATTATTGATGATGCCTGTGAAATTTGCCTCAAATGTGAATCCTGCACACGAACATAGATATCAAGGTGCAAATATTTTGTTGGATGCAACAATCCATTCATAATTATCGATTAACAAGGAACTTATAACTCAAATGTAACGAGCATTTATCCCTGCACGTGATCCTAAGTCCGTTCCTAGCCTTCTCCAATAACGCTTGTATAAAAAGAAATTTACTTCAGTAAATATCCCGAAAAGGTCTCCGTATGCACGTGAAGGACTGCATATATCCGGGACCCATAGGTCAGGTGGCCCACCAAGCTAATGCGGCCCAAAATGTGTGGGACCCCACACGCAAAACCCATCCTCCTATTATTTATTTATTTGATTCCGCGACCGCGTGACAGAAGGTACTCCAAAATTTTAAATTACAAAAATATAAATATAAATTCGTAAAAACGTAAAACTGACCGGAGGAGGAAACTGTACATTCTGAGTAGAGGAGACGTTAAGGTCCGTCATCTTCATCATGGTCATCATCATCAACGGTCCAGAAACCGAAGCCCTACTTTTCCAGCATTACACAAGCCAAGCAATAATGAGCCGAAAGTACGAAAATACCCACTAAGAAAAACGTGAATGGCAAGCAAGTCCTAGTGTTTTCCTAGCCTTTTCACCTGGAGAAATTGCCGAGCAGACCTCCGAGCTCCGTGTCGTCCCTCAAGCTCATCACCGTTAGTCCCACGAATATCAAGAACCCCACCAAATGCCTGCACCGTTAGTTGATTATCAATTAATTACTGAAATTAATTGAAGAAATGAGATTAAGGAGTTAATTAATCTCACTCACGTCCAGATGTTGAGGGTTTCGTTGTGCCAGGTGAAGACGCTGAAGACGACGTCGTTCAATGGCCACTCGCACCTGTAATAGTCCAATATGAACTCGTTGTCCTTCATGTACTGCGGAAGGTCCTGGAACTTCATCAACGTCATCTTCTTCTTAACACTCTTCACCTTCTGTTGCTTCGTCGTCGTCTCCGACTCCTCTCGCTTCCCGTGGTTGCACATCTTTCTTCGCGGTTCGCCGGGAAACTCCTTTCTCCGGCAAACCTTCAGGCAGATCTGGACCGTCCGATTTCCTAATCACTGATCAGACAAGTCTCTTTCTTTCTTTCTCTGTTTCCTTCCAATTTGTGGTCTCTCTGTTTTCTTATTTATATACACACACACCACGACGACGGCGTGTTTTTTCTTTTTAATTTTGAATTGTCAGCGACTGCTTTTTACACGTGTCGGTGAGTCATTGGATAAAAAACAGAGAAAGCCAAAGGAGTTGAGCTATGGAGATATGGAGGTGGGGGCACTGGATTCCTGCTCGCAGGACTCTTGGCTTATCTGGAATTTATTCCATTCGAAGATTCAAATTTGGCGGAAGGTGAGAAACGTAATTTGGGTGATGGGTATATATTCGCTTATTTAAGGATAAAACGCGCCCTTTGGTCTTTCTAGCACAGTGGCGCACTTGTGGGCCCGGTTTGAGTCTTGGGACACGTGTATGAATATTCTCCAATCAGCTCACCCATCTTTCTTGCATGTTATTGCTTTCTGGGTTTTTTTTTTGGGGTTGGCAATGGGAGTTAACCTAAGTTAATTAGTAGTGGAGTTGTTGAGCAGGATCTCATCCGGTAGACACAAGATTAATTTAGTTCATCCTTTAGAGCATGTCCATCCCAAAAGTCTAAGGATAAGGTAAAGGCAAAGCAAGGGCTGCTACTATTCACGTAAATAGTGGCAGCCTTATCTTTTTTGGTTCCACCCCAAAAGGCTAGGGCATGGGCAAGAAAAAAAAAAGAATATGCAACAAAATATAAACTTGTTATGTATTTAAAGGGGAAGTGAATAAAATTGTCATGTATTTATAAGGTAAACATCCATAATTTTTTTAAAAAAAAATTGATTTTTTTTTTTCCAATTTTTTTGAATTTTTTTTACTTACTGATGTCAGCGTGACATCACTGCTGACGTCAGCGCCTTTGGGTTGAAGCATAGGCAAGATCTGCCCTTGGGCTTGCCCGAGCTGCTTCTTCTGCGTTAGAGGTCCAAAACCCATTAAAGGGGCCTTTAGCCAGGACAAGAGGCCCTGCGCTGGAGGTGCTCCTAAGAAAACCACCATGGCATTCCATCTTTTGATGATGTTGTTGCTTTCTTCACTAGTAGTCACTAGTGGCATATTTATTACTTAAATGTGCATTGTCTTAACGAGACAAAATTCTCCTTAACGGTGAGAAAATTGTCTTATCAAATATTGTCTTATCAAAATGACATTCTCAAAATACGTGGTAAAGTACAAACACAATCAAATATCTATATATATAAAACAAAAGGCAAAGAATGATGAAACATTCAAAATACCAGAAAATGTTCTTGGTTAATTCAAACATTAAGAATTGAAATTATTAATTAAATGAGGATAATATGGTAAATTCATATGTTTTTATATTTAAAAAATTAAAATTAAAAGAAAATTCAGATAATGGATCCTATTTTTATGGAACACAACTACCTATTATCTTTTTTAATTTTTTTTTAAAAAGTGTCTCGCAGGCGCGGAAGCGCGTGCGGAGAGGCTAGTATATAAATAAAACATGTTTCTCATCTATTTTGTGAATGTAGAATTTCACTTCATGCAAGTATTATTTTTAGAAATTTTTTGAGTGAAATTACCCAAGTGCCCTTTCGGGTTTTATTTATAAATTGAAATAAACAAATTAAAAAACTAGCTTTATCACCCAAAATTTAACAAAAGTATCTGCTCCATGACTCACCCATTTGCAAGTTACTCACCCCAAATAAACACATGCGAGATTTGCACAATCTCTAACCATCAATTTACTCAAACTCTGTCCCCTAACTAGTACTCAGCAAAACAAAACCTAGTTCATCAAACTAAATCCTCATGAATATTTGTTTACAGGGCTACTAAACAAAATTTCTTTTTGAGTTTAATATTTGTAATTAAGAAATAACTTAGCCTTATTTAATTACTTTATTTACTAATTATATTTCAATTATTATTTATTTAGTGAATAATTAGTATTTTAATATTTTAATTAATTTCATAAATTACTCAATATATAGTAATTCATTATTTTTTGGAATGTTTTTTTACATTGGACATAACAATTATAGAAATTTGGAGATTTCGTTTGGAAGTTTGATATTTGTTGATTGATGCAATAATATATCTGTCGGGATACATAATAGTGCAAGTTCATCGTTAGCAACTTGGTAACGCGTGGAGTGTCAAATACAAGAGTAATTAATTGAGAGGAGTGGGATGCATGATTTGTTGAATACAAATAATGAACGAATGTAGCAACAACTTGAATAATGATCAATATCAAAGGGATATAATTCGAGAAGGTTATACATAATATATATATATACGTATAAAAGATAGCCGTGTGGCTATACGTATAGAGTATATTTGAATATTTAAAGCGTATAGCCGCGCGGCTATACTTTTGGCCGTGATTTCGCATACCGAAGGGAGGGCCTTGGCTTGGCAGTACTAGCACTGGGGTATTCATAAGATCGAGTCTTGATCTTATAGAAAGCTAGACTCTGGGTCCACTTATTAGAAGAATCTTTCTTAAGCAGTTTGAACAGAGGTTCGCACATGGATCTAAAGAGATATGAAGCGACTGATGTACAGGTATTTCCCGAATGTAGGTGGGCGCCCCCTACCGACAAGCTATCGCAGGGCGCTCGTCCAACGCCCACCAAGCAAGTTAACCATAACTCCAAGTCTTGTCTTGAAAACAACCTCTCTGTGCCGTTAATGCAACATTTCTCTAGTGTACCTTTGGGGTAGTGGTAACGGGCTCCAAAGCATACCGGTATTCAGTTTCTCTTATCACCGTAGTAATTTATGAACCAGTGATTTCTCAACCTGAACAAATAGATAAGACTAGGAAATGACCCCTCTTCAAGTGGGGGTCGTTTACTTGCTTAGCGTTTCATGGGATGGATTTCATTAACACGGATAGACCAGAAATGGTCTTCGTAAGCATACCGCTTTCTGTTCAAGAATCGGTAGCGGTTTTAAGGGAGACTACCGAGCTCCATGAGAAGCGCCTATCATCTCTATGCGAATTCTGACCTTAGCTTTTCGTCTTTGATTAGTATTAGTGAAAGCTCGCTCGACTTGATTAGGGAGAATGACTCTTTTAAATCTAGGATCCGACCACTATTTGGTACACTGGACTATGTTGGTTTCCAAGAGGTCATTGATAAACAGGTACTCCCGGATGGAAGGTACATATCGGAGAAAGAATTCTATTGCGCAACGGCAAACGCATCTAACCGTTGAACTTACATTGGAACCCATCGCCGTGATCGGATCGGCTGGGTGAGCTTTTCACTCACACGCGCGGCCAGCCTTTTATCCAGACCCTATAATTCAATTAGGTAATTAGGTAATTAGGTAACCCATTATACATATGTTCGGTACATTTAATTAGTCCCCACCCACCCACTTACCTGGGTTGGGTTTATTTAGGGGGTATGGGCACTGCCGCTATAATTCAATTGTTGGGCCCATGTAGTTGGACCAACACAGTACATATTTAGAGTAGGGCAGCCTAAACCTAAAATTGGCACATATAACAAATTAAATCCTCATGAATACAATTCGTATACCTGTCTGCATCACTGTGAAATATCTTCCAAGGATATTTACAATACGAGAAGAATTTGCAACTCTCGGGATAGCACGGTTTGCTATTTCTATTCAATCACTTTTTCGTTATGTGAAATTCTTATTACGAATGACAAAATGTGATTAGTTGAAAATAACAAAATAGTATTATCTCCGTGGATTGCAAGTTTTTCCCACATTAATTAACTCATCAACTACAGCTAACCAAGTGTACTATTAACAAAGTGATTATGTTTATGATGTGACACCAAATTTTTTTGTTTCTTTTTGCTTGGTGTGCAATTACATTTTGGCTTGTTTTGCATTTTTCTCACTTTTTTTTTACAAACATAAACTCCCTCTTTTACAAAAAAAAAAAAAAATTTAATTGAAGATCAATTAGTGGGCCTTCCCCCTAAATAAGAGAAGTTAAATTCAGTATTTGATTTTTATTTTTTTTTTGCTCATCACCTTATAATTCAAAGTGTAGCATCACCACCATATTGTATACTTGCCATGTATTATTAAAAGTAACTATAGCTAAGCATATATAATCTTTCCAGTAGACGACATGATTAATATTTCTCACTTTTAGAATATAATATCCATAAATATATCCACTTAATATAACATATAGACAAGTTATACCACATAAACGCTATACTTGAGTAGCGGAATTGATGCAGTTTTTTGCCCACCCCAAGTATTCTTGTTTCAACGTGCACTCCACATTGATAATTGGGCAACATAATATATATGCTAGAAATTTACCGAAAGAATAAGATCTTATATGCATAATGTTAGAGAGAGAGAGAGAGAATCATCCTATTGATTAAGAGAGAGGATCATCCTATTGATTAAGACAGAATTGTCTACATCGTTTATATTTTAATTATTTAATGTGATGGCAATAGAACATAACATATAAGTTAGGGGTAGGAGGGACAAGGTAGAAGATACGAGATAGGGCCGGTTAAAGACGGCCATAACAAACAATCTCCTCAGCCGGCAAACTCTGTGATGAATTGGCACAGCTCATCATCTCACTCCTCCAATCCGGCCCATCACTTTCCATCTCTCTCTCTCTCTCTGCATGCTTATTTCCATTCCTTTATAACCCTCCTACTTTGAGGACTTAGTCATATCGACCCATCTCTCACCATTAATATTCCTTTTCTCTCCTCCTACAGCTTTAGCTACCTCGACATCTTCTCTTATTATTATTATTCTTTATTTTTCCACCGACGTGAAATACTGATTTCATGGCCAAGTTATCCAACCAGAAAACCACTGCAAAAAATAACATTATTTCTAATGCAAATGCAGCTAATAACACTACAGTCACAAAGGTGAAACGAACCAGGAGAAGTGTCCCAAGAGACTCTCCTCCTCAACGGAGCTCGATTTATCGAGGGGTCACCAGGTGATCAATTAAGTACCTGCAGATCTAGACAACAACAAAAATCAATTAAAATTGTTAGTTTTATATGTGTGTTTTTGCTTAATTATTTGTATGTGTGTTTAATTTCTGGATCATTTTCTTTTTCCCTAAATTTAGGCATCGGTGGACCGGCAGATATGAGGCTCACTTGTGGGATAAGAATTGCTGGAATGAATCACAGAACAAGAAGGGCCGCCAAGGTTTACAATCTTCTCATCTATATACCAACATTTATTTTCCATCTACATGCAATTTATTGGTGTATATATCTGATGCAATTTCTTCTTTCCATCTCGGTTTTGTGTTGTGTGCTTGGAATGGAATTTTACTCAAATGCAGTTTACCTTGGTAAGTTTTTATTATTGCAACTACGTTTTATATATAGATGGATATATGTTAAAGCAAAGTTTGGTATTTCAGGAGCATATGATGATGAAGAAGCTGCAGCACATGCTTATGACTTAGCAGCACTTAAATACTGGGGTCAGGATACCATTCTCAACTTTCCGGTAATTAATTTCTTTTGCTTATTGAAATTGTTTGTGTATTTTTTGCTGAAGATCTTACAAAATGGAAATTAATTAAGGAAGAAAGTAATTTTATCTACATAACGATTGTAGTTATCGACATATCCGAAAGAATTGAAAGAAATGGAGGGCCAGTCAAGAGAGGAATACATTGGATCATTGAGACGGTAAGTTTTTGAATCTTAAAAATTATTAAAATTAAGGAGAGAAAGAATAATACAAAAACTTCGGATTTATAAGATTAATTTGGTGATAAAATTTGCAGGAAGAGCAGTGGTTTTTCTCGGGGAGTTTCTAAATATAGAGGTGTTGCTAGGTATTTTTAGTCATCCCAATTTGGTTTCATTTTAAAGTACAAAATTTGTTTATTTTATTTCAGTTTCTAATTTTCTTTGTATTTCATCAATGAGTAGACATCATCACAATGGAAGATGGGAAGCTCGAATTGGGCGAGTCTTTGGCAACAAGTATCTCTATCTCGGGACTTATGGTATGTTCACAAAAACGTTTCAAATTAACCTTTTTATTCACCCTAAACAATGATCATATGCAATTTGGACATTACAAAAAATTAAATTACATATTTGCACTGCATTTATTGAGCACACATATATCGCAAGGGTCACAATCAAGTGTGGTGTGTGATCTAAACATACATAGAAAGTCTCGTCTTTATAAAAGGTGAAGTTAAGGACGTGGCCACCCTCAGACTATAATAGGCTTTAATCTAAAGTTAGGAATTTAATATTAAATTTTAAGAAGTTCGCCCTATATTTAATGAAATATTATCGAGGCGAATTTCCTTAAAAGTTCAACCCAAATAGCAATTTAGTGAACAAAATTCTTCCAAACTAACAAAATAATATCTTAAATTTTTCTCAGCTACCCAAGAAGAAGCCGCAACAGCGTATGACATGGCGGCCATAGAGTACCGTGGGCTCAATGCCGTCACAAACTTTGACCTCAGCCGTTACATCAAATGGCTAAAGCCTAATGGCCCTAACAACGACATTTCTGGTCAGACTAACCCTAATGCGGAGGCTATATTGCCCAATGTGACCCAAAACCCTAATGATCAAGAACGTGGACTTGGTTTCTTCAACAACCTTGCATACAGCCCTGGAGAAACCATAGTGACCACTCAGCTGCCTAGACCAACAACTGCAACATCAGCCCTAGGGCTTCTGCTTCAGTCATCAAAGTTCAAGGAGATGATGGAAATGACGACGGCCACTGACTCCATATCGTCGCAGCCGGAGCTGAACACGCCACAGTGCACGTTTCCCGATGACATACAGACGTACTTCGACTGCCAAGAATCGAGTAGCTACGGTGAGGGAGATGATCTTATCTTCAGTGAGCTTAATTCATTCATGCCGCCCATGTTTCAGTGCGACTTCACCACTTAGAGGAGCATGTTTGGTGGTTTTATTTACTCTCTTTTGCAATCTTATTCACATTAGGGTTCTTCTTTTAAATTTTTTTTTATGTGAATACGCATGGAAGGGACGTCCATGTCTAGAACAATGATGCACACAAAAGATAGGATTCTTTTGCATAGTGAAAATTCACTATTGATCATCATCATGTGGGAGCAAGGGTAGGCTAATTATTATTTGGTTAATCAAATTTCTTTTTAATTGTAAAGAAGAATAAAATTATTTCATCATTTTTTTTATATCAATAAAGTATCATTTTCTCTCCTTGGTGTAATCATTTTAATTTCATCAATAAAGTGTTCATTTTTTAAATGTTGTAATAATTTTGACCTCATTAGTGTAGTAATAGAGAGAATTGAATAATATACAGTTTTTGTATAACTGTAAATACAGTGCATGAACGTGTCAAACAAAGTAGTGCAAAGATTTAGTTGTGCTCATATATGCTCAGATATGTCAGATTGTATTCTTCTCCAATATGGAGGTATTTATAAAGAAGTACAAAAATGTGTCTAAATAAAATAGGAAATAAATCTAAATTACCTTAGAAAATAAATCCCAATTATAATATGACTAAATAAATAGGCAAGTTAGCAGAATCTTAACTAAATAAAGACTTGCCAACACTACCCCCAAAGTTGGGGAAAAGATGTTCGCATGCCCAACTTGACAAGTGAGTCATAAAACATCGTACTTGACATTGATCAATCAAAAAAGAGAAGTTCTTTTCATTAACCACGAGTGAAACAACTGACAAACCAAGGCAAAGTTCGCAATTACAAGAGCAAACCCCAAAAATAAGGCACATAACAGAACACAAAAACCCTATGAACATGGCAAAGGAAGGCAAAGAACACAAAAACCCTATGAACATAGCAAAGTCAAGGCAAAGAATACAGAAACCCTGTGAACAAGACAAAGGCAAAGCAAATAACACAGAAACCATGGGAACACGACAAAGGCACGTTGACGCCTTAGGATTAAAATCCTGGATCCACCACTGATTATAGGGACATGTATATGTGCCTTTAATACATTTCAAACTCATTAATAGATACACAATATCAGCCTCTAATTCATAAAATGTAAGAGCATATTTATTTATTTATTTAAAATTATTTTGTTGCAGGAGGTCACTCAAACTACCATAACAAAATATCAAAATAGTATAGACTTCCAACGACAGCTAAATAGTAGGAAACAAAATATCAAATAAGTACCGGAGATGTTGAAAGCCAACTAAATAGTTGGTAACAAACTATCTGAAAAAGTGCAAAGATAACTCATCCCAAAAAGTGTGAATATAAGAGCAAAATATCCCAACTCTATTCAACACGATGAACCCTTGATGTGAAGACATGAACTTCTGCGGAAAAAAAACTTTCATGGAGCATCACTGAAAAATTTCCAAGAGAATAAGGCAGTGGCTGATATGGTTGTGGATGATACGATTGGGGATAGTACAAGTGAGATGGTGACTGATGTGAAGATGGAGCCTGCTGGGAAGGTGACTAATGCTGAGAGAGAATGACCGTTGTTGAAAGGGAGGACGAATGTTGCTCAGAGGGTGATCGCTCTTAAGATTATGATTGTTGATATGTAGTTGGATTCACTAGCTGCTGATGTGAGGATAATATCATCTCCTTATGTTGTCTCTCATAATTTTCTTAGTTCTAAACATTGAGACTCCTAACAAGCATAATCACTGTTGAGTATTCTCTTCCAGTTCACTGGATCTCAAAGCTTAAAACCCTTCACACCACTCTCAAAGCTGAGGAAAATGCATTCAAGAGACTTTGATTTCAACTTGGTTTTCTCATCACTAGGTGTTAGAGCATATGCACTGCAGCCAAATACTTTAAGATTAGTAAAATCAACTGATTTATTAGACCATGGCGACTAGTTAACCAAATATGAAGTGTGGTTAACTGACTCCACCCAAAATGACTCGAGCAAGCCGACATGAATCCTCATTCACCTATCATGCTTTATGAAAGTTCAATTCATCCTCTAAGCGGCTCCGTTTTGTTAGGGTATCTTCTTCATGGTGAAACCTTTTCACCCTCGTTATTGCAAAACTCAAGGAATTTGCTATCATTATATTTACCATAATTGTCATTCCTTAGGATCTTGATATTCCTTCTCGTAAGGTTCTCTACCTCCACATTCCACTTCTTGAATTTGGTGAAGACCTTAGATTTCTCCATCATAAAGCAGACCCAAACCTTCCTAGAAAAATCATCTATGAACGTGACGTAGCGGGCTCCAACTAATAATTTGACCAGTGCAGGCCTTACACATCTTACTAAATATAATCAAGCACTCATGTGCTCATATTCTTTTTGTCTTGTTGCTTGAATGTCACATTCGAATTCTTTCCGATTGTACAATACTTATAGAACTCAAGTTTGCAACTGTGTACTCCCTTCAAAAGCTTCCGTATGTGTAAGTCTTGCATGGCTCGCTCACTTATATGCCCTAACTTTAAATGCCAAAGCTGAGTCTCATCATCTGAGTAATTCTTGGTAGATATAGCTGCTCCACCAGTCATTGTTGTACCACATAGTCGATACATGAAGTTAGGTTGAATATCCCCCTATATAACCACAAGTGAACCCTTTGAGATCATGAGCTTTCCTTACATGGCCTTGTAAGAATAACCATTCTTGTTAAAAGTACCAAGATGATATTCTTCTTCAACTTTGGTATGCACCTAACCATACCCAATGTCCTAACAATATTGTCATACATCTTTACCTTAATAATACCCGTGCCTTCGACTCTTCAAACTAAGCCATCTCCTATAACAACTTCGTCGCTGTCATCCACCTCATATGTGTCAAACCAAGATTCGTTTGAACATGTATGATATGAGCACCCAGAATCCAAAATATAGTCAGAAGATGAAACCTTAGAAGAAATATAAACTACATCAATATTAACAATGCTATCAACAATTAAAATCTCACCATTGCTATCCTCCGCAACCTTGACTGAGTCATCTAGCTTCCTCCATTTGTTTCTATTCTCTCTCCATGTAGGACAATTCTTCTTCCAATGATCTTTTGACTCACACTCAAAGCAACCGTCTTTTGTCCTGGATTTTGACCATACCCTATTGCTCTTAATGTCTTCACGCTTGCTTGATCGACCATTCTCTCTGAACTTTGCCACAAGACCTTCATCTTGAGAGACATCTCTTAAACGTTGAACTATCCGGTGATGCATAAAGATGTCTTACATCACATTTTTATACTTCAGAGTTCCTTTACCGAACATAAGCGTCATGCGGAAGTACTCATAAGACGGAGGCAATGATGTCAACAACATCACTGTCTTATCTTTCGACTTATAAACTTCATCCGTCCTTTACAAGTCTGCAATACACCTATTAAAGGTGCTAAGATGCTTCATCATATTTGCACACCCTTTATTCATAGAGTAAGAAGCTTATCCTTCAAGAAAAGCTTGTTAGAAAACGATCTTGACGAACATCACTTCAAGTTTCTCCCATGTCTGCTTTGCGGTATCTTCAATTATATTACATGGTCATCTGTGAGATGTTGTTCAATTGACCCTTTAACAAGTTCGTCTAAGTCTTCCCGCTCATTTTCCGTTATAGTTCCTGGCTTCTTTTCATTGCCTGCCAAAACTATGTTGAGACCCTAATGCTTAAAGAAGTACTTCATTCTCCTTTGCTAAAGCATAAAGTTCGCCTTGTCGGTGAACGGCTTCAACTCGACCTTCACAGTCGTCGCTTGTGTTGTCTTCGTCTGGGTGCTTTCTCCTCCCTCCTTCCTATCGCTTGCAATTGTCAACACATCGCCGCTCTTAAAATTGTAAGAGCATTTAGGCATAAATTATACCCACTGCAACTGCGGCTCTAATACCATTTGTTGTGCGAAAATAATCCAAGAACTTGTTGTTGATGGACTATGCAACTACCATACACAAGCCATGCAAAGATAAAGCACACACACCAACTGAAAAGTAAACACACTCACAAAGAATACAAGAATTAATAGAGGTTCAGCGTTGTGCCTAAGTCCTCTTGGTAGTCCATGAGAAATTCACTTATAAGAAAGAACCTCTTCGGTTACAATAAAGAACCCCATTTGTTCTCTTACAAACCTTAACTCTCTTTTCTCTCAACCCTGGCTCAAACCCAATTTGATGCCTTTGTTTTTCCTCTTACACTCGTTAGAGAAAACCCTAACACTAAAATACCTATTTATACACATAGGTCTTTAGATACAATTATAAAAGAAGTAGGAAACCTAATAAAATCCTAATTAAATAGGAAAACCAAAAACAAGTTGGAAAACCACGTTAAATTCCTAAACGCGCTATAGCTTATGTCACAAACCGATTGGTCGCTAGCAAGAGCCATCAGTCATACTGGAGATCACGCCTCTTCGCCAGCACCTATCAAATTCGACCGGTAGGATGGTTAATCTTGACCGATTGTTGCTTTTATCACTGCGACCGCTCTTTTCTGTGCTTCTACGATTGGTCGTCAAACTTGCCACGACCGGTCTTTTTCTTCCAACACCTGGTTCTTCTTCTCCTTCACATCTAAAGCTAGCCAAACATCAACTTATACTTGCTTTTAAACTTTAAAGGGCCTTATGTATCTTAAGAAAGCATGAGTTATTAAGATATGTTAATAAGCTTATCATTCTTTTATTTTCTTAAGATTCATGGCACTTTATGTTCCTTTTTTTGGGGAATGACACTCAGTCATTTAATTCAAATTATTATTTATCTCATTTGCATTTTTAGTGTTAGGCTCAACACCTATGCGTTGGCCACCTTTTTTTTTTTTTTTTTTTTTTTTTTTTTTTTTTTTTTTTTTTTTTGGGTATAAAAAAAAATAACCGTATTTTTTTTTTTTTTTTTTTTTTTAAATAAATATCATTCCAAAAAGCTTAAACGCTGACGATGCTTTGAGGCTTTACACTACGCTTTACTGGAAATAAAATGCAACACTTTACGCGATAAGGATTTAAAATACTGTTTCCATCATTAAACAAATGCCCAAGAGTTATACAAAAAAAGAAACCATTGTTTCCCTCTTTTGGTCCTTCTTTGATTAAGTGTGTGGGCGTTCCACCACAAAATCACAAATTTGCCTTGAATGGAATGTGAGTAGATGATGCTTCTAAGTTTTGACTTTAATCAAACGATTGTTCTACCAAGCAAGGAACCTCCTCACGACCTAGTTTCTTTCACTACCTTAGAGTCAAGATTCTATGTGTGCAACCAAGTGATGTAGAATTAGTGGTAATTAAGATTGAAATGGAGATGGGAAGAAGATGTTATTAAAATAAGAATAAATTGCGAGAAACATAATGGAATGAAGAACCATAGCATAAAATGTAAATGTGCTTGAATTTAAATAGAATTGAAAAGACTAGTACGGAAACTAAAGTCCATAGAGTAAAGAATTTAAAGACATGTGCATAATTTAAATTGCGTAAATAAATAATTGAAATACGAATGTGTAAAGTAAACTAAATTAATAAGAACAATAAAGATTAAACTACGATTTGAATTGCAATGGAATTGAAAACAAAATGAACAACAATGTAAACTAGACTAGAGCATTTTGAAATGTAAAGACATAGTTGAAATCTAAGGAAACTAGGGCGGAAAAAATAAGAACTAAACTACAAGCTACATTACCGCTACTCCTACGATAGGAATTGAAGTGAATATAAAATGACAAGTTGTGTGTTATGTTGGGGGTCCTTATCTTTAACAATTTGGTATTTACAGGGGCTTCAGTAAGTCCCAATTTGATCTTCCATCAATTGGCCTTAAAATTTGTTAATCAATATTAATTGTTCATTGATAAATAGTATTGACTTTGGTTGATTCCATCATTTCCCCTGATTGACCCAAAATGCCTTCAATCCTTTGACCCATGCATATGATTTAATATGAATAATAGTACTTGATTTGATGTTCATTGCATCTTGAGCTTTTCCCATATTCACTTTGTGTTGACCATTTGGTTGACATGATTTCCTTTTATTTGTGGATTGTGACATGTGTAGAAAATCATCTTACCTACGAATGCTCACTCCTCATTTAAGCATCGGCTGATCTTAAGCATTTGTTCATAGATAACTTCTCGACACTGGCTGCTTAACGCATTTGGCCACATTTAGGCATTCGGACACAGTTAGACATTAATTTGCTTTTAGACATTCAGTTTCTTTTAGGCATTCAACCCCTTTTAGGCATTCGGCTGTGTTTAGTTACTCGACCTCATATATGATCTTGGGCATTTAGGTTACAACTAGGTGCTTAAAGAATTTGACTATATTTAGTCATTGGACCGCATTTAGGTATTCGGTCAGTTTTAGGCTTTCGGTTGCATATATGATTCTGAGCTTCTAGTCATCCTTACTAATTTTGGACCGCTTTAAATAGTTATCCTTTTGTTGGATTTTTGGGCATGGCCCGACCAAGTTACAACTAGGCTCAAACAACCATATGACAAGAAGAGAAATCAATATATTACATGTCTTGCGAGGCTATGATATGAGAGTTCAGGAGAAAGAGGTGATGCTTGTGATTGTTAAGGATCTGCACAACAATTCTAGTCATAAAATCAATCAATGCCAAGAGAAGTACAAATGATATTCTACTTTAATGTAAAGTAAACTACGGTGGAGATTCGAACACTGGTGCAGACTAGGGAGCATATCTGCTCTAACCAACTTGGCTAAGCCCATGCCTGCCAATCTTTAATAATTTTCAATATCTAAAAACAAGAGAAATAAAAAAACTGGTCAATGTTACCAACTATTTAGCCACATGGCAGTCTCGCAAATTCCCACCATAAGGAGCACCTTACCAGTAATTTCATTTGAACACCATCTCTACAACAATTTTCACAAATCTCAACTTTCCCGCCCAAAACCCCCGCTTCATTTCTCTCTCTTTTCGTCGGTAGTATTCTCTCTCTACAGACATATGCATTCAATTTTAATTTTAATTTTTTTCCTTCATTCTTCTTTTGTCTCTGCAAACAATGCCGGACCTCGGAAACCTCTCTCTCTCAGCTTCTCTAACCCTCACGACCTCCCCTAACTTCAAATTGCTCACTGATTCACCCGAACAGAGCTTGGTCAAAAACCTAGGCCTTGACTGCGATTGGGACCAGAGGTTGAGGTTCGCCACTCTGCACAATGCCGAGGTCAGCACTGGCGCTGCAATCAGGGTTTTCCGGCGGAGCCGGCCATTGGTGGACAGATCGAAGAAGATCTCCAGCGGCAAGAGTTTGGAGGACAATGTGCTCGAATGGGTTAACAACAGAGTGGAATTGGGCATTCCTGAGTCGCGGTGCTCGTTGCCGTTTCTTGACGGCGCAAAGAAATTGGTAACTTTACTTTTCGTTTTAAATTGCTGTTTGGTTGCTGGGAAAATGGGGGAAGAGAAGTAAAAGAGGGAAAGTTTCAATCTTTTTGCTTTTTGATATTTGCGATTTGACGAGAATGGGTATTTTTTATGTTCGTGTTTGGGGGCAAGAGTAGTTTCTTTGTTCGTTTTGGGATCTTATTTGGGTTCGATAAATAATTACCATACATGGTATATCAGTCTTATTCCATATTGGAATATTTTTCCGACCAAGATTATTAGTTGAGGTTAATTTCAATGATTGAGGCGGGGTTTTAAAGAGTAATCACATGAACTAGTGGTATTTTTAGAGTAATGTATTTAAAGTTCTTCTGATCATGATGCTTTTCTTGCATTTTTTGCTACTCTATGTTTCACAGTGTACTCTTTTCTTTCTTTTTTTACTTGTTCTTCTTTACTTTTGGTTTCATTTCAGGTTGAGTGTCTTGTTTGCCATTATTATGTCTACCCTGGGGAGGAGGTCGTATGCTCTGTTCGTGGTTGTCAAGGAGTGTATCATGGGAAATGTGTGAAGGAAAGGCTTCGAATCTCTAATATGAAAAAGTTCAAGTGTCAGCAACATGTAAGATCTGACAAGAATAATCATACTGTTGGTTCTACTTATTTATTTATTTTATTTTGTGCCATGCTATTTTGCTTTCTGCATGTTAAAAGTGCAAAAAGCATCTCTACAATAAATCTATGTCAGCGTTTGGGAGAAAGAGGTTGCTCTTATTTGGTTCTGAGAGAGTACTGTGGACATTCTGTTCTTCATTGATTCCGATATAAGCCTTACAATGACTATACTGATTACTAGGGTGTTGGCCTGGCTATTGACATGTAGACTCTATCCATCTCGTACTGGTAACTGGTACACGGAGACCATCATATGAGTCTTATAAATGGAAATTTTCATTCATATATAGATGTTAGTATTTAATGGTGCAACATTAATGTTAAAATCATTTTAGGTATCATAATTAAAGCGGATAAACTTTTGCACTCTTCCCGCAGATGTTAAGGAGTTGTAATTAAAAATTCTGAAAGTGTCTACTATTGCTTCAGATTTCTTCTATCCTTCACAACGTACTAAATCCTGTTTAACTTTTATAGAACAAAAATGTTTAAACATTCCTCTGTTGTCCTGTCATCTTATTCTTAATATCTGTTGAAGGATCTTTTTGTTTAAACACACACACACACGCACACACACAAATTTGAACTTACAAAATTGCTTACACAAGTTGCATCTTCATTGAGCAGGCATGCTTCATTTGCAGACAGAGGGTAGATTGGCGGTGTATGCGATGCCCTATAGCGTCACATGATAAATGTGCAGCTTGGCCGGATGGAGTAATTTACTTGAAAGACCGGCCAGGGAAGGCTGTTTGTTGGAGGCATCCTACAGATTGGCGGCAAGATAGGAAGGTCAATTTCTTCTTTCCTTAATCAGTAGTTTCTGATTCTTATTTAGTTTTCTGGTACATCTACACCACAATCATTGTCTTTCACTTTAATGTGAATGTGCTACCAACAAAAGAAGGTACCCTTGTGTAAGTGGATGAATTCTTCATCATATTCTCATATCTTGCTAAATTGATGGGGGTCCCCATGAGTATTTTTCATGTTTCTTTCTAACATGCATCCTCATGCAACTGAATTAGAGACTCAGAGGATCATCCTTCATGTTTGTATAGTTCTTTTTCCTTTCCCATAAAATCACTTTGTCACTTTTATTCTAATATTGTCAGTAAATGATTTATATGTAGTCATAAAATAGAACAAGAATTTCCTGCAGTTCCATTGCTTATACTATAGCCTTTTTGTTGTTGCATTCAATGGGAATGTAGAACTTCTGGAAGTGAAGCAAGGGGAACTAGTGACATGAGATGTGTATGTGTGCGCCCGTGTCTGCATGCACATGATGGAACAAGAAGTCTCAGCAGTTCATTTTCTTGTACCTCTTTTCTTTGATGCATTTGATCAGAATGCAAAGTGAGGAATGGTTATGCATGAAATAGTTTAAATTACTAAATTATATCCTTCTGCAGGAAGATTACAGTAAATAGAGTATATGATATGCGGAAACAGATCTGGTGTCAAATTGACACCCCTCTTGCCTTTACCCGAGACCTATGTATTTTTCACCTTAGGGAAGGCCCTGAGGCTACATGAATTATTGTCATCAAGTATTAGAGAAAGCAGAAAAAGAATCGCAAAATTGACACCTCTCTTGCCTTTACCTAAGACCTACTCCTTTTCCACCCAAGGGAAGGGTCATCTTCTATAATTTCACATGTGAGGGGTTATTTCTTGGTTTCGTCCAGTCATCTGAGATTGTTGTCATCAAGTATTAAAGAAAGCAGAAAATCAAAGAGTTAAACTTTATGCTCCGTTCTAATTAAGGTGGCACTGAGAAGTTCATTAAGTTTTCAATTCAACATTTAAAACTATTTTTCCCTCTTTTAGGAACAGTATAAGTCAGCTATGTCAGTCACACAGTGTGCCCAATAAGTCTGTGTCTACGTAAGTCTGCTTCTTGTAAGTCTGTGTCTACGTAAGTCTGCTTCTTGTAAGCTGGTTTTTTCATTTTCAAGTAAAGTTATGTGTTGAATTTAATCATCTGGACCAAATGAGTTGTTATTTAGTATGTGATTTTGCAGTTTGTCAGAGGGAAGCAAATGATTTTGAGGCTGACTTATATAGTTTGAGTTTGTTTAAAACTAGCGTAGAATATCTTATATTTTTGTTGAAGTTTATTTCGTCATCTGTATTTTTCATTGATTAGGCTGGTTGACAGGACTGATCTATTTGTTGAATGAGCAGCATGTGGTTTCGACAAGCAGTATAGAGGTCAGACTTATGAAGAGCTTGTTAATCTTTAATATATACATATATGAAGTTACATCAGCATGGCTAAATATGGGAAGTACTTGTGTCATGCATTATATTGCATCAGTTTCAGTATGCAATATTCAGATTGGTTACTGTCGGAAATTGTTTAACATAAGTTGTTTCATCAGTACAATAGAGAAAATGGTTGGATCTCTTTGAAAACTGAGCTTTGTTTTTGTCTCTTGAGATTTAAATCTAACAAATTTTTTTTATGAAGTTCCATAACTGAGTAATTTTTTTTTCTACTTGTACAATTTGTTTTTGATGTCTGGATTAACTGATATAATGCGGATGTCTCCCTTTTTTTTTTTTTGGATGAAAGATGTCTCCTTATTTTAAAGTTTACCATAAAGCCTCCTTTACAAATTATACCTAAATCCTAGACGTCAAGTGTAAGAAAAACTCAGAAAATGGGCTTAGCCAGTTCCAGTGCTATAATGTTTGACTAGTTCTTATAAATATGTGATATACACAACTAATTGACTCTCTTCAAAATTTAGGAGGTATTCTGTCGCTTGCCTCTGCCTTACACTGATGAGGAGTTCAAGATTGACTTGACTTGGAAAGATACGGATATTAAATTAGAGCCACCTCCATATGTGCACATCAGGCGTAGTATCCTATATATGCTCTTTGTTACATTGGATCAGTTACTTGAGGTTGTTAAAGTTTTTGACATATATCTGTGCATGGAATTGTTTATGGAAAAATGTTAAGAACTGAGCATTTGATTCCTGATGAGAAACAGTGGTCATTCTGTTTTGGCTGGTAATTTTTATTTATTTAGAAGTATTTCTCAATATTATGACTACTTTGGCATCTATCTTGACTGAAGTTAGATATTTACCTAGTCAAGAAGAAGCGTGATGGCAGTGATGATGATGTTGGATGCACATGTCGCACTTCCACATGCTCTGAGGATTGTGTTTGCAGGTATTTTGAACTATCTTCCATATTTTGACTGATGAAGTATGTTATAGCTGTTAGGGTATCTGTTGTCAATATTGTATCCTATTTCCAAATTAATATGCATCAACACTTCCCCATATTTCAAAATGCAGTAGTACCTGATATTTCACCCATATGTTTAATTTAATCCTCACTGTTCAAGTGAAAACTCTCTGCATTTAAATTGAAAATTTCATGGATACCTCAGCCATATTTGTGACATATGAATGATCTGATAGGGGTCAATGCATAAGCTGCTCAAAGGCTTGCCATTGCTCAGAAAATTGCTCAAACCGACCGTTTCGCAAGGAGAAGAAGATCAAAATCGTAAAGGTGAGAAATAGTATGTTTGAGGAGAATCAAGTCAACCTTCTATTTTCTTCAAGTAGAGTTTATTATATATTCTTGATTACATTTTATGTACTGAGTCGAATTTTGTCCCTTGTATGGCTCTACGAAATAATGTTTGATTTCACCTCAGACTGAACACTGCGGTTGGGGAGCAGAGGCAGCTGAATCTATTAAGAAAGGCGATTTTATAATTGAGTACATTGGGGAAGGTTGTCCTCTCCTCTTTACATTTTCTGTAATCAACAACAGTGAAGGCTGCATTTCATGTTCATATTTTCTTCTCTTTGATTTTCAAGTTGCCTATGGTATTTTCAGAACAAAAAAAAAAGATAAAAAACTAAGCTCCTGTTCTCGACTGCATCTGTGTTTCTCATGCTTTCTTTTCTCATCAAGCATTTTATGTGTTTCTTTTTAGAGTATTACCTGTTTTATGTAACTATAAATTTCAAACCGGATAACCGAATTTTATGGTTCTGAAGAGTGAATTCCCAATTTCAAACTGGATACCTGAATTTTATGGTTCTAAACTTATTTTATCTGTTTCAGTTATTGATGATGCTTTGTGCGAACGAAGGCTTTGGGACATGAAGTACAAAGAGGTGCAGAATTTCTATATGTGTGAAATTCGAAAAGACTTTACAATTGATGCAACTTTCAAAGGAAATCCATCTCGATTTTTGAACCACAGCTGTGATCCCAACTGTGTCCTTGAAAAGTGGTTAGTATGTTTTAACGTTATTGTCTTTGAATTGCTTTGGAATTTGCGGATAGAGTTCACTTGCACATTCCATTAGGATTATGGTTCAATTGCTCTTGGAATATTGTTTTGCATGTTATAGAACAATTACTATGTGCTTGTGTTTATCAACAAGTCTTGGCCTCTTTTGGGACATGGGGCTCCTGTTTAGTCTGTGATTTACTGATTTTATACATGTTTGTCAAAAAATTGTTGGTAGTCAATTCTCATGGTCAGACCAATAATCACATATAAAGAAGGGTCCTATGGCCATGGTGCATGTCGGATTCATTTACACCCGTGTTCCATTGTGGAACCTACATGCATTAGACAAGATTTATGGACTTAAAGATTATCAATGTGTCTAAGTGAGCACAGTTGTTGCTAAGGAGTTGTTTTAGACAAGAATTTGTGTTCCAGTTGTTAGTTGTAGGGTTAGTAATTGAGCTTCTTGATTTATGGGTGCAAGACAGATTCTCTCCCTGTGGAAATCAAGAGTTAGCAATGATCCGATTAAGCAGTTCCCATTAGTTGCGTTAGCAATCCTTATTAGTTATACAGATAAATGAATTCTCTATCTTCTCATTAGGATAAAGCTTTCAACATAGAATTAGGCTCCCAACCAATATTCAAGTTGTTTTCTTGCAGGCAAGTTGAGGGTGAAACACGGGTGGGTGTGTTTGCTGCAAGATCAATAGAAGTTGGAGAGGCATTAACATACGATTACAGGTACCTCCTGATCTTACTTGTAGCAGGTTGTTTAGTTTCTGTTTGTTGATCCCATGTCTCAACATTTGTGTTTCCATGTTTATACTTATACTAAATTTCAAAATTTTATGTTCGAAAATAATATTTATTCTGTTCTTGACTGGTTTTCAAACAAATGTTGTTTATCATGAGCTTCAAATAATTTATGATGTCCTTATGTCTCTGCTTTTGCTGCAAACCTTCTGACGCAAGGGACAAATGTTGTTAAGAGAAATGGTTATTTGTCATGGCTTCTAAAACGATTATTGCTTCTTGTAAACCTGTTTGAGTGCCTGTTTAAAACCGAAGATGCTCATTTTTCAAGTTTCTGAGACTCAACTTCTTTTTAGTTGTCTTTTCAATTAATTTCAAGCTTTATTATTATTATTTTTTTGAAAAGTAGGATGAAGTTCTTTGACATATGCAGATTAATGGGATTTGAGAATTTAGTAGAGCATTAGTTCCTAATATTTTGATTTTGAATATAATATTTTGTAGATTTGTGCAATTTGGACCCGAGGTGAAGTGCCATTGTGGTGCTCCAAATTGTCAAGGCTACCTTGGAAGCAAGAGAAAGATTAATAAGGTGGAACTTTGCTGGGGTTCAAAACGCAAAAGAACATCAACTGCTTGCATAGCTATCATTACTCAATGATTTCTCTCACATAGAGGTATTTTATTGTATCTCCATCTGATGTTGTGGATTGCCCATATCAAGAAATGTGGGCAAATAGAAGGAAAAGAAAAATTCAAAAAAGAAAAACTCAAAAAGCACAGATTACATAATCACACCTTGTTATTGTTTGGATACAATCTAAGGAACATTTTGTATTGTAAGATTGTAACGTTCAATCCTCTGCAGCATTTATATTGGCCGTTAAACAGTGCATTAGTGAAGCCTGTAATTGATTTGCCCATGTGGGGATATGTAGTTACATTTGATCAAAATAAGAGAATTGACCTACTTGTTCATTCTTTCCATATTATCAAAGTCAATCTGTGAAGACTGCATTGAACAGCAGACTATAAATTCACCCCAAATGCTTTTGGGTTTGATTATTATAGGTGTGCCACTATTGGTATTGTGTGTCTAAATAGCATTACTCAACATAATTGAGTCTGCGCGGACATTGCAGGCTAAAAGAAATGAAACAAGTCCGATGGGTCGGACTGAAAAACGAGTAGAACAAAAGCAATTGGACTGAGTCAAACTCAAATCATTATATTATTGGAAATTCCAGTTTCCAGTTTCCAGTTTTTAAGTATGTTCGGACATAAGTGTTCATGTGAATAGTTTCTTCCTAATTGCCGGATTCCACAGTTTTTATGGTGAGACTTGTCATAGTTTCTTCCTAACTGCCTATAGGAAAATTACAACTCAGCAAGCCTCTATCACCCTTCAAATCAGCATATTAGAATTCTTTTTCAATTGTATTATTTGTTATACTTAATTGATGCCATTCAAATTTTTGTTACTTTTTATTATTCTTCAGGAAATTGTTGTGTCGGAGAGTTGATCAATCCTGATTAATAACTAGAAAGTGGGAAGTTGTCTTTTGGACAACCGCATTTCGGTTTGGATACTCTTTGCACTTGGGCCGTTTCCCGTTCACCTCTTCTACAAGGACCACATTTGCTATACATTTGAGATACCCTGGTTCCCTAATGACTTTGCCTTGAATAGCAAGCTTGTACATGCTTTATCACTTCATTTCCTTTTCATTCTTAAGATGTTGATGAGGCTACTAATCACTAGGGGTGGAAATTTTGGACACAACATGACAACACCACTAAATAACGACATGAAGTTAATGATGCAGGACGCGAACACGAATATGGCACGACCCGCTAAACATGAATAATAAACGAGTCAAGTTGATTTTTATACGATAGACTTTCCTCCTCTTAACAACTAGTAGAACCTAGGATCTACATTGAGGTGCTGATGACACTTGGGTCAACTCTACATTAAAAAAAAATTGCTATCTGGTTGCGATATTCTTAGAAATTGAAATTCTCATGCGAAGGGTTTTGTTTTGGTTGGGTGGCGTCACCTCTGCCACTCCAACTTGGCTCGGAATCTGTGCGTTCCTTTAATGGCTTACAAGGTTACAAGGCATTCCAATGACAAAACACAACGAGTTTCACATCACAGCTACACAAAGTCATCATCTTTGATTAAACAGTAATATATACTTCACTTTCAGTGAAAACCCAATGTGTTAGGCTTGTTTATGCTGACCAATGTTGGGCCCTCCATCCATTTACATAACAGAACAAAAAAGAAAAAAGAAAAAGAGAAAGAAAAAAAAACCCAAAAACACTGCCATTTATGAGGGAAAGAGGGCCGGCCAGTCAATCTATCTCCCCTTGAGAAAAATCTTGCAGATCTTCTCCCAGATCTTCCTGTCTGGTTCAGCCAATTGCAGTGCAGACCTTGCGTTTTCAGCAAAACCTTTCTCTATGAAGTTGTTGTTGAGAAGGCGGTCGATGAGATTATAAAGGATGTCCTTGGAGTACTCAGGATGGCCTTGAATGCCAAGAATATGGGCTCCAATGCTGAACATTTCGACCCCCGTCTTGTTGGAGTATCCGATCACTTCAGCACCCGAAGGAACTTCCCAGACCTCATCTTGATGGCACTCGATGATCGAAAGCGCAGGTGGGATTTCATCCAATCCGTCGAAGAAGCTGAATGGCGACAGGTCCTTCACTATCTTCACTTTCCTCAGCCCAATATCCCACCCTGTATAAGCCTTCCCAACCTTTCCCCCCAGTGCTCTGCACAAAACCTATTCAATTCAAGTGCATACTCAAACTTAGATCACATGTCGTAAAATAAAAAAACGCGGGTAATATTTTATCGTCAAATATTTAGTAAAAAGTTAAAACGCGGGGATTATTCTGTTGCCAGATATATATTTAGTGGAAAGCATAGGTACCTGGTGACCAAAGCAAATGCCAAGGACTTTCTTCTCCATGGCATCCAAATATTGCAAGAGAAAGCAAAGTTCGATGATCCAGTGGTCATTGCCATAAGCATCATAAGGGCTGCCACTGATCACAAAGCCATCATAGTTTTCAAGCTCACTCTTTTTAGGAAACTCTCCCTCTACAACTCTGTACAAATCCCAACTCTCTCCTTCTGCGCCAAAAGCTGCAACAAACACATTGTAGTAGCCGCCATACACTTTCTTCACATACTCAGAGTCCTTTGCAGCCAGCAGAAGTGCATATCTGGCCTGTCTTTCAACCTGCATCTTAGGAGAGCGAGGAGCACAAGAGTTTGAAAATAGATCAATCCAAAAACGAATATGGGCAAGTGGTCAAAGGAATGAAGTAAGTTGAGATTCTGGTAGCTAAAATGAGGGACAAAATATTTGTGCCTAAGAGAAACAATTGGAGAGAGCTGAAGATGGAAGCTTTGGTATGTGAATTCATGTGAAGCAATTGGCCTTTTATAGGGAAAGTTTGCTGGCCATGGGCCCCTTTGTTCATAGAAAAATTCCAAAATATAAATATAATTACAAAATAAAAATGAAAACCAAAAAAAAAATCAGATGAGAATACCAAGTTGAAGAAGAAAATTGGAAAAAATTACATATAGGAAAGTTTATAATGATGGAGATATATGTAGAGCATTGGCTTCCTTACAAAGATTACATAAAATAAATCTAACAAAAAAGAAAAGAAAAACGATTGCAAAACCGTAATTTCAGAAACATATATTCTGGGAAACGATCAGAATGGAGACGTTTTTTTAGGAAGGGTTCATTTAGAAGCTAAAGAGAGAGAGTAGAGTTGATTGATGGAATTTGCCTTGTAATCTATACTAGACAATTCTATTCATGCTCTGCATGTGGGATAGAACGTTATTACTGAGGAAAGAAGAGAAAAACTAGGAAGAGTGGTCGGAGAAAAACATGTGAGAAGTTTGGTTTATTTTTGTTTTTTAAATATTTTTTTATTACTGTTTTACCCTCATTAGATAGTTTTTTCTTTTCTTTTAATGTCAATGTAAGTAGGGATATAATATAAGTTTTTTTTTCTTTTCAAAAATGTGATTGATAAAATGAATTTCTTAAAAACTAGTATAGAGTTTTTAAATCATGATGGGCAAAATACAAATAATAGCATATAAATCACGCCACGGGGTCTAATCCAATGAAAAGGTGCATTGACTTGCAGACCAGTGATCCCAAATTCGAAACTCCATGACATCTTGGTATTATGTGTGAAAAACCCCCCTCTATCTTTATAATTTAGACTATCACTTATATTTAAAAATAATAATAATAATAGCATATCGCAATACAATACTCTCACAATCAAGAATCAGATCAATTAGGGTGGGTAGTTGATCCAATTCTAATTTCTTAATTTATATATTTCTAGCTTCCCTCATTATACGAGTTCTCCATTTTTTAATAAGTAAACATGCCTATTAGCAATGGTAATCTACGGGATATGACTAATCTTTGTTTGTAGTATAAAGAATGGATGCATATCATTAATAAATTACTAAAAGCAAAAGAAAAGCATATCTTGTTTAGCAAAAACAAAATAGAAAAAAAGCATATCATTCACGTGAAACATGAGGACGTAATTTTTTAGTACAAAACATCACAATCTACTGTTAACAGAAAGTTCATTTCACACAAATTTTTTTAATATGGTTGGATTGGATTGGATTCTGTCCCACACAAAGTTCATTTCACACTTATATGAACACTGTCGACAGATTCTTACATATTTCCAAAGCAACCTTAAACTTAATAGCTAAAAAGAAAAAAAGTTTTTATCAACAAAAAAAAGAAAAAAAAGAAGTTAAAAGTGATAAATTGTTTTAATAATAAGCATATAGTAAATGACCTCTTTTTGTTTTGTGCTAGGTGAATGACTTTTAAATTTTGTTTTGTTAAAGGTCAATGAGTAAGCTCATGTGCTATAGACATGATTAACATGAGAGTTACATTTACGTTTTTGCCTTTTTCTATATAGTTTTTTTCCCAACCTCAAGGCACATGCTAATTTGCCTTGATGAGCATATGCTAATTTGCCTTGGATATGAAAATGAACTCGACAAAATCCAATCCAATCCAACATTATTGATGAGCATATGCTAATTTGCAAAGGGATGCAAAGCAAAATGGACGTAAAGAAAAGATAAACATTTAGCTACATACATTAATAATATGCACGAATTGCATCCTATTCTCCTCTCCTTATGCATCTCCCTTCCCTACCATAAATAATGACCTCCCATCTCAACAAACGAAAGGACAAGGACCCGTGCTTATGTTTCTTACCTGTTGAAGGCCATGGCATCTCCCAATTCTAGCCTTGGACTTGGACTCTTCATTCTTGAAAGGAAACTGACTCCATTCAACACAATTTATAAGGACAGGAAATTGACTCCATTCAACTTAAGCTTAGTTATCTTTTCACTATGAAAAAGATGTTTGATCTAATGAGTAAACATGTAAACCGGTCGTCCTTCTCGCAAAGTAAATGGCATGAACCTTGATTAAGGTTAAGGCTTACACTCAATCTCGTGGTAGAGATACCTCTTGGAGATAACTTGCACACTTTGAAGAGTTATCAGAATAGGAGCAAACTGGGTTTGATCCTAGTTGAACCCCCTTCGATAGTTAAGTCAGAAGTGGTTTAGAGGTGGAGAGATGGATGTAGGGTTTTTAAGATGAGATTATTTATTACCTTTGTCATGATGCAAGTGAAGGGTATTTATAGAGGGGAGAAGGGGAGATAAATATCTAAGGAGGAGATATTTCTCTCCTTCTTCCCCCTGGTAGGACTGAGGTACATTAATTGATCTCTCTTGATCATCATGTTGTCTGACAGAGATTAAGTGGCATAGCAACATTTGGTTTTGGATGTGAGGTACATTAATTGATCCATCTCCATCACCAGGTTGTATACCAAGGATTAAATGGTAATGCGACACCTGGCTTTGGATGTGAGGTACATTAACTTATCTCTCTCCATCACCAGGCTGTCCATCAGACGGAGAGAGTGACTGACGCGACAGGGGTCTGGTTGTGCCTCCAGAATGTCAATGCGCCTCTGGTCACACACGGTATCCTAATGGTCGAGTAGGTGTTTGCATGCCCGATCACTAATTCACACTTTCTCCCTTTAGGTTCGGCTTAAGAGGCCCTTGATCGACACCGGGGGTAGTACCTCTGGTTGGGTCGGTATATGGGGGACCTAGTCTCTTATGGCCACATGGTGTTCTCTGATAGGCTCGGCTTATAGTGATGGTATGAACCATTAACAAAACATATATAAAGTCATCCTCTCTTTTAGTTTTCTGTTTTGTTGGCTTTATTGTACTTATAATTTTGTATGACTGGATACATTAGTTTTTCTTTTATGTCACCGTTATTTAGAGCATAACTAGTGATTGGGTGTGTCAATATTATATTTTGGACTAACTAACTCATAGTCTAGTGATACGTCTCTTCGTAATAATATTTAAAAATGTTGTTAGTTCAAATATTAATTATCCTTCATTGATAAGAAAGTATTAAAATAGTTTGAGTGTACATTAAAAGAAGATTGGTGTCTTAGCAAAGTCCAAATAGCAGATCATTTGAGAAATAAAGTAGACAAAGTCGGCTCCCGATCATAGAGAATTTCCGGCTCACCAGATTCTATAAAAACATATTTTTGCAGCAATATTGAAAGGTAATCTTTGAATATGGTCCTTTTTCTCGTTTGGGTTCTGGAAAGTTACATAAGCAATGACAGAATTATAAATCCGAGATTGAACTCATATCTGAGACATATTCATCAAAACACATCCACGTTTCTATTCTAGGATGCTCTCTATCTGGCAAAATAATAACGAAAGCATTTGATTCTGATTCCACAGAATATAACCTCTAATGGACCCAGAGAGTGTGGAAAGAAACTTAGGGCATCTCTCAGAGGCGTCAGCCAAGTGGGATCAATATTGTTACGTTAACGATTCAAATGTATCATGCATCTTCATCCCAGAGTGTCCATGTTCATCGCCAGTATCAATGATCAAGTCATCCATTCACATCACTCCTGACTTGATTAATGTAGGAAATATATTCCACAGACATTTTTCTATTTAAGTATATTTTCAATTGTTAAAGTACCAAAAGAGGGAGACTTTCTATCCGTATGGAATTTGGAAAATAGAAATGCATTTCTATACCGCGGGAAATGAATCTATCCGGTGGTCTAAAAGATTTTCGTACCTTGAAACTAAGAAGAAAAGACAAGATTACGTAGCGTACAAACCACAACTCCGCATAGATAGTGTTTCAAAAACGCTATAGAAAGATATAATAGGGTTTTGGGTTATACAAAACGCTATAATTAAAACCCCAAACTATACCTAGCATTTTTGAAGTGCTATCAAAGATCCTTTTCCATTTCGTTAATGCTATTAAAGTGCTATAATGTGTTAGAGTTTGTATAGAAAAACAATTTTACTCTGTCCCACATTGGAAGAGAGTAGTTTCCACACATCATTTATAAGCACCCACTCACTTGAAACACTAGATAGGAAGTGGGGGCCTCACCTTTAGATTGGGTTTTTGGGGTGGAACCTCAACTTCCTTCATGATATTAGAGCTTGTCCACGTGTGAAAGCTCAACGGAGTTCAATCATGTCATATTGAAATCTAGTGTATTAATTTTATTTGTTGATATATATAGAATATATTTCGTGTTGTTTTTATACTCGATGATACACTATATGATGTTTATGCAGTGTTCAAGACAACTCAAGAAGTTTGGAAATCTCTTGAGAAAAAGTATAAAACTAAATATGCATGATCCAAGAAATTTTTTGTAGGTAGATTTTATGGACTTCAAGATGGTAGATTCTAAACTTGTTGTCAAACAAGTTGAAGACTTGCAGGAAATTATCCATGAGATTCTTGCTGAAGGCATGAAGATCAATGGATCTTTCCAAGTGGCATCTTTAATCGAAAAACTTCCAACAAATTGGAAAGATATTAAGAGTTATCTGAAACACAAGAGAAAGGAGATGAGTATGGGGGAATCTCATTGTAAAGCTTCGGATTTAGGAGGATAACAAAATAAGTGAGAACAAGAATTTGGTTTCAAACATTGTAGCCAAGGAAAACATAATTCAAGGGAACTCATCAATGCCATAACCCAATTCCAATAAAAAGAACAAGAAGAACTTTATTCCTAGATCAAAAGGGAAATACTTTAAAAAGATTAAAGGAGCATGCTGGATTTGTGGGAAAGCAAGCCATAGGGCTCAATATTGTAGGCACAGAAGAGATCAGAACCCTACAAATCCAAACAACAACAAACCTAGAAACAATCAGGCCAATGTGACTAAAGAAAACTTGGCTGCAATAATGTCAGAGACCAACATGGTTTCTAATGAAAATGAATGGTTGATTGATATTGGAGCCACCTGTCATATCTGTGGTGATAAGAATGCAATTCTTACTTACCAAGAGATACATGGAGGTGAGCAACGTTTATGGGAAACGCCTTTGCATTTGTTGTTGTTGGAAAGGGAAAAGTGCTCCTAAAATTCACCTATGGAAAGAAACTAACCCTCATTGATGTACTACATGTGCCATACTTACAAATGAACTTGGTACATGGAGCTGTTACAAGCAACAAAATTTCAAACTAGTTTTTGAGTCCAATCAAGTTCTCCTACTGTAATGCCCCCTAAAACTATGGTCAAATTCTACTTTACTTTGTCTTGGTCATATTAGGGAGCTTACTTATCAACCAAATTACATAATGCTCTGAATGCGTGAAGACATGGAATGGAACACTTTCGTTTTTTTTCTTCTTCTTTTCAGGTGGCTCTATAGAAGAAGAAGAAATGGCTATATTGTTTAAATGTATATTTAAATATTATATATAGTATAGCCGCGATGCTATATTGTTTAAATATGGCTATACTTCTTAAATATATTCGAATATTGTAAATCCAAGATTGAACTCATATATGAGACATATTCATTAAAACACATCCACGTTTCTAGGATGCTCTCTATCTGCCAAAATAATAACGAAAGCATTTGATTCTGATTCGTTATAGTGCTTGGATTTCTAACAAAGCTAACAGTATATTTTGTAATTGTTTCTTGTAATTCTGTTTCCTTATTAAACCATTTGCTCCAACAATAATAATTATCACCTTGTGCTGAAATTGAAATTTCCATAATATAAATAAGCTTATTAATGGACACATTAAAAAAATAAAAAAACAATTTGTACAAAATAAAAAAATATATTGTAATTTGTACAAAATTAAAATATATATATATATTGTAATTTTTGCAAAGTAATTAAGGACAATGAATATAACCTCTACTGGAACCAGAAAGTGCTGGAAAGAAACTTACGGCATCTCTCAGAGCCGTCTACCAAGTGGGATCAATGTTGTTAGGTTAACGATTCAAATTTATTATGCATCTTCATCCCAGAGCGTCCATGATTTGATTCATGTATAGGAAATATATTCCACAGACATTTTTCTATTTAAGTATATGTTCAGTTGTTAAAGTACCAAAAGAGGGGAGACTTTCTATCCTTAAGGAATTTGGAAAATAGAAATGCATTTCTATACCGTGGGAAATGAATCTATCCGGTGGTCTAAAAGATTTTTGTACCCCGAAACTAAGAAGAAAAGACAAGATTAACTATCGTACAAATCACAACTCCGCATAGATAGTGTTTCAAAAACACTATAGAAAGATATGATAAGGTTATACACAACGTGTGTCAAGAATAATGCTCAACCCAAACCCAACTCATTTAATAAACGTGTCGTGTTGGATTCGAGTGTTAAACATGTTATTAAACAGGTTACCTGTTTAATAACTTGTTTACCTGTTTAATAAACTGTTTAACAAATTATCATGATCGCTATATTTGATTTCTTATCATAACTTGACCCAAGAAAGGAATTCTTATCATAATCAAATAAGAATGTTTTTCTAAAGCCATGCAATAAATTGACTTGAATTGATGATATGTCTCTAGTTTATATTCTCCCATATGTGTATAGTAAAAAAAAAATTTGGTCCATAATGAAGGAAACATGCATTTAAATTTCCAATTATTGAATCTTAGGCTACAACATACATGAATCAAACATTTAAAGAGGCGAAAGCGAATTTTAATTCTTATTGAGCATAATGCTATCCAATTTCCCAAATATCTTTTAGGTTTAATCACATTTTATGCCTAAAATTCAAAATCCTAGACAAAGGATTTGATTTTTTAGCCAGACCCAACCCATGGCATGTGTGGGTTGGCCGATTGCACAGGGCCTCTAACTTTTTTAAGCCTAACTATAAAATAAACTAAGAGCCTTGCTATTTAGTTAGGGATGTATTTGAATTTGGGTCCTTAAATCCAAATAATTATGTTTCGGCCCAACTTGAGTATAAGGTTAATAAGCAAAAAGTCTTAGGAATTTATCCTCTCTCTCTCTCTCTCTCTCTCTCTCTCTCCCTCCCTTCTACTTGATAATGGTATGGGAGTTTTTGGCAAACAAAGACTCTATAGTGATAATCGTCTTGATAAGGCAGAAAAGATCTGCCTCGAGGGGTCTCCAAGGGCTCACCATTAATGTGTGGTTGGAACATTCGTGGACTTGACATATGATGAGCGTTCAATCACCTGTAGTTTTCTTCTTCAGGACAAGAGGCCGGAATAGGAGCTCCATGGTAGTTCTTCTTTACTTTGTGTTTTGTTCATGTGGTTTTTTTCGTTTTGGTGTTCTGTTGGTTCTGAACCAGTGCATGATAAACAAATCTTGCGTTGTACAAATGACTGTATTTACATAGGAGACCTTCTTTCACAGAACCTGAGAAGCGTTGATGTGCTCTTTAGATGGGTTTCTCTTAGCTTAAGTTTGTTAGTTGTGTTTTGGTCATGTGGTTTGTTCGTTTTGGTGCTCCATTGGTTTTGACCCATTGCATGATGACAAATCTTGCACTGTAAAAAATAATAAATAAAATAAATAAAAAACTATGTTTACGTAGGAGGCCTTCTTTGACAAAACCTGAGAGGCGTTGGTGTGCTCTTTATCTTAGCTTATGTTTGTTGGTTTCGTCAAATTGTTTTAGAGTTGATTGTTCTGTGTTTGTTTTTTTGTCTAGACTCATTGGTTAGTGTAAAGGTCTTTTTATTCTAACAGCCTTACAAATGGGCTTGGGCTGCCGAAAAAGAGAAACAGGTGAAGCTGCCCCTGTGTCTGAGTTCAAGGATCAGGCCCTAAGAGTGTTTCAAAAGGGTAGCTAAGCCTTAGGAAACACTTTGGTCTTCTTCACCAATGAAACCAACAATCGGTTACAGATAAATTCTTGGGCTTGGCATGAGAAGCTTGTGGCATGGGAGCTGAGCATTCGTGAGTTTAGGATGAGAGAGAGAAGGAGCTGAGATGGGAGAAGATGGAGGAATATGGCTCGAAATTGCAAGGGTTTCAGGGATGAGAGATGATGATTGCACTCTGGATGTGTATTTATGGAAAGAGAGGAAGAAGATGGAAGCATGGGTGGCTTTAGCATATTTTCAGCAGCTTGACGAAAGCTTCATCAAGCATCTGGGTGATTTGACAGAAGAGAAAATGGGAAGCAATGGAAGAACAAGGCTTGAAAGGGTTCCAGAGATGAGAGATGATGTTTGCTCTCTTTGGATGTGGGTTTTGAAAGAGAGAAATGAGGAAGATGGAAGAATAAAGCATGAAATTGAAGGGTTCCATAGGGGATGCTTGTCTTCGATGAATTCTCATGGTTGCTGGGAGGCTTGGAGCAACTAAGGTGAGTTGTCTTTGCTCGGTAGAAAGTGACTCCTTTTATAGGCACTGAAAACCTTAATTTTTTTCAAGCCATCCTCTCCCATTTTCCTCACCTTCTTCCATTTACTCTTGTTTGATGAAATTTCCCTAGCCTGAACCCATAGACATACAGCTTTTTGGGGTTCCAAGGTCCTCAAGTAGCTAGACTTCTCCATATGGGTGAGGAGCCACCCACTTTTGTTTCTTGTTTTCTCACCAAAGTTTGAAGAGGAAAAAATGGGTAAAGGTGCTTGGTCAAAAAGGTGATTAGCACATGGGTTTGCTTGGTTTTGGTGGTTTGGCTGCTATCTGGTTTTAACAGAGATGCACGGCGTTGGATATTTTATAAGGTGCTGGGTTGGGCTGTTTTGTTTCCAGCGGCATGTGAGTTTGCTTTAAGCTGCTGGAGGTTTTGGCTGATGTGGGCCTTTTCCTAAGGTGATGGGTTATTGGGTTTTCTCTCATGCTTACCCATATGTTTAGACTCAAGGAATGAGCTTGAGTTTTGGTGCTCCCAAGTAGCACAAAACTTCCACTCCTTGGACCATTAATGGGCCTCGTGAACGCTCGTAACCATCCATACCACAACCTGCTCAGTAAGCCTCATGCATTCGCGTGGCTTGGGCCCACTTAAGCTTGTAGCGTGGCATGTTACTTAAATAAAGATTTTCCACTTGGTGTTGTACTGGGCTGAAAATATATTTGGGCCCAACCTTGAATTTTTTGGGCCTCAACAGTTAGTCTGGTGCATGTGCAGTGGCTGAGGCACATGGAGACTAGTGTAGTCACTGGCCCCCAATGAAATTTTATTTTTTTAAAAACAAAGTATTAGTATACGACCCAATTTCCTCTAAAAGTCATTTACCATATCATATCCAGCAACCAAAGTCATTTACCATATCATATCCAACAGCCAAAAGTAGTATTCAGCTAAACCTATATTAACACATAGGCCCCACTGACCAGCCAAATTTCCTACAACCATACACTACCCATTCCCAAAAGAATTAGAATTATTATTATAATTATATATTGCATTCTTGTATAAATCAATAAACCTAAGCCTTTTTCTCTTTTCTTGAGTCAGAAACATTACCAGACCAGCCAGTGCTTGTGAGTTTTTTCTCTTCTCACATTCTATTTATATTATCAAGTTTTTTATTTCTCTTGATTTTAATGGGTCTTTCAATTTATGTGTAGATTACCAAAGCTGTAGAAATACAGCATGTGTGGTACTCTTTCCTAGGTTTTCCCATGTGATTTTCATGAGATGGTTTTAATTAGGCCAGTGTTAACATGTCGGTTCTTATCTAACTTTGTGGGCCATTTGCATGCTTAATGACTAAGCCATGTTACATAGATTAGTTTCGTGTGACAAAAGTAAATTCTCAACCGCAATGTATAAAATAACTCAAATTTCAAATATTAAGGAGTGAATTACCTGAGGGTGATGAAAATAAAATTGTGACACACATAATAAATACTCATTTTCAGGGGCCCTAATAATTGACAAAATTGGGAGGGAATAAAAATTTACTGGATCAGTCACTTTGTGAAAAATTAGATCTTCCAAAATGTTGGGTTAAAGTTGTTAGTAACCGTGATTCCCTCCATGCTTACTAACTTGAACTTGGATGTGGTCAAATTAGAAGAACTTTATTATTAGCCTTATAAGGCTTTTTATCATAAAACATTCTTGAGGTTTGCGAAATTATCAGGTTGCGTCTTTTATGTTTTTTTTGTCATTTGTGGAGGTTAATACGTGTACTCATAAATAGTCCTTGCCATCATGTTCCTTTCAAAAATTTGTTAAATTGATGACTACATTTGAAACTTATAAATTTTTTTTAAAAACAACTTAAAAGAAAAGAAAATATTTTTAAAACAAAATCACCATCACGCTAAACCCAAACCCCAACCAGTCTCCCCCCCTCCCTCTCCCTCTCAGACCTCCAACAGCAGCACACTATCCTCACCCACCCTCCGCACCACTGCCCCGCCCTCCTCCTTTTCTCTCCCTCTTTGTCTCCCTTCCTTCCTCTCTTTATTTGACAGCAACCAACCCTAAACTCCACTCCCCTAAGCGTGATCCATGTATGGTGTCACCACAACATGGTAGAGATCATTGCTTGCCATCAACTCCTTCTTCAACCCTAGCTATGTTTCATTGTGATCAATAAACAAATCCAAACATTCAGAATTTCAATAGAAACAAACAATGAAACTTTTTATATATTCTTTCATGAATAGGAATTATAACTTGTGCCATTGTGTTGCCTCTTGAGTCAACATTCCTACAATCTTTATTAGGAAAATATCCCTTGATCTCAAAGTCCCAGTCTTTGTTTTGCCTAGCCTCGGTGGAGATTCTGATTGCATGAGTTCTTGCCAAACAGGAGTTTGGCTCTTTCAAACAAAAAACCAATTATATATATTTTATAATTTTGGATTGATTTGATGATTATATCCCTGAATGTAACAGTTTTTTTGACAGATGAACTATTTAAGAGCACCCATATTAACGTTAGGGACCATGAGTGATACAAAAAAACTTTAAGGATGCAATCTGATAGTTTCGCAAACATCAGGGACGTTTTGTGATAAAAAAGCCTTTAGAAAATAATTAAATGAGGAAATGGGCATTTCTTTTTGGTTAAGAACTTAAAAGAGGGAACCAACCAACCGAGGCCCAAATTATCTGTGCACATAAGGCTCTCCTCGTAAAAGCGACAAACTCGAGCTGCCTCTATTCCTTCCTATTTTCAGGTATCTCTCTCTCGCTCTCTCGCTCTCTCGCTCTCTCGCTCTCTCTGTGTATACTATTTCAGTTGATAACGAGAATGGTTTGCATATAACTGTTTAATCCAAAAAACTAGTAAATATGATAATGATGTGTGGGATTTTGACATAGCGCTTTGTTATTTGCACGAGCACAGTAGGTGATTGAGTTGCACATGAGGTGTTCGGTAAAATGTCAAGGTCACTGGTGTTGATTGAGTTGCACACTAGGTGTTTGAAAAAAATGTCAATTTGCAATATGGGTAGTCTCAAATGGCCTGACATTGTTTTGTAATACTGAAAGATTTAAACTTCACATTGTGGCTGGTCTTGGAGGCATTTTTTTGTCAAAAACTGAAAGTGTATTCTTTGAATTAGAGAGGTGAAGTGAGATGGCCACTGGTGGTCTAAAGAGCCTGTTGTCCACGGCAATCACTACTGGGGTGACTGAGGCTAGGGCGAGGATATTCGGGCACATACTCAACCCAACAGGCCAGAAATCTGCCCATAAGATTTTACGCAAGAAGTTGATTGGTGAGAAAGTTGCCCAGTGGTACCCATATGACATCAAGAAAGATGACCCCCAAATCATGGCTATGGAAGAAAAAGAGTACACTCTCTTCCCCTCCCTCCCTCTAATGTCTACTGAACGTCTGCTTTTTCTGTTTTGCTGTTGTATTCTTTCTTCAATACGGAACTTGCAAATTCCGAAGAATATCATGATATTTCCTTAGTTGTGAAAATTACATAATGGAAGGTCAGCACTTTAGTATTTTATTCATAGAATATAGAAGCAGAAGATTAATAGTACAATGTTACTTCCATAGTTGGCTGCTCTGTCTGTACAAATGAGTGAACATCTTAGTAAGGCATGCTTCATAGGCAACTGAATACTTATTATGAAATTAAAACAGCTTCCTTTTCTGCCTCTCATTTGAGTCTTGCAGGCTAGTTTTTGATCTAGTGTAGTTTCGTCATGACTGCTTTGCCACATTAAGTAACCAGAATATAGCTTGTGATGGTTTCATGATTTGTATAATCAGAACTGTATGTAGTTTTTGGTGACTATATTCCTGATGCATCTCTACTTGGCATCTTTCTAGGCGATTATCCAAGCTTGAAATGTTGAAGCGTCGAGGAAAAGGACCACCCAAGAAGGGTCACGGAAGGCGTGCTGCCAAACGTAACAAAAAGTAGTATTTTGACATGCTAAAATTGGTTCTTGAGTAGTGTTTTGAATAAAAAGACTACTAGTATGGACGTTCTGTAACTTTTTGTTCTTTTAAGTTCCTTTCATTTTTCTTGCCCCACTTTGTAAAGATGATATTATTCTATCCATGGGAATATTTTATTTAGCAAAACATTTGGCATTCAACACTTTCCAGGCTTCGGCTGATATAAGCAGGTTTGAGATTTCAACTTATTTTGGTTTGTCAACAATCCTTGAGCAATGGATTTAGTACTGAAATCATGTGCGGTTGATTTTTTACGTTTCTATGATGTTATCCAAACCGGGAATTATTGCTAAAGCAGGGGAAAATTGACACAAACCGAAACTCAGATTGAAAATCAAAGTACATCAAACTATCATTTTTATCACGAAGACCGTAAAAGGGATTCCTCGTGCATAAAGCTTGACATGTATACAAGAGCTTTTGGAAACTTATAATTGAATGAATGCAACACAAATACCATATCCCATCCAACCATTAGAAGCTCAATGGGTGTGTCCTGCCTGTATAAATTTTCCTTGTACCACATACTTCACAGCTTCAACAATTTTTTGAATTTTTAATTTAAAAAAAAAAAAAAAAAAAAAAAAATTTGCTTACAGAGTTTGAATGGAGAAACATATGATCAGCAAAGCTGTATATGGTACCAAATCTTGAAGAAGAAATAATTTTAGGTACCTTTCTTTTACCAATAATCTCCACATGAACAAGTTCCATTTTTAAAATGATGGAACCTTCTTACATCCCTTAAGATGATCTCCCTGTCGAGTATCTTTGAGATATACTTCGACGCCATGTGGCAGTCGTTACAGACTCTAAGGTTCTTGGCAACTCTAATGGTAGTCCCAGGACGGGTATTGAGAATGCCGAATGCTAGTGCCAGTTTTTCACTGTGCCCACAGAGTAGAGTTTCTTTCTCCTCCTCATCAACATTGTGAAGTACACAAGAAGTATCAGGCACATAACCCTCCTTTTTCATCTTCTCTGACAGGGTTTCGAGAAATTCATGGAGCTGTTCACTTTGTGGATGTGACAAATCTCCAGCCAAAAACTTATGAACCTCATCTCCAAACTCAATCCAACTACAACCAGGCTCTTTCTTCACTCCCATTTCCTTCATCTTTCTCCGAACATCCATTGCCTTATCCCAAAGCCCAGAGGATGAGTATATATTTGAGAGTAGAACATAGTGACTAGCCACGCTAGGCTCCAACTCCAGGAGTTGATTAGCTGCAATTTCCCCAATCTCTACATTCTGATGAATTCGACAAGCACCAAGCAAGCTACTCCAGGCACCTGCTTTATCAAGCTCAGAAGGCATGGTGTTGACAAGTTGATATGCTTCCTCCACATTACCTGCCCGGCCAAGCAAATCCACAACACAAGCATAATGATCTGTTGCGGGTTCAACCCCATGGTCACTTTTCATTTTGTGGAACAAATTCAGTCCTTCATCTACCATCCCAGAATGGCTACATGCTGCAAACAGTGCAATGAAAGTAACTTCATTAGGTCTTACCTCTTTATTCCGACTTCCTTCATCCACCATATTCTTAAATAGTTCCAAGGCTTCCTCCGCTCTCCCATGCATCCCATAAGCCATGATAAGTACATTCCAGGTGATCACATTCTTTATTGGTATCTGATTAAACACAGCTCTAGCTAAATCTATGCAGCCACATTTTGCATACATGTCAACCAGTGCACTTCCTACTGCAACATCAAATGCCAACAAATGTTTAATAGCATAAGAATGAATCTCTTTCCCCTTAGCAAGTGCTGCCAATGCAGCACAACCTGGAAGAATTGTCATGAATGTTATAGAATTTGGCTTAAGAGGAACCCTTCCTTCATCATCATAAGCATTATCATTCATGTTCTTTTTCTCTTTCACTCTCTGCATGTCATATATCAGATTAAGTGCATCACCATGGCGTCCACAGATAACATAACCAGTGATCATGGTGTTCCAAGACACTATGTCTCTTACCTCCATGCTGTTAAATATAGTTTCTGAAATTTGTGTCTTCCCCATCCTGGAGTACATGTCCATAAGTGCATTTTGCACATACCTGTTCTTCTCCAGACCCCTCTTTATTACATAACCGTGGATACTTTCTTTATCAGAGAATGCTTCACAGCGCACGCTGGCTGGCACAATACTTGACATTGTGGTAGAATTTGGAGAAAGCCCAGAGGCAGCACACATTTCAAGGAACAGGTTCAAGGCCTCCTTGTCATACTCATTTTGTGCATAACCAGTAATCATTGCATTCCAAAGTGCAATTTTCCTCTCCAAGACAGCGTTAAAAACACGACGACCACTTGAAACTTGTCGGCAATTGCAATACATGTCAACTAAAGCACTACCCACATAAGAATTCTCAATCAATTCATTGGTTCTCAAGGCATAAGCATGTATTTCCTTCCCTGTGTCTAGCATCTCCAGATGAGAACAGGCAGGAAGAACACTTGCAACTGTGACCCCATCTGGTTTAAATCCTGCAAGAACCATAAGGCGGAAGAACTCTAATGCTTCCATAAATTGGTCATTCTGAGATAATGAACTTATCATCGTGTTCCATGAAACCATGTCACAGTCCTCATACAACTCAAACAAAGCTCTCGAGTATTCAGCTTCTCCTAATTTAGAATACATTGCCAATAAAGCATTGATTGTAAATGTTTTGCACTCGCTCATTCTCACACTATACGCATGAACTTGCTTTCCAAGCCGCAAACCATCACTCTTGTGCAAATTAGAACAAGCAAGAGCCACACTCACCAAAGTAAAGGAGCTAGGCTCCACATTCTCCAATAACATCGACCTAAACGTCTCAAGAGCGAGTTCCCATTCCTCAAACCGACACAAAGCAGCAATCATCGAATTCCAAGAAACTTGATCTCTCTCAATTATTCCATCGAACACTTTGCATGCATCTCCTATATCTCCACATTTTCCGTACACATTTACAAGTGTATTAGCCACGGTCACTGAAGATGATCCATACCCAAATTTCACGACATGGGCATGAATCTGCTTCCCCAAATTCAAGTCCTGAAGGCTTGTAACGGCCTTGAGAACTGCCGGGAAAGCAAAGTTGTCGGGTGCTATACCCGAAAGTGTCATTTCGATGTACGTTAAAATGGCTTCTCGGAAATGATTGGACCGGGTTTGGGAGCGAAGGGTTTCGATCCATGAGGCCGGAGTGCGAGAATGGGATATGAGTTTTGGCGCAGAGGTGGTGGTGGTGGGTTGGTTGGGTATAGGAGATTGCTTTAAAGTGTTTCTTTTAAGAGTTGTGGGTTGGTGGATTTGGAGGGAAGAAAGTGTCTGTGAAGAAGGTAAGGGTCCAGAGAGAGGTGAGAGCAGTTGAGTGTAGGAGGACATTTGATAGTTATTACAGTTGGAGCAGCTACAGGATAGATAGTTCTAAAAGAAAGTAGTTCTATAGTTGTTCATGTTTTGAACAAGTGATAGGGGTTGGGCCCACTGACTGGATATTCTATCTTCCCCTTCATCTTCATTTTTTCATGTGATCAAATTTTAAGAAATTCTCAAATTTTATTTTGTTGTTTTGTATTTCATTTCTGAGTTTTCTACTGAAATGAGATTCATAAATCAAAGAGAGAAAGACCTTAAGTTATGCTTTTGCTTGCTCACTTGCTTTTCCAGAATTTTGTTCTCTCTCATCATCATTTGATGAACTCATACTCATAAGCATCACTGCTTGGTAATTTCTTCCAACCAATTTCTTCATCAATCATTTAAAGATAAAGAAACAACTCTTGACATGAACTAGATGAAAAAGAAATGATCTGTCAAGTTGGGCAATTGAGGTTTCCAATGAATTGGTCTGTAAATTTTTGAGCTTCCAAGGGTAGATTACATTACATGTGAGAAAAAGTACAGAGGGCCTGCCAAACTGGATACAATTGAAAAAGAACTTAAGAGGGAGCTTTGACTTCGTAAACTCTTCCTTTAATTGAAGTGAAACACATTGAACATGCATAACCTTTCTTTCACATGTGGCAGCGTACCTTTAACATATAGCTGCATATTTTTAACGTGTGGCTTCATACTTTAAAGGTGCGCTCTTATGTACCTTATGTCAAATGCCTTGCCGACCTTTTAATGGCCCACACCCTACTGTAAGGATTTTTTATATGAAAAATATATAAAAGATAGTCTAAACTACAAGGACGATGATGGGGTTTTTCACACGCACTATTAAAGTGTTACATGAGTTCAAACTTGATATCACTAGTTAATAAGTAAATGTCATTTTCCACTAGACTAGACCCGGTTGGCACAGTAATGAAAAAAATATGGAATTGAAGCAGCAAAATTTGGCCTTTTCCCCCAATAGATAAATATAAATATTTGAGTAAAAACTTTAAGTTGACGCGGGTAAATAATGGCTAACAGCACAGCTGCCTGTCATATTCACACTTGCAGGGAGGAGAAGAGTGAAGAGATAAAATGAACAAAACTGAATAAATTTTCAACCTCTTGTTATCTTGCTTTTCAAAGGTTTGGGCTTGCGGGTCTATATGGCCATTTCCAGGATAAGAACAAATTGGGTAGGTTCATTTTCTGAATTTAAAGCATAGCTCTCGCTCTTTCCAGTCCAAAAGGCCATTTTGTGCATAGCAACACTGAGAGAGAGGATGGAGCAGCTACCATCAGAATCAGATGCCATAGCCAAAGTCTCATCGATATTCATATACCCAATAAAATCATGCCGTGGAATTTCAGTTTCTCAAGCATCGGTCACTCCTACAGGTATGACAAATTCATCACTACTTGTACTTCCATTGATGATGATATTCGTTTTGTTTCTTTCTTGAGGCCCCTAGAAAAAATGCACACTTAGTATTTAAGTCAGATTATTCAATTATATTTGTTTGCATATTTGAGTTGCCCAGTTGAGTTTTCTCCCTCTAATTTTTTTTGTTTTTAATTATACATGAAATTAATTATTTTCTACATGATTGTACCTCTGTATCCTTGAGTTGCCTTCAGTTTTGTTGGAATAAAAAGTGGAGGATAAAAACAGTGCATATCACGGTTGTTTTCTATTTTTGCATAAGTTTACTATTTAACCTTAATTTGTCAAACTACTCTGCTTATTACATTATTGATGGACCTCCTGTAATTTAGTGACAAGGAATACTTGTAATTATTCAAATGAAAATTGTTGGTTAGACTGCAAAGTGCAGCCATATTCTGTATTTTTTTATTTTCTTTTTTTTTGGGATGTACAGGATTTCGATGGGATCGGCAATGGTTAGTTGTAAACTACAAGGGGAGGGCGTATACTCAAAGGGTTGAACCAAAGCTTTCTTTGGTTCAGGTAGAGCTGCCAGATGAGGCATTCATAGAGGGTTGGGAACCTTCTAAAAGCTCTTATCTAGGTAAAAAATATTAACTTTCTTCTCTGTAAAGTTTGTCTTTCCCTCTTTTAGATGCCGTTTATGGTCAAACTGTGCTTTCTGCAGTAGAAAACTTATCATTGAGCAGGAGATGTGTGACCATCCGATTGACTCCGACTTCTTTCTCCTTTGCTAATTATCACTTTGGCACATGTGGATTTGTTTCTGGAGATATTATGCCTAGTTGGATGTTGAAATGGAGCTTTACTCTTTTCTTTCTCTTTATTTTCCTTCTTATGATTAAAAGTGCTCACATTGTTGTATTCGATCTTTTATTGTCATTGTTTCTTTTCCCCTAGAGAATTTAGTTCAAAATCCAATCACCTTTTGTAGAACCTGTCACTGTAGTAAAAAGAATCACTCTGATGCAGCACTACTTCCAAACAAGTTGTCCTCCATAATTTTGCTTAATGTTTCAACATTCAGAGAGTTCTGGTGAATTTATTTTCTGTTAACTTAATAACGACCTTCACTTTGCAGTACTAAAAGCACCTGGCATGGATGCACTTAAGGTTTCTTTGATTGCACCTCGAGAAGTATCAAATGGGGTTTCAGTATGGGAGTGGTCTGGTTCCGCATTAGACGAGGGAGCTGATGCATCAAAATGGTTTTCAGATTATCTTGGGAAACCCAGTCGACTTGTTCGCTTTAATACAGGTAGAGTTTTTTTGTTCTGTAAAAGGTTATTATCAGATAGGACTTCAATTGGAATATGCAATAGCATCCAATGTGGTGCACATATTTCCAAACTCAAAACTAATTTATCTGGTTGCATTGTGTTCTGATGCAGCTTCAGAAACTAGGCCTGTGGAACCTGAATATGCTCCAGGACACAAAATCATGTTCTCCGACATGTACCCATACATGCTATTATCTCAGGTTAGTCAAGTTGCAACGTGAAAATGTAACTTCTTTTGCTTTCAAATAGAAGCTCCAACTTGGTTCTTGTCATTATATATTTTGCAGGGATCAATGGATGCACTAAATAACGTTTTGAAGGAACCCATACCAGTTAACCGTTTTAGACCAAAGTAATTTCTTTATTTAGTTTTCCTGTTGTATTTTTTTTCTTCTTTAATAAGCATCCAAATTCTTCAATACCATGTTTCCTGCACTGCTTATTTTCAGCAACTTGGCATTAATAATCTTCTCCAGGAACCAATACTACTCTGTACCAAAATGTTATCAGCAATATATGTAAATAGATAGTATGCATAGTTTTAAATCTTGCGAACTTTTACTTGGATGTCGCAGCATTCTTGTTGAAGGTTGTGAACCATTTTCTGAGGACTTGTGGACAGAGATCAGAATAGACAAGCTTACATTCCTGGGTGTCAAGCTATGCTCCCGCTGTAAGGTTAAGAGTTTTACCCTTTCTGCAATTTTTGCCTACGTGGTGACAGTCAAGCAAATTTTCATAGGAACATCAATGTAATACTTGTCTCAAAATCATATATTGTAGTAGTTCCATTTTAAAATGTAAACTTTGTTTAACTAAACAGTGTCCTCTGGAGCAAACGTTGTTGGCAGCGAGCCACTTGGTAGACAAATGGGTCTTTTAACAGGCACCAAAGCTAACCAGGAACTTTCATGTCTTCCAGATACCAACAATCAATCAAGAGACTGGCATCGCAGGAGCTGAGCCAAATGAAACTCTTAGGAAAATCCGGTCTGATAGTGTCTTGCGTCCAACTCAAAAACAGAAAGGAAAGGTGAGTAAGTAACAATTATAGGCTTTCAACCGTATTCCACCCTCCATGTCCATGCAGTGATTTACATTACCTACAACATGTTAAATGGATTTCCAGGTCTACTTTGGGCAGAATCTAGTTTTCGAAGGCTCTCTTACCGGGAAAAAGGGAAATTTCGTAAAGGTTGGAGATCCTGTTTATGTTCTCAAGAAGGTCTCCTCTGCTGATGAAGCAGCAGCTTGAATTTTGTAGAATATATACTTTATCTTTGCTGTTACATGGATAATAGTATAAGAACTGCCGTCTAGTGTACAATAAATAACAAGTGAAGTGAGTGGCTTGTTAATGCTGGTTTCTTGCTTTTTGTCTTCCAAATTATGAGGAGGGTGTGTAGGGGTGAGAGTTCCAGCTATTTCAATTCAATGTATGAGAACCAAAGTCTCCATGAATGATATATGTGTTATGTAGCCGCTTTCATATATAACAAGTAACAGATAAAAAGAACCATGAATGCTTAGTGGATTCCTTGTTACTTTTTTTTTCTTTTTTCTTTTTCCAAAATAATAAAAATTTCTCATGAAATAGCACTATTAAACCTATGATTTCTATAAAGGTTTTAACGAGGTCCACGTAATCGTGCCGATCTTTGTATGCCTTTTATGGTTTATGAATGAAATCTTCTTCTCAAAAAAAAACCTATGTCCAATCAAACAAAATTATCACACAATACTACTAGACTATGCATTTCTTCATGGAAAATAGTTGTGATCATTACTTTTATTATTTTATGGCATCAATTAATGATAAATTTTGCCGACACACAAAAAAAAAAAAAAAAAAAAAAAAAAAAAAAATAGATTGATGATGAGGCCTTAGTTTAAGAGTGTCACACAGGACCTTTAAAATCTCAGGATCTGTCAAGTACCTCACTTCTCACTTCTGCAAACGACGGGTTAAAGTGAGATTTGTCCACAGTCGACTCTAGTTAAAGTTAAAGGCTCAGTCCATTTTGAAATTGGGCTTGCATAAGTTGGGGCCAGATATCTCCCTTGGCTGGATATATAGTGGCATTGTTTGTAGTTTTTCAGGACAGAAGGGTTCATTAGTTTTGATTCAATCAAGGTCTCTGAGATGTATCCGTAGAGACTTAAAAAAATATAGGTAGGTGGATAAAGCAACAGTCTCACCTGCTTTTTGTAAACTTTACCGTTTCTTTATGATTTTATTATCATCCTTCACCTTCAGAGACTGCGCTTTACAGAAAACAAAGAATAAGATAAGATAAATGCTAATTATATATATATACATATTTTAAAGGATTTTATGCACTTCTCAGAGAGTCAGAGTTTTGATTTTCGACTGTAAAGAGAAGCTACAAGACCCCTTTAGCTCTTTGAAAAAGAAAGTTACACTGTTGTTTCATTACAATATTACTCTTCTTAAACACGGAATGGATATGGTTTTGGATGAACCTCTCTCTCTTTCTCTCTCTCTGTGGAGCCTCTTGTGTTCACAAACGCAGCCTCTGAAAACAACAATTCTGGGCTCTTGAAGCAGAATTTTCTTGGATTTTTTCTGGAAGAGAAATAAGGTATGTGCCATTTTCACTTATCTAGAGGAAACTTTATTTGTACCATTTTGTTGCATACCAAAATGCGTCACTGTCATCAATGTTTCATTGGTATCCCAAGAAAAAAAGCTGTGTGCAAAGCGTTTGCTATTTTTGATGTTCATCTAGGTCGAAAGCATTTCTAGTTTGGTGCTGCTTCTTATGGAAAGGACACCCAAAATCATCAATTATTTCTCCAAAAACGAAACCCTTTGGATTTAGCTGCTCAGCTTGTAGCTTCTCCCTCTTTTCTTTTTATTGAGTTAACAAAAGTTTCTTTTCTTCATTGCTCTCTGATGAGAGATTCTTGATTCATCTTTGTCTTGGTTTTTGGAGCTCCCTACTCTCTCTCTCTCTCTCTCTCTCTCTCTCTCTCATATTTTCTCATTTCTTTCTCTGTTGCCCTGAAAAATTCATTGCTCTTTCTCTGATATCCCAATTTTGCTCAGACATTCTGTCTCTTGCCGTTCTCTACTATGATATGAGAGTCCTGAGCCTGGATTTTGAAAGCTCAAGAAGAAAACTCAGCTACCCTTAACTAGCATTGCCAATTATGCACCCTACTTCCATCATCGTACAGGTGGCCCATCGTCATATTAATCTCAAACTAAGCTAATAAGCGTACTCTTTTATCTTTGTCCAGTACAAATGCCTGCATTCACTCTGCAAGACCCAACAGTTACTTCTCTGTAACTTTCAGATGCCCAAGACAAGCCATAAGCATGTGCTTGCTACTGCCACCTTATTTTTTTTATTTATTTTATATATTTTTGGCTCATTTCAATATGAATATTGTTCACCCATGCAAATTATCTAGAAACCCAAAAGGGAAAATTCACAACCGCATTTTCTAAGCCGCAGCAACACACTTTTCCGTTAACATGATACGTAAAATCCGGGGTACTTTGTTTTTTTTTACCCATCTAAGTGTTGCAAAATGACCAAAGTACCCCTATAAGGGTCCCCCAGTAAGCGTATTATTATGACCAAAGGGTCAAACTTAGACCACCATTTTCTTGAAGAAAGAGGCTATATTTTGTGTAGGCCTTGTTAGCTGCTTTGGTCTAAGCAATGACACCCCCTAGAATCCACAAACGAATGTTAGACCAAGAACCACTGTTTTTGTGTAGGGTTTGGTGTTCTTCTCGAAAAAATTTTAACCTCGGCTGTGGTGCTTGTTTGGTCAGGCAGGCTCTGAGGCTCCTAATGTAAATTCAATTAAAAACTCTTTTAAAAATTGAAGCAATTTGAAATTGGAAAACTGTATCATGGGTAAAAGGGTGTAGGTGTATGCATGTGAAGTTGGGGTTTTCCACATTATTTGAAGGATACAAGTGGGGTTTTGGTAGTGGATTAAGGGTATAAATGGAAACCAGAAGAGGACAGAGGTTGCTTGCGCAAATCTAGCTAATATGGGGTTTCTGTGGCAAGCAAAGGTGGAAAGGGTGTTGTTGACGAGGAGCACTTACATGAAATGTAATAGTGCAATTTTGCTATTTTCGGTCAATTACAGTATATTATGTGTGATAACTTTTACAAGTTATCATTTCATACAAGTTTTTTTTAGGCCGCAGAGATGAGAGAGAGAGAGAGAGAGAGATGGGGGGGTTTAAGTTTAAGGCAAAGGGAAAACAATATTTCCATGCTCAAAATCGTACAAAGCGGAAACCCTTCTTTAATTTTTCTCTTTTCTTTCTTTCTTTGCCTGTCTCACATTTATTTGGCCTCATTATGTTTAGACAGACGGAACAGCAGAAGGACACAACACAAATCCAAGGCAACAACCCACCCCACCCCCTACCCCTCTTTCATAATTTGCTCCTCAGCTTCTTCTTTTATTTTATACAATTCTTGCTCATTGTTTTGGCATTTACTCACCTACCCACAAGTTCTTTTTCAAAATGCTCATAAACCCAATTTTTATTTTTGGCCACATACTTCAGAAAAAGGGGGCACCTTTTATCTCATTGTGGGTTTGTCTGTGTGTTTTTGCCTATAATCTTAGGCTTCTTCTGGTGCTGACAGCAAGTTTGGTGGTGGAGCATGGTGGGGGCTATGGCTGCAATTTCCTGGAAAGTTGAAGAATCATGCTTTCAAGTGTTTTTGCTGAGAAAGTTTGTGGAGAAAGTTGTTTTCTTGGACTCAAAATGTGAAGGGTGGACTGGTAGAGGACATGCCATTTCCAAAGTCCACCACTTGTTGCAGCAAGTTCTGATCTCCTTCCTCATGATCTGCTTCTTTGGCTTTTGATGGTGTAGGGGTGTTGGTGATATTGGCTGGACGGCTCAATCTTTCTGTATTTTTTAAGGATATAATAATTTGTTTTATTTTCCTTTTTTTGCTTTATTTTCACTCATTAATTAAGTTTTTGGCTCCTCATTCTGTTTATATGGAAAGGGTATTAATCAAATTCCATTTATTATGTGATTTGAGGAAATTGGGAATTAGCAGATTGGTGATGCTGGTGGTGAGTAAATTAAAGTTTCAATTTTCATGTCTGCAGAAAGTTCAATGCATGAGCACTACTGTTTTTATAACCAGCTCGCTTCTGCCACTCAATTTTATTATGGGGTTTTCTTGGGGTATGTGGGGGCTTTGGTACTGTGTGTTCACATGTTCAAATACACTTCCCTGGATTTGCATTTTAATTTGGCTTAATTGTTGTAGTTCTTAAACTTTGACCTCCCAACGATTGACCCCAAAAAAATGGCAAGATAAAAGAGAGAAAGGAGAGATGGGGAATGAGCCGCTCAATAGCAAGGGGGTAGGGGGAAAGGGGAGAGGGACGTAACTTGGGGGTTTTGTAAGTGAGTAATTGGGGTTTGAAGTCAACAATTGCAACTTGCCCAACTTGATTTCTTTTCCATAGTTGTCTTGGACACCAGAAATTTAAAGTTGATTGATGGTGTGTTTCTTTTAGTTTAAGAATCATTTAAAAGACTCGTTTAATAATCATTTCGTTTTCACTTTTTCGGAAAACTGAAAACTGAAAACATGTCATGTTTAATAAACATATGTCGCATGGCTCTGCTTCTCTTTTTCTTTGAGTTGTAATCTGGTTTGAATTGCTCTCCTGTTAATGAAAGTTCTTAGTGACCCAAAAAAAAAAAATCGAACTCACGCACATGAAATAAGAAATAACAAAAACAAAAACATGAGAAAGTGGAAACAATTACCAAGCAACTTTTAAACGGTTCCTAGTTAGAAGACAATTAGAGTACAATTAAGCCTTTTTATTTTCGGAAAATCATCTTCCATATTCAATAATAATATTATTACTTGTGAAAAAATTGCACAAATGCCACTTGGGTTTCTGGGAGGTTGGTTGTAATCTTTTTAGTTTGGATGGATGCAATTTTCCCATTATTTATCAACTTTCTTTGTTTCAATTCTCAATTTTGGCTTGAGACTAAGAGAGTGTTGTGGCTTTGTAAATGGTGTTTCTAAATCTGTCTTGTATGGGTTGGGTAGTGAGGTGACAATGCAACAAGTGGAGTCCAGATAAACACTGAAACTGGGGTCTAGGGCTCCTAGGCTTAGGCGCACTATCTATCTTATAGGCATTGGTAAAACAAGCACTGAGAGAGAGAGAGAGAGAGAGAGAAAAAAACAAAGGCAAAGACAAATAAAGTTTGGAAGGCCCTCATATTCATAGTCCATGGAAGTGTCCTATCAATTGTGTGCACTGCAATTTGGGATTTTCTTGGTTTTTGGTATTTGCATGCACGTGAAAATACAAATCTATTTTATTTGATAAAAGGGTAATTTGTCGAATTCCCTTTTCAACTTGTATCTAATTATTAATTTACATTCAGATAATTTTTTTTAAAAGAAAATTAAGGATTCGAATAAATTTTTATTATTAAAATTACCCATTTTATCTAAATCATCAACATTTCATCCAAACTTCACTTTAAAAAAACTAAAAACATAAAACATAAGAAAAAAAAATTAAAAAAGGGGATTAACCCCTTCACACACCTGAAGGCACCCCTTCCCAACCGCCATCATCTACACCAACGCCACCATCCACACACCACCGCCACCATATGTCTCTCACCGACTCTCACACTCCAACTAAAACACATTATCTCACCCTAAATATTAACTCTACACACCTACTCACCACAGCTAGCCCATCATCTCATCAACACAGAACAACTCATCCTCATCCCCAAACTTAGCTACTCCATGCAACTCCAATCCTCGATTGACATCCCAACAATCACTGACCACTCCCACACCCAAAAAACACAAAAGAAAACCTTATCCCCACCCATAGACCTAGACCCTTTGACCCCCTCCCCTATGTTTTTTTTTCTCACCCATAGCCTTCAAGGTCCAAATCTCTTCACCTTACAAGTTCCTCGTCAAACCACCAAATGGTTTAATCCTTCTGGTGTGCCACGCCACCTTCCATGCCATCCTCAAGCCTCAGGCCTAGTTCCTGCATGCCTTTCCTCGCTCGCCGTTTGACAGATTCCTCATCAACATCGCCGAGTTCACCCTCCCTACCTAGTGACCCAATATCTCTTAGCCCACCCCCTGAATTTTGCTAACTTGATCACCCCTCACCCAAAATCTCAACTCGAAATCGCATAACGCATGAACTGATTCAAGATCTGAATTAATGGGGCTGTTTGGAGGGTGGGGGCTGATGGGTCACCCACGCCAGTCATACGACAGAGTCAGGGAGAGAGAGAGAGAGAGAGAGAGAGGGCTGAGTTGCAGAGAGAGAAGAAGGGGTGGGTGGGTCCCACCTCTGTAACATCCCACATCGACCAACTTAAAAGGGGTGATGTGCCTTATATGTACATTCTCACCTCTATCTAGGACAAGGCTTTTTGGGAGATCACAGGCTTCGAAGTCATGGGAACTCTGAAGTTAAGCGAGTTTGGGATAGAGCAATCCCAGGATAAGTAACCCACTGAGAAGTGCTCGTGAGTTCCTAGAAACAAAACCGTGAAGGCAGGGGGCCCAAAGCGGACAATATCGTGCTACGGCGGAGCCGATCCGGAATGAATGGTATCAGAACCACTCTGCTGTGTGGTGCGAGTGTGTCGACGAGGACGTCGGGCCCCTAAGAGGGTGGATTGTAACATCTCACATCGACCAACGAAAAGGGGGTGATGTGCCTTATATGTACATGCCCACCTCCATTTAGCACGAGGCCTTTTAGGAGCTCACTGACTTCGAAGTCATGAGAACTCCGAAGTTAAGCGAGTTTAGGCTAGAGCAATCCCAGGATGAGTGACTCATTAGGAAGTGCTCGTGAGTTCTCAGAAACAAAATCGTGAGGGCATGGGGCCCAAAGAAGACAATATCGTGCTAGGGCTGAGCCAATTCGGGATGTGATACACCTCTCTGTTTTTTAAAATGATGTTTTTATTTTATATGTCATATTATTTTATTTTACATTAATTATTTTTAACATGTGAAATGACCAATTTGCCCTCATATTTAACGGTAAATTGGATGAAATGTTGAGAATTTGGACTGTAGGGGAAATTGAGAATAACATTTAGTTAAAGTCCTTAATTTTCTAGGGATTTTTTTAAGAAATGTCACTTGAACTTACATCTCAGTTTCAATTTGTCACCTTAAAGAAAAATTTAAGAGAAATGTTATCTTTGTCATGATTTATCATCTTACTTTAACACCATCCAATTTTTTATCCATTTTAATGATATTTTAGTCTTTCTATTCTCAAGGGTATTTTTCCATTTTTAAAATACCCTTGAAAATAGAAAGACTAAAATATCCTTAAAAATGGATAGTGTTAAAGTCAGATAACAAATAATAGTTTTTGAAAAATTAAGTTGATATTTATATTAAATTTTTCTTTAATGTGACAAATTGAAACTGATGTATAAGTTCAAGTGACATTTCTACAAAAATCCCAATTTTCTATAAATAAATAATAATAAAAAGTCATTAGGTAAATTAGTAATTATGTACAAATTCAGGGGACAATTCGGCGAAATACCCTTGATAAAACAAACTATCTTTTTAGTGGGACATAGGAATTTAGTAATTTCTTGGAAATTAACGAATTTTGGCATTTTTATGCTTTAAATCCCAGGGGTGTTATCATGCCCCCATAATGTTTCTAAATTGTCGGTTTTTCTTTGGGTTCCTTTTTCTTTTCTTATTTTTATTTTATTTTTGGTTCTACAAAAGGAGGGTAAAGGTAAGAAGTGTTCGAACCTGACTTCATATCTGGTTTTATTCTTATTATTTTTATTTGTTATGGGAAGTGTCTAAAATTTGGTGCAATAAGTTAGGTTCACTGTCATGCTCAATTGACTTAATTTACGTCTAATATTATACCTATAAATGAATCAGAAATGGAGGGGAGGACCTGCAATCTGACCCAACCAGATTTCAAAAAAATTTCAACACAATCCGATTTCAAAAATCCAATAGAACATTCACAACTACATCCATATTCGATTTGTTGAATTATCTTATATCCGAACTGATAACCTAATTTGAATTCTTTTATGTTACAAATAGTTTTAAAATTTTTTATTTATTTACAAAAAAAAAAATTACAATATATGTATATAGATATATATTAAGTAAGTAAAATAAAATACATATTAGATTAAATTAGATTGGATTAGATAAGATCCAAATTTATTCTGTTAACTTCATGAATTAACGAATTCAGAACATAATCGAGTTATCGAATTATGCCACAAGGTCATGTCTACATTTATCCATTGACATGTCTAATACCCCGTGTTTTAATCACACAAGGTCATTGTCCATCCGTTCAAATATTACTTTGGACTTAGAATATTGAATCAAAAAATAAAATCCCCCACCCCTAACCTCCTTTCCCAAGTCCCAAGACATGGGATGAAAAAAGTTGTGGGCAGCTGACAACAGCAAGCATGGGACTGTCCCTTACTGGACTCTTTGGTCACGACTGTTCCTCTTGAAACCCCAACTGAATGAAGGGGGTAATCAGCAAATGTAATCCAAATCACTGAGCCAGTAGAAATCCACGAGTCCAAAACTGTTCTCAACAAGCTATATAGTTTGTTTTGTTTTTTTACTTGTTTTTAGATAAACAGAGCAACTAAACCAAGCTATACTTTAATTTTCAAATTGGTGTAAAGTTTTTTCAAACACTCTTTAATAGTAAAAGTCACTCATTTCATACATCCTTATTTTACCCCCCAATTAAAAAAAAAACAAAGCAAAAATTGTCCAATTACTTACAATGGAAGCTAGTTGTAACAACCTTGATCAAATTACTATCAGAACTATATTATGTTATGTTACCAGACTGTAAATATAACGACATATACAAACAAGCACGCTGCATATTCTATGATTTTACATCAACAGATTAGTAAATAATAAGCTATCTGCCTTCCAAAAAAAAAACATTCTGTCAAGGAAGCAGTTACCTAAGTTTAGATTTTTCGCATATAATCTACTTTTCTATTAGAGCACCTCCACCGCAGGCACAGAGTCGGGCAAAAGGCCCCCCCCAGATAGCCCAAAACAGCTCCAGCGCTGCACTTCCAGCCCGGGCAAGCCCTGGGTCCCACCAGCCCGGGCAAGCCCAAGGGCAAGTTTCCACTGGGCTTCAGCCCGAGTTCGATGACGTCAGAGTGACATCATCGCACGGTACTGTGCCATGTGTCGCAACCCTGACTCTTCGATCCTTTTTTTTTCCAACAATCCGACAGTCCTCGTTTTTTTGGCTAAAAAAATTGCAAAAAAAAATCGAAAAAAATCTGAATTTTTTTAAAAAAAATACCAAAAAATTCTGTATTTTTTCCCTATAAATACATAACCATTTTATTTTTTCCCTCACATTTTTCTACTACTTTCCATTTGTATAAAAAAAAACAAATTGCATAAAAAATTGCAAAAAAATTCAAATTTTTTTTTAAAAAATACCAAAAAATTCTGGATGTTTTCCCTATAAATACCTAACAATTTTATTCACTTTCCACACCAAATCTTCATCCAAAATATAAATAGTGATACGTGACAACCGAAAATATAATCTAAAAAGCTTATCAAAATTAATGGTTTAAAGTATAAAAAAATAGGAAATAAAGTACAATGAATAGTAATTGCCTTAGACTTGCCCTAGACTTTGCCCTCATGGGTGGAACCACAAATGCAAAGGCTAACACTATTCACGTGAATAGTGGCAGCCCTTGCTTGCCCTTGCCCTAGACTTAGCCCTTGTGGGTGGAGATGCTCTTAAAGATGCTTAAATTTGATAAATCTACTAAGAACCTCTTAAATATGTCAGGATTGTGCAACGCCCCAATTCTCCAGGCAATCCTATAGGCAAATAATCCCCACCCAAACCATGGGAAAGATGAACATCGGGAAACATTAGTTTACCTAATTTGGATTTCAAACCCATTAAGATTCCAAAGGACAAGGGTGCACCATTCATATTGTCTAAGAACCAACACCTATTTGGTTATCACGATGCACCTTGCTAAGAACCGTACCAGGTTCTTTCATTCGAATAAGGGTGCATTTGTGCTGGCAAGAAAAAGAGTCGTGAATGGTTTTTGAGAACTGATTTTTCTACTTCCCTTTTCTTTTTTTGATATGGAAAGAGAAAAATTACAAACAGAAATCACGCGAGCACGCAAGCCCAAACAGGTCAAAAAAGAAAGGAACAGAACAATTCAGAGGCATCCCCGTCTCCCCCAACTTGAAAGGATTCAGCCCATGACCCGAGTTTGCCTTACACAGTTACACTCCCTTTTACTTTTTAATACTTTTTAATCAATTTTTGTTCCTTTTTGTTTCTTTCTGTTCTTTCTCTTTTCCTATTCTACTCTTTCGGTCCAAAAACAAGAATGGAAGGAAAAAAAAAAAAAAAAAAAAAAAAAAAAAAAAACAAAGCAAAGACGCACGCAAACAACAAACAAAAAAAACAAAAAAGCCCTCAGCCATGTCATCTCATCACACACACCCACCACCCCACCACGCCCAACAACCAACACTCGTCCCCATCTCCCCAGTAATTAATGTAGATAAGGATAGAGAGAACAAAAAAGAACAAAATTGATTAAAAAGCAAACGGGAGTGTAAGTGGAGAAAATGAATATTTTGTTTCAAATACCATAAATACTCGTGCTTTGTAGAGAACAGGTCATCTAGAGCCAGAGCTAATATCCCACCCAAAAAAACCACTTGATCCAGAATCGAAACCAAGACAACCCAGAATGATGCATCATTTCAATTGTAACCCACAATAACAGTTTATCCTGGCCCAAACTAGGACGAGCCTTACAACATGACTTCTGCAAGAGTTCAAAGTTCTACTCGTGATTTCCACATGTTGCATATATGACTCCTCAATCTAGAGGCTTTACACAGACTTCAACGAAAAAAATTTTTATTTCACCCCATCAATTTACTACAGACATTATTCCTCACAGTTGGAAGTCAATAATGAATCACCTTCTTCATCATTACACAACCTACCCAAATCTCCAACGATATCAAGAGGTGATAACCCATAATGTAAAAATCCTTTCCATCTAATGATTTCACACCAGAAACAATTTCAAACCAGAATGATTATAATCTCTACATATATCATATTACTTAAGCTCTCTATTTCTGGTTTATAGGGCTAGAATAGTTTACAAGACTACGAATACCAAAAATAATGCCAAAAGCTATACATTAGAATGCATATCCAATGCTTTTTATTTTTTATTTTTTTTGGATAAGAAGTATACAATGTGATGACACTTTTCTCATAAATTTCAGATAAAGGAAACCCCTAGGCTAAAAAACAAGCCTAGCCGTGTATCTTAATAGAGACAGAATTCATAAGAAACAGTTTTCTCAATAAAAGAAACGAAACAAAACAAAAGTGGACCAATATGTTATCGTGAAGTTACAAAACAGAAACAATGATGTGGAACATAAGCGGCAGCAGCCCTTAGAAGCTTATCCCAGGCATAATAAAGAGAGCACTAAGTCTCAAACCCTAATTCGGATCATGTTGGGTCTATTTGGGATATTACATAATTGGACTTGAGTTGAGGTTACTTCAGTTTTATCCAAGGTTTCTCTTATGCTTTTTCTGGACTCTTTTGATTTTAGCGATATGTGAGTTAGGGGCATTTTAGTGCTGTCAACACATAGGGTTTTTCTTAGATTTAGAGAGAGTTTGATGATTGAATAATCTTCTCAGAGCTTTGCTTCTCTCTAGGTTTGTGTGATGCAACCTAACCCTAGGTGTGATGCGCAAGGCCTCTAGGATAGGAGTGATTCCTATAACCCTACTCGTGTGATGCTAGTAGTTTTATGCTTTTATTTATAATTTTCTCTCCTTGTTCCATAGAGTTTCCCTATTGATCTTACTCTCCACAATCTTACAGCAATCAAAGAATTGACTTTGAACATGCATCAATCTTTTCTACACATTCTCTCCCACTGTTCCTGCATCAAACACTTGTTCAATGTTTTACAACACCAACGCTATCGTATAACATGGGATAAAGAAAGACTATCCGTCTCTAGTCAATGGAGAGACAAGAAGTTAATAAGCACATAAGGAACTCTAATTATTCAATACTAAGGACACTGATGAGAAAATAATTTGCACAGAATGTGGAAAGCATGAGCATGATTGTATAGGTTTCACTATATTCCACTTCAAAGTAGCACAAGGCCTGAGATGATAAGATACTAGGTGAAAATAAATAGCCAAAAATAAGGTTGATGACAGAAGAAACCATATTGATGTGTTTCAGACCACAGTCAAAGGCCCATGTGGTGAATAAGTAACAAGTGAATAATTAGATGGCATACAAATAGCAATTAAGAGACTCTCTAGCCTACACTTGTGTTATGAAATGATCCCACACATGGTCTGGCATCACAGGATTCCACAGTAATTTCCATCCGTGTGTATTTAGCCAACATGGAAATTCAGAAAAACAACAGCAAAGCCGATAAGCAAGCATTGATCAACATCAATTTTATATAATAAAAATTGGTAAAGCTCCAATTAACAATAGCTCACTCAGTTCTGTAATATAGAACCAATTAACAATAGCTCACTCAGTTCTAAAACAACAAATTCACAGATAATTTATTCCACATAAATGATACAGAATGAACATCCAAGTAGGCTCCTGATGTTAATGTAACAACAATAACAAGTTCAGGATGACGACATAACAAGAACTAATAGTGCGTGATAAATAAAAAAATCACATCCAATGCAATCACCTGCATTATCATTGCTTGACATTCTCCAAGTACCACTTATAGGTATCAACTAGACCATCCTTGAGAGAGATCTTTGGGGTCCAACCCAACCCTGCCAGCTTCGAGCTATCCATGAGCTTCCTTGGAGTTCCATCAGGCTTGGAAGAGTCCCAAACAAGCTCACCCTCAAACCCAACCACTTCCTTCACCAACTCAGCCAACTCCTTGATAGTCACCTCCTTGCCACTACCCACATTGACATGCTCTAGCCCACTATAACTCTCCATCAAGAACACAACCCCATCCGCTAAGTCGTCAACGTGCAAAAACTCCCTCAAGGGGCTTCCAGACCCCCACACCACCACCTCCTTCGCACCCTTTACCTTCGCCTCGTGAAACCGCCTCATCAATGCCGGCAAAACGTGGGAATTCTCAGGGTGAAAGTTGTCATGTGGCCCATACAAATTGGTGGGCATCCCAGAAATCGCATCCCAATTGTACTGAATCCGGTAAGCCTGGCACATCTTGATCCCGGCGATCTTGGCAATCGCATACCACTCATTTGTGGGCTCCAGAGGGCCCGTTAACAATGCGCTTTCGGGGATAGGTTGTGGAGCGAACTTGGGGTAAATACAAGAGGAGCCGAGAAACAAGAGCTTCTTCACTCCGAATCGGTACGAGACGTCGATCACATTGGTCTGGATCTGGAGATTCACGGCGATGAAATCTGCCGGGTATGTGCTGTTGGCGTGAATGCCGCCAACTTTTGCCGCCGCGAGGATGACGAATTGGGGCTTTTCGACGGCGAAGAAGGACTCGACGTCGTTTTGGCGAGTGAGGTCCAGCTCGGCATGGCCACGGAGGACGAGGTTGGTGAACCCTAGGGTTTGGAGCTTGCGGACGATGGCGGAGCCGACAAGTCCGCGGTGACCGGCGACGAAGATCTTCGCCGATTTGTCAGAGAAGGCGGAAGGCGAGGTGGCATCTGCAGAGAGAAGGAGAATGAGAGATTGCAGTTTGCAGTACGGAAATTTGAGAGACTGAAGTGTGTTTAGTTTGTTTGGCTGGAGAGAAAATGCGCATGGGAAGAAATAAATTTGTTCAAGTGTATTAGATTAGTTTTTCTCAGCGACCAAACAGAATGCAAGGAGAGAGAGAGAGAGAGAGTACCGTTAATGGCGCCACTCATATTGTGAGATGTGTTGCTTCAGTACTGCAGCAACTCCGGAAGCAAACGCTACCTATCAGAGAACTCTGCCGACGCCGTAGAAGAAGAGTGAACTGATCCCAACTTTATTGTTTCCTATTTTATTTGTGACCAGAATTTTTTAACTCTTTACGGCTCTACCTTTTGGGCCCGTTTGGTTGATGGAAAATGGGGTTTGGGAATGTTTGATGAGTCCAAACATAGGAAATGGGATGGTTGCTTCGTTGGTGCATGGAAACATAGGGGGCAATTGCAACCTTCCACGGGTTTAATTTTACCTGGAAACTAAGGCAACAATAAATGGATATTTTTCATGATCATTTTGTCCCATTAAGAGCATTCATAATGATGCTCTCTATTTCTTAGCTAAAATTTAGCTAGAAATATAAGAGCATCCACAATGATGCTCTATATTTCTTAGCTAAAATTTAGCTAGAAATATAATAAAGCTATTTTAGGAGCTCTCTAAAAAATTTCGACTCCAACCATACTCCCTAATTTATGGAGTCATAAATGTTATAACTCTTTTTTTATTGGTCCATTTCTATTATAAAATAAAATAAAAAATAGTTAGCATTAAATAAAGGTTTGAAATATTCATTAAATAAAGTAGCATTAAATTATAGGGAGCCACTAGGAGTCCTTTCTCTCTCCTCAGATTTAGGAGCTCCTAAAGGACTCCCTATTTTAGGAGATGAATAGGGAGCGTGGTGGGAGTTGCATTTTTACGATTCCTCCCTAAAATTTGTCTATGGAGGTAATTTAGGGAGCCCATCGTGGATGCTCTAAGAAAGCTATTTTAGAAGCTCTCTAAAAAATTTCAACTCCAACCATACTCCCTAATTTAGAGAGTCATAAATACTATAACTCATTTTAATAAAGGTTTGAAATACTCATTAAATAAATCAGCATTAAATTATAGGGAGCCACTAGGAGTCCTTTCTCTCTCTTCATATTTAAGAGCTCCTAGAGGACTCCCTATTTTAGGAGGTGGATAGAGAGCATGGTTAGAGTTGCATTTTTACAATTCCTCCATAAAATTTGTCTAAGGAGGTGGTTTAAGGAGCTCATTGTGGATGCTCTAACAATTTAGAATGAGTGTTGCTATTTCTAACCTCTGTTCTATTTTCCCACTCACCATGTAAATTTGAAAAACATCAATCCTATCTTTCCACCCATCATTATTCCTAAAATACCTTTTAATTATTAATTCAATTAAATTCTCCACCCAATCACTTATGGACAACTGTCAATCAATTTGAGACTTAAAAAAGTACAAAATTCCACCTCAGCCGCTCCTCAGCGATCTATTTCTCTCTCTCTCTCTCTCTCTCTCTCTCTCTCTCTCTCTCTCTCTCTCTCTCTCTATTGGGGACGGCAAGGTCACGGGCCTCTAGATATGATATCAAACACCTTAGATTTGAAGCCCGACAAGGTCACTGAGCTCTATCGTTGCCAACACAGAAGAGAGAAAAGTGATGGGGAGATGAGGGAGAGAAAGAGACAGCCAGTGAGGAGAGAGAGATGATGACAACCACGATGTAGGAGGGGAAGAGGGACGCATGTGCCAACATTGTTGATGACGCTGATGGCTGTGGTGGGGAATGAAGGTTGAGGCTGGAAAGAGAAATGTGGGTATTACAAATATTTATTTGTCAAATGGTAGAATAGGTGAGTTATGTGAGTTTAGGGTTTTTCCCTTAAGTCTTTAGAAGTCATTTTACAATAGGGTAAATTTGTTTTTAAAATTTTGAAGATAAGGCAGGTGGGGCAATAGGACATGGGATAGAAATAGTAGCACTCTTTCGAATTTCAATATAGCATTAAATGCATTCTTTTTTTATTTTATCTAATATGCGTATAATTGGAAAATTAAACAAGCTTTGTTTTACATTCATATGCAAGCCAAATATGGGGAAGAAAATAAAGTTGTATTTTTTGGTTATTTTCCAACATTACCAAACATGATAAATGAATCTTCCATTTCCCATCCTTTGGGAAATGACATAGGAAATTATTTCTCATCAAATCTTTTCCACAAACCAAACAAGGTGTTTGAGTTTGTGCCCAAATTGTACCTGCAGGCCCGCTACCATGCCTATGACAATAACATCTCCAACAATTGCCAAGTTGTTTTTGTTTGGCTTAATTGTTGTAATGGGCCCTAACTATACCCCGTGTTGCAATTTCGTCTCTATCCAATTAGATTGTGAGTTGCACTACTGGTCCTTTCAGTCAACTCTGTTAATTTTTTGTTAAATTCATAAATGTCTTGCACAAAATTCAAAAATGAATAAAATAAAATAAAATGCACATGGGGTGGCACCATAGTGGAAAAGTGGGTCAAACTCTTCCCCTCCTCTCAAGTACACCCGGGCTTGATTCATGTAAGAGATAATCTTGAGGCAACCCCATATAATACTCCCCCCTCCCCTTTCCTAACAAATGATAAACAAAAAAAATAATTAAAAAATGAAAAAATTTAGGACAAACTACAGTAAACCACCCAACCTATAGGGTCATTTACGAGTTCATACCCGATTTTAGGGACATTTACCAGTACATACTCAACGTCACGGAAAACCTACAATTTGCCCCCTCCGTTAGCTAAACTGTTAGTTAGTCTGTTAAATACTGACGTGGCAAAAATGAGACCCCTTTTCTTGATGATGTGGACTTCCACGTGGACCAAAAATTAATTAAAAAAATTATTTTAAAATCTCTCTCTCTCTCTCTCTCCCTCTCTCTCTCTCTCTCTTCTCCTTCTCTTTCATTCTTCCTATATTTTTCCCATGTTGAATCAATTTAAGCGCACTCCTGAGAAGCCACAAGACTCAGATAAGAGGCATCTTATGTTTATTTCTTTTCAATTTCATTTATTCCTCTTTCTCTTTAATTTCTAAGGTTTTTTCTATCAATTTGATTCTTCCATTTCTTTTCAATTGTTGTTTTTGTTGGTTTTTATTTATTTATTTATAATTTTCTATTCCTGTTTTTGTTCTCTTGTTGCTGAATCAATACAAGTTTTCCTTTTTTTGAATAATTCGAGATAGCTGTTATTTAAACAAGGTAGTTTATCGAAATGGAATTGCGTGGCTTTATTATCAATATACATACAAGAGAACTCAACCCTTGATTCTCAATTTTCTTCATATTATATCAAACTTTTCATATGTAATAAAGTACAAATAGAAGTACTTTCATAAGGATAATAAGGTAATTAAGGTGCGAAAGAAATTAACTAAAAATAGCTATGGACTGAGTCAAAGCAAAAGCCAGCCAAGCTCTACAGAAATTTGAGGTCTAATTCTGGACTCAGACCCACCCATGTCACTGTTGCATCATCCAACTAAATGCCTGGCCCATGGCGACACTGTGCAAGAGCAATTCCATGCCCACTTGAGGTTTTGGGTTTCACATCAGAATCAGATGGCATAGTTTGTGTATAGGCAAGACATATAAAAGGCAAACGTAAAGAAAAAGGAAAAAAAAAAAGGTAAACCCTTTACCTTTAAGAATATAATATACAGTGTATTAAATTATTAATTAGCTTTCCAGGCACACATATACTGTGAGCCAAACCAAAAGCTGAAGAAGGGTAAGGCACGGGTGCCTCACCTTTTGCCTTTTTTTCCTTTCTTCCGCAATATTCCCAAAAGAAAGGCTGTAATGTAATGTGAGCTTGCTTTTCTTGCCACTTTGATATTTACTGAGAGATATTCCTGAATAAATAAAAGACCAACGCAAACGGGTCTAGTCCAATCGAAAAAGAATTATAATATATAAATAAGTGATCTCATGTTCAAACATTCATGGTATTTTGGTAATGTGTGTGTGAGAAATTCCAAAGCCCGTTTGGTTCGTAAATTAAACTTTTGAAGAACGAAGTTCCCATGTCTAATCTCAGAAGATGGGAATGGAAGATGTTCATTTCCATATTTAGTTTGTGTAATATTAGAAATGAAAAATTGTTCAGTTTTCCAACAATACCCTTAACTTTTTTTATTTATAAAAAAAATAAAAAAATAAAAATACAAAGAGTTTTTCTATAGGTAAAACATGGTAAGTTAGTTATAAAAAATTCTCAAACTCAACTAAGGGTATAAAATTTCCCCTACATGAGAAGTCCATACCTATGAGTTCAGAATTGCATTCCAATAGTGTACTTATCAAACATAAGAATACAATTTCAAATCCATACCCAAACTCATGAACTTTGAACCATACGGAAATATATATAAAAAAATTATAAAAAAAAGCCTTGTGGAAGCATCAGTTCCAATAGCATGAAAGAATAAAACGCTCACTCCAACGAAGATTTTGGTTTTGGAGGGGGCGTATTCCCATACTTTATTGGATGTTACAAATTTAGAATGGGCATTAGTTTACTACACTACACGCTTCTCCATGGGATAAAGGTTTGGATTTTCGAATTTTGCAAAGCTTCTTCATACATATTTCTTTTTTCTTGCTTTATTTTTTAAAATGATTTTGGGTTCTCTTTGGGGATGGATGGTGTTCAAAGTTCCATGCACACATGCATTGGGTGCATTATTCTCTTGTTTGAAAAGTTGCAAGAACTAAAAATTCAATATATATACTTTCTTTTCTCAAATTATCAATTCAAATTTTAAGGAACTAAAGAGCTTAGAAGCAATTACCTCTACACTTGAAGTTCTGTGTTCGATTCACTCTCCTCCAATATCGCTTGTGTCAAACCATAATCCGATTCTTTTTTATTTGAATCATCCTCGGAGTATACTATGACCGTACTCGTTAATTTAATAGAGAATGAAATATGGCATGAGCATAATGAAAATATTGAATATGGCCATCGAAAATATTCATGCATACATTTAATTCTCCTATTTTCTTCTACATTTAATTTTTCAAAGTTGTGACTTTTTATGCTCATATGATAAAAATCAAAAAGAAAAAAAAAGTGACGGTGGCCATCAACAACATTTGCAAGACAAGGGTATAAACCAATGAAGTCATCCATTGCAACTCTTTTGAATTGAAACTTAAAAGGTGGAGAAGAGATGAGGTGATACTTTATTTGGTGGGTAGAAATGGATAGAGATAGAGGAGGTGTGGCCCAAGGATATAATGAAATAGAATTTTCCTTGGAAAAGTTGGTAATTACAGCCTTTTTCTATGTTCGTAGGGGTCCCTGAAGAATCCGGCATCTTTTACATAAAATTTATTTCTTTATTAGTTGCTTTGGTTCTGTGATCATTGCTTTATACTTCCCCAATCTATTATAATATTTTTCATTTTAAAAAAAAGATATGAATATTGTTTACATGTACTACCAATCCACTGCACTGGTTCATTTGTTAATCCCAGGACCTTCCACCTTATACCAAACTATATGGGGACGTTCTCAACGAAAAGCAAAAACCAGAAAATTTAAATAAATATTTACATTACACCGACTCACAAGGTTATAGATTTGTTCCACAATACCCTTATTTTAGTTTACATATAAATAGCGTATCAAAAACTCAATCCTAAGAGATACAAGTACAAGCCGAGTACCAATATATTCACAAGTTTTGATACAAACATGGTTCGCAACAAGGTTAGAAAAGAGATGTCTTCTCCTATGAAAAATGAACATCAAGTAGGGAAAGGTCAACATCAATTGGTATGCGATCTACCAAATCAAAAGTAGGGGTGAGTATTATATACGTTCATTTGCTTAGCACGATGGCAAATGGTTATAATATTGGAACTTAAGGTGGATCCTTGAAAGTTTTTAAAAGGTATATGGAGAATGTATTTGAATGTGGAGCAAGTAGCTTTGTGCAATCTAGAAGATTGATGATATGGGTTCCCCATTAGTGTCGCATTAGGATGGAAGATTGGCAATGTGAAGGAACAAAATTTGCTACACAAGTGAAGTCTCTCCAGACAAATTGGTACAATGAAAGTCCTTAAATGGAAGCAAATTTGAAAGAAATGTAGCAAACACTCAAATATGTGGATAAATTCATGTGTGAACGTAGGTGTTGTTAAGAGTGAATCGCCTCAAATTCTTGCATATTTTTGTGGTTGTTGTTTACTATCTTTGGTTTGTTTCGAATCAAGTGTGCATGATCTTGAGCTAGCAACTTGAGTACAAAATTCCTATTCCAAGATTTGTTCATAAATCATCTTGTGTTTGGAAGAACACACATATTTTGTGAACTAAAATTTATAATTATAGGATCCTGTTATTTCTAAAGCAAAAATGTCACTCATGCACTCCTTATAGAACAAAAACTCACTTGATCTTCAAATTGGCCCCAAAAAAGAATTTAAAAAATCCTATAACTTCCTGGATGTATGTGTAATCAAAAGATATTAAGTCATGTGTAGTAGAGTGGAAAATGACTTTAACTTGCAAAAACTCCTGTAACACCTTCGTAGTGTGTGTGTGTGTGTGAGAGAGAGAGAGAGAGAGAGAGAGAGAGAGAGACCTTTCTCTCTTTGTAGATCGCTTCTATTCAAAAATCATAGTCATTTTGTTCATATGGTAAATTATACGAGATCTCTTGGTATATTTTTTTTGGGGTTAAAAGTCAAATACAAGTTCTCTTGTTAGAAATGAGTTATCTGTATGAACACCACTTGACTTCTTTCTTGTAAGCAATAATTCCTCCTCATCTACACATCTAAAAAAATAACTTGTGAAAATTAAAAAAAAACATAATAAAATTATGTGTCACTTATTTGATCTTATCATGTAATAATAAATCGTACTTTAACTTTATGTTGGGTTTAGGAGGTGCTTGAAAATCATCAATAAACAAATTCACTTTTGTTTGTTTTCTCATTTACCCCTCCAATCGGACACCTTTGACCATACACTCAAAACATTCTTATGGCCAAATAATATTCTATTTACACTTTAGCTTTACCATGCAGCTAAAGCCCCTATTGGTAAAAAGAAACAAAAATAAAAAATAAAAAAAGAGCAAAAAATAATTTAAAATATAGATTTAACAAATGTCCCACAATTGGTTATATAAAATAAATAAATAAACTCTATAATTATGAGGCAGATTCATTTCATATGGGCACCTAGCTAGCTTGGTAGGTCATCATAATTCATAGGTAACCCTCCAAAAGATAAAAGATAAGAGTGCATGTGTTTCCTTCTTTTCGGCAGAGATGGTCGACGAAAGGAATTTTTGGTCCTTCTTCTTTTGAATGCGAGGCATGCCACCACCAAGCCACAAATTTGGACTTGAATGGAATGTGAGTAGACAGATATGTTGCGCTTCTAACTTCTGGTCAAACGATTGATTGGCCAAGCAAGGAACCTCCTCTTGGCCTAGGTTCTTTCACTTCCTCGGACTTGAGGATTGTTAGACTTCGTACGGATGTTTTTGTAATTTTTAGGTTTTAAAGTAAAAATAGTGCAATTAAGTTAAATGTGCGTTTAAACGTAAAGACAAGAATTAAAGTGCGATAAAATAAATCAAAGTGATAGATAAAGCAAGAACGAAATAAAAAGCGATAAGAATGATAAACTACAATAAACTTGAAATTAAACTTAATAGAAGTGCGATAAAAATGAAAAGTAAAGTGATGTAAATAAACTTGAATTTAAAAGATGAGATAATGTAAATTGAACAAGAATTTAAACTTACACTAAGAAAATGAAGAACTCGCTACACTAGGTGCTTGAAAAGTAAAATCCTAAGTCTAGGAAAAAAAAAGTGCAAGACGAAAAGTAGGTTTGTTTGTCTGATGTTGTGTCTTTTCTGTCTTCATTTGGTGAAGTTTATATATGGCGTTTGTTTGTCCATGGGCTAGCCATTGAATGGCCAAGTCAATGTCTCTTTAACTCTTTAAAAAAAAAAAAAAAAAAAAAAAAAAAAAAAAAAAAAAAAAATCAAATCCTTTCGAGCCTAAATCCTGTGGGATTGTATTGATGGATGGATATTTTGACATGCTTGATTCTTTCTTGCTTTGAAACATTCTGAATTATTATCAACTGTAACATCCTACATCGACCAAGGGAGAAGAAGTGATTTGCCTTATATGTACATGTCCACCTCCATCTAGCACAATGCCTTTTGGGAGCTCACTGGCTTTAGTGTCATGGGAACTTCGAAGTTAAGTGAGTTTGGGTGGAGACCCAAAGCGGACAATATCGTGCTACGGCAGAGCCGATCCCGGGATGTGACATCAACCTACTTGATTTCTTTCCTTATGAGGCCTCCATCACATGCATATAATCCTCTGGAAATCTTGGGCTTGAATTGGTGGCTTAGGCTTTGGCCTCCGACCTCTCTTAAATTGCCACTCATTTTTATTACATATAATATATAATAAAATTCATATTCGTCCGGATTGAAATAGGATAAGGAAGGCTTAGACTCTCCAGCCCAGCCGCCCATTCACATTCGTTTATTTATATATATATTATAAACATAAAATTATATAAGGAGGGCTTAGCCAAAAGACCCTCAGCCGCATACTTGCAAGAGCTCCAAAGCTCCAACTCCCAAAATCTAGCTGCAAAGAGCCCAAACTTTTGACCCTTCAAACCCCAAATCTCAGCCGTGCCCATCTGCATCTCGCAATCCCCAGCTCCCTCGGTAGTGCCAAGCCACATTTCGCAAGCCCTAACTTCTTCGGCTGCCCAACTTCATCTGGGCTTAGCTCTGCAATTCAAAACTCGGCCGCGACTTCACCAAAACCCGGCAGTATTCTCCAGCTACCAAATCCGGCTGCATCTCAGCCCAGTCGTACCTTCTAGCAGCATAGTCCAGCCGCATTCTCCAGCCAAGCTCGAATCCAGCCCGACCCATTCTCCCAGTCACTTAGTCCGGCCATATTCAAGTCTCAAGTCTCGGCCGGCTTAGCTCCAAAAATCCCATAGTTTTTACTCCAGGCGTAGAGCTCCATCACTCTGACTGCACAACTCCACCACTCCAGTTGCCAAATTCCAAAATCCCGGGTTGCCAGCCTTCAAAGCCCCGGGCTTTATTCTCGCATCCGGCCATAACTCCTAGAGCCTGACCACTTGTATTTTCGAAAAGTGCCCGAGTTGGGTGAATTTTCACCACCCCCAAACAACAAGTTTTCACGAAACCAAACCCTCTCCAAAATGGGGGTGATTATGCTCTTTCCTTAGAGCACCTCCACCGCAGGCACAGAACCGGGCAAAAGGCCCCCCCAAATGGCCCAAAACAGCTCCAACGCGCCATTTCCAGCCCGGGCAAGCCCTGGGTCCCACTAGCCCGGGCAAGCCCAATGGCAGGTTTCCACTGGGCTTCAGCCCGAGTTCGATGACGTTAGCGTGACATCATCGCGCGGTAATGTGCCACGTGTCGCAACTCTGACTCTCCGATCCTTTTTTTTTCCAGCAATCCGACGGTTCTCGTTTTTTTGGCTAAAAAAATTGCAAAAAAAATCAAAAAATTATGTATTTTTTCCCTATAAATACATAACCATTTTATTTTTTCCATGTATTTTTCCCTCACATTTTTCTACTACTTTCTATTTGTATATAAAAAAAAAAAAAAAAAAAAAAAACAAAAAAAATTGCAAAAAAATACAAACAAAAAAAATTCTGGATTTTTTTCCCTATAAATACCTAACAATTTTATTTACTTTCCACACCAAATCTTCATACAAACTCATATACTTCCAATATTTTTCACTTTCCACACCAAATTTTCTATTACAAAATTTCATTTGTGCAAAAATACAAATGTCATCTTCCATCGAAGCCGGAGGGTCATGGACAAATGTTCGAAGAGGTCAACATTTTATAATAAATATGGACATGTGGCAACCGAAAATTTTATTTGAAAATCTTATCCGAAAAATGTTATCTTAAATTTTAAGTGAAAATTTTATAATAAATAGTGACACGTGACAACCGAAAATATAATCTAAAAAGCTTATCAAAATTAATGGTTTAAATTATAAAAAAATAGGAAATAAAGTACAATGAATAGTAATTGCCTTAGACTTCCCCTAGATTTTGCCCTCATGGGTAAAACCACAAATGCAAAGGCTGACACTATTCACGTGAATAGTGGCAGCCCTTGCTTGCCCTTCCCTTAGACTTAGCCCTTGTGAGTGGAAGTGCTCTTAGGGAGTGCTTTCTCTTTCTCGGTTTAGGTGATCTGAAGAAATGGTTGATAGCTAGGTTTTGTATGTTTATAGCTTCTAATGAGCTAGTATTTCTGTTTCGATTTCTTTGGCTTATTATTTCTGGCCATTGTGCTATTATTTTATATTTCAAAATCTGGCTAGAACCCTCCTTTTCTAGGGTTGAATTTACAGCTCAATTGTCTATAATTGCCCTATATTTATGAAATGAATCTTCATCACTGTCGTTAAATAAAAAAAAAGAAAAGATAAATTTATGTACAGATGTCGAATTGCGATATTTTCTGAACTGATGAATGACTCAATAAAGGACGCAAACATTCTCCTATATGTATGTGTCACTAATTTGATCTTATCATGTTTACTTTATGTTGGGCCAAGGACGTGCTTGAAAATCATCTCTAAACTAATTCACATTTGTTTGTTTTCTCATTCGCCCCTCCAATCGTACCTACACCTTTGACAAAATAAAAATAAAAACAGAAAATAAATTAAAATTTATATTTAACAATGACCCACAATTGCTTATATATTTATAAATAAATAAAAGAAAAAACTCTATATTTCTGAGGGAGATGGGCACCTAGCTAGTTCGTAGGGCATCAGAATTCATAAATAGCCCTCCAAAAGACAGAGCAAGCTTTCACGAAACCAAACCATCTCCCGCATTTGGTGTATTGATATCCTCTTGACCCCTCACTATCTCTGTGCTTTTTGTCCGGAACAAGCAAATAAATAGAAAGGTGCGCATCTTGACCACTACTTTAGTCTTAGTCCTAATTAGTCCTAGTCATAGTCCAGTCCAGTCCAAGTCCAACCCAGTCTGCTTGCTCGCACCAAATCACTCTCTCTCTACGGCCTACCCACTCCCCATCCGTCTCTCAGTTTCTGCACACAACAGAGAACAGACTCACACCATTTCCCTGACAACTCGCATCCCCCACGTAATATCTCTTTTTTCTTTCTATTTTTTATTTTATTTTTAAAAAAAGAGAAAGAAAAAAAGACCAAGTCTCTCTGTTTCTTTTTCTTTTCCCCTGAATATTTGTAAAGTGGGGGGAGAGAGAGAGAGAGAGGATGGTGGACTGAAAAAGAGAGTTAGAGAGAGAGAGAGAGAGTGAAAACTCTGAAAGGGTACCAAGAAAAGAGAGAGCCCCATCAACTCATTCACACAGAGACACAGAGAGAGAGAGAGAGAGAGAGATTGAAATTTGCCTCAACTGTGCTGCATTCTCATGGTCTTTGTGTGAGATATTAGCCATGGTTCTTCTCAAGCTCTTCTTCTTCTTCACCCTTGCCTTCTTCTTCTCTTCTGCTTCCCTCTGTCTCTCCTACGAGCCTCGCAACCATGAAGGTATATACACCAAAGCGGACAACCCCACAAACAATTTCACTGCTTTTTTTTCAAAAAAGTTTCTGACTTTGTTATTTGGGTTTCGATTTCTTGCAGTGGAGGCTTTGATAAGTTTAAGGCTAGCTTTGAATGATCCCCATGGAGTTTTAAACAACTGGGATGAAGACTCTGTGGACCCATGTAGCTGGGCCATGATCACTTGCTCACCTGAAAATGTTGTTATAGGCCTGTGAGTTTCATTTTTTTTTAAATTTAAATTTTCTTCTGTAAAAACATTTCATTGTTGTTTTTCTCAATTGTTGTTGTTTTTTTATTTTTTGTGCTTTTCTGAGATTGCTTTTCTGGTTTATACTAAGCATACATGGCCTTTCTTTCTTGGTTTTTTAGGGGAGCTCCGAGCCAGTCTCTGTCTGGAACTTTATCTGGCGCTATTGGAAATCTCACAAATCTTCGACAAGTGTAAGAAAAATGACAAATTTCAGCCATTCAATTCGTATTTCATTTCCTTTTTGCCTTCTGTTTGTTTGCTGAGAGAACAAATGAAAGGCATGAAGCCTAATGTTAAAGTTGGTGTTAAGAACGCTTTTCCTTTTCTTCCACTTTCTCTTCAACCAAGCAGACCAAAAAGAATTAAAATACTGTCCATGTTTATCTGCTTTACAATACATCCAATTGCTTTTTTTTTTCTTTAATTTAAATTTTTGCTCACGATTTCTTCATTGTGAATTTGAAGATTAATGCAAAACAACAATATATCTGGCAAACTCCCACCGGAGCTTGGTACTCTTCCGAAGCTTCAGACCTTGGATCTCTCCAACAATCGATTCTCTGGTTTCGTCTCAGACTCTCTGGGTCAGTTGAATAGTCTCCAATACCTGTAAGTGTTTCCTTTTTTGCGTTTGTAATTCACCTGTTAGACTTTGTTTGGTTGCCAAGAAACAGGAGGAAAAACAAAATTGAACTTGGTTAATTCTTATGTTACTATTTTTTTTTTTGGGTCTGAATTCTCATGTTACTAATTGATTAAAGAATAAATATTTTTATTTTTATTTTAAAATTTGTTCTTAAGTTGATTGGAGTTTTCTTCGTAGCAACCCAATGTTGTTTTTTTGTGTGTATTTATTCTTTTTAAGGTAAATCATTTGTATAATTTTTTTTTAATGTGTGATTGCTGTCATGTAATGAGAGCAGGAGGCTGAACAACAATAGCTTGTCTGGGGCTTTTCCCGTGTCTTTAGCCAAAATCCCTGAGCTTGCTTTCTTGTGAGTATGGGTTTTCACAGTTTCTCTTATTACTTTATTGGTTTATTTTTTTGCGTCTCGGTGTCTTGAAATCTGAAACAACTTGCAACATGTTGAGGAATTTCTGATTAGTAAACAGTTTTCTCAATATCTGTTCAATGGGTTCTGTTTATGATAAATCTGGTCACCAGGGACTTGTCTTATAACAATCTCAGTGGACCAATACCCAAATTCCCAGCCAGAACATTCAAGTATGCTCTCGCTCTCTCTCTCTCTCTCTGTGGTCCTTTTATTATTCCTTATGCTTTACTGTTTTTTTTTAATTTTTATTTTTATACTAGTGTTGTGGGAAATCCACTGATTTGTGGAAGCAGCTCCACTGAAGGATGCTCTGGATCAGCCACCCCTGTCCCTCTTTCATTATCACTGAAATCATCACCTGGTAACCATTCTTTAAACTTCCCTTTTTACTCTCTAACACCATATATATATATATATATATATATATATATCTCTCTCTCTCTCTCTCTAATTTTTTGTTTTTTGTATAAATTTTTATCTTTTTCCTCGTCTAAGGAAAACACAACTCCAAGACTGTAGCAATTGCACTGGGGGTCAGCCTCAGTTGTGCACTTCTCATAGTCCTTTCACTTGGAATTGTCTGGTACAGAAAGAAGCAAAAAAGCCAGTCCATTTTGAACATAAGTGGTCAGTAACATCATGGTCCCATCCCATAAATAAACAATGTAAATGGAAATATATAACTGATATCAAATGTGTCTTTAACTTTACTGCAGACATTCAAGAAGAGGGACTTGTGAGCTTAGGAAACCTCAGAAACTTCACTTTCAAAGAGCTTCAACTCGCAACGGACCATTTTAGCTCCAAGAACATACTTGGTGCTGGAGGTTTTGGCAATGTTTACAAGGGAAAGCTAGGAGATGGGACTATGGTGGCAGTGAAACGGCTTAAGGATGTAACAGGAACAGCTGGAGAATCACAATTTCGGACAGAACTGGAGATGATAAGCCTTGCAGTACATCGGAATTTGCTTCGGTTAATTGGATATTGTGCTACCTCTAATGAGAGACTTCTGGTATACCCTTACATGTCTAATGGCAGTGTGGCTGCCAGGCTTAGAGGTTGGTCTATATTTGCTGCAAAGACACTCACATTTTTTCGGTTACAAAGCACACCCACATTTCATGGTGAGGGTGGGCATGATTATTTCCTGTGTGATATTGTTGGTGTGATATACTAACCACCAACAATATAGTACTTACCTAAATATTATCTTGGCATGGACCACAATCGGTTGGGAGGTTTGGAGATTTTTAATTCAAACTTTCAACATTAAAGCTGGGACCATCAATGTTTAGTCACTCCTTAATATGGACCATTTAGAAGGAAAAAAAAGGGCTTCCAAAAGAAGTTCTTTGTGCATATATTAAATATGCAAACCATGTGAGCCTGTGATCTATTGTTGATTTGATTTCCTTGATAAGATTCCCATATACTATTGGTTTTTAAACTGCACTCCCCTTAAAGTTACCGTTTGGAATTATGTGTTGATGATCATAGCTTCACTGTCTACAGTTGATACATTCTGTTCTCTTTTTTTTGGTAAATTACATTCTGTTCTTGGTTAAACGTGAAATGTCTGAGTAAATTTGCCTTGAAAACTACATCAAGTGTTGTTTGAAAGAAATTAGCTCATCAAATTTCCATTCATACAATGAAGCCTGAAGCCACCATCCATAATAATGAGCCCTGATATATTGTTCTGAACACAACAGGAAAACCAGCACTAGATTGGAACACAAGGAAGAAGATAGCAATAGGAGCTGCAAGAGGTCTTCTGTATCTACACGAACAATGCGATCCGAAGATAATACACAGGGATGTAAAGGCTGCAAATGTGCTCCTGGATGACTACTGTGAGGCTATTGTTGGAGATTTTGGCCTTGCGAAGCTCCTTGACCATGCTGATTCTCATGTCACCACTGCTGTCCGTGGGACTGTTGGGCACATTGCACCAGAATACCTTTCCACTGGTCAATCATCTGAAAAGACTGATGTTTTTGGATTTGGAATTCTCTTGATAGAGCTCATAACCGGATTGAGAGCTCTCGAGTTTGGCAAAACAGTTAATCAGAAAGGAGCCATGCTTGAGTGGGTAAGTTTTTATCTAACTTGGATAAGCTATAATGGGTTTCTAAGTCTAACATCAATTCGTATATGATTTTTTTGGATTATATGGTTTTATAAACAATTCAACAATGTAGTGTGTGTCGAATAACAGCAACCAATTTCCACTCAGTCAGGGCTGCAGTTCCACACATTTAGCTGATGTGATTAAAATTAGTATGCACGGTTCTTTTTTTGCAATCTTCACCTTTTTCATTCATTTGTGTCTCAAACAATCAGAACTGGATAAACAGCTTCCTATTCTTCCTGTATTATTGTAATATTCTCTTATGTTCCAAAGGAACGATCATTTAATAATGTTCTTCAAGAAAATTATTAAAAGCCCTGAGAAGCATAATGGTTGCATGTTGAAAGCTAATGAGCACATTATATCCATGCTGCTGGTCACAGGTGAAGAAAATACAACAAGAGAAGAAAGTGGAAGTGTTGGTGGACAGAGAGCTAGGAAACATTTACGACCGGATTGAGGTGGGGGAAATGCTGCAAGTGGCTCTGCTGTGCACACAGTACCTCCCAGCCCACCGCCCCAAGATGTCGGAAGTGGTCCGGATGCTCGAAGGCGATGGGCTAGCCGAGAAATGGGCAGCATCGCATAATCATAGTAATTCCAGCATGGACCTCTTTCATACTCACAACAGTAACAAAAGTAACACCCACCCTAGTAGCATTGGATCAAAACATGATGACAATGAACGTGATCGGGCAAGCATGTTTGGCACCTCTGTGGATGAGGATGATGATGAGCATTCTTTGGATTCCTATGCCATGGAGCTCTCTGGTCCAAGATAGAAAAGAAAGTACAGAGAAATAGAAAAAGAAGATTAGATTTTATTTCCTGCATTCTTTATAAGAAAAAAAATATGAAGTTAGTTCTAAGAAAGATAGGTGGTGGTTCTGTTTGGGAAACCAACTTTTCTCATTCCAGCTTTGTGGGTTATGTAAATATGACTTTATAATCTTAATTTTTTTTTTGGTGACTGTATTTTGGTATTTTAGGGGTGAAGAAAGTAAAAGGGGCCAAAGTGGATGCGGATTTTGTATAGGGGCATGGCATAGAGATATAGAACATCATCAGATGCTCTGCTCTGCTGCCCCCTAGTGTTGAGACAGATCATTCCCAGAATATTTTTTTGACTATAGAGTTGGTGTGAAATTTGCTTCTGATATTTTCTAGCTGTTTGATGGTGAAAGAAACTGTCAAAGTGAGTTGAGATTTGAGAGATGAGCTGTGTGTTTTTGCAGAGGTTGTTCTCTTTATACTGCTTTTTGCAGTATCACGCGCCTCTCTCTGCCCTCAGCTACTTTGCTTCTTTTAATTCAACGGGCCTTTCAAGTCCTCTCAGGGTTTTCTCTAACGTCCTCCACATCTTCATAGTTATTGCTTTTTTGGTTTGTTTGGTTCGCCATCCAGTTTTGTTTGGTTCCACATCCTCAAAGAATGCTCATCCGGTTCCTTAACTAATCCTTAACACAAATGCTTAATGGAGATGCTCCTAGTATTAAAATACCCTACAATATTAGAATAGTGTTTCGATACTATTTACCTCAGTCTACCTTACCTTTGGTGGGACTTGTACTAGACTATTTCAATTGAAATTGACAATATTCTCAGCGTTGTTTGGTGTGTTGAGACTAGACTCATTAAATTGGATAATAGTCCAACATGTTGTTTCTTACAAGTCCCACCTAGAGGGGTGGGACTCTTATCTTCTCCATCTACTCCTTTGTAGCCATGTTAATTTCAATTGAAATCCCTAGCTCTTAACCTCTGTAGGGGCTTTTTTCTTCCGGCAGCTACTACGGGCCTGACTGCCGTAAAGGGCAAAATGGAAGAAATTGCCCCTTGAGCCTGAGTTCGAAAATTAAGCCCCAAAATACCTCGAAAAGGCAGTAGAGCCTTAGGAAGTATTTTGGTTATCTTCACCAACGAGAATAATGGTAACTTCCAGATAGTTTTGGCATGCTTACAGATAGCTCAGCATGAGTGGCATGTGGCATGGGAGCAAAATCAACATGGGTTTAGCACTAAGAGAGAAATTAGGCTTGGTTTATGAGAAAAGAAAGTGTTTAAGTAAGGAATGAGGTGTTTTGTGAGGAATTCGACTAGGGAAAGAGGAAAAAGAAAGGCAGAGTTCTTCTGGCAGCTGCCAGAAAAACAAATTGGAGAAGAAGATGAACAGTGCACGAGCTTGTTGAGTTTTTGCAAGTTAGAGAGAAAGCTTGCTCTCTGCAGGTTGTGAGTTGTTTTTGTTGGGTAGGGGAAAGCTCAATTTATAGCTGTCGGAAATCACCATTTTTCAAGAAACCCTAATGGCTTCTACTTACTTTGGCTAAGCTTTTCTTCCTTTCTCCTCCCCTTCTCTGACCTCCCCTTCTTGGCAAAGATTGCTTTTGTCTATTTTCATGAATTCAGGGGATTTGGGGGCTCAACATCCTCCTTTCCCGCAGCTGTGCAATGGGAGCTTCCACTCTTGGTTTGCTGTTTTTTCTTCTTTTCTTTCCTCTTCTTTGGTTGAATCTGATGGAGGAAAAGAGGTGAAAATATATGCTGGTCCAAGGAATGCTTCTGACAGCATGCGGGATGGTATTCATCGGTTCTTTGGATGTCTCTGGCTTGGGACTGGTTTCCAGCAGCTTTGCTTAAGGAGTCTGCCATCTGCTCTTCACGTGTCCTCTACTTTCTCCAAAAGCTGAGGTTTTTTTGTGGGCTATTTTAGGATTTTTATATGGGCCAAGGTGATTTCCTAAGCAAAAGGGCTTTTACTAAACATTGGGCTTCTCAGTTTGGGCTTTATTTTGGTTGGGTTGTTTTGCTTGGGTATTGGGCTACTTTTCTCTCTTGTGCTTACCCACATGTTTGGGCCTAAGAAACGGGCTTGAGTCTCGAGGCTCCCAAGCAACCCGAGACTTTCCATTTCTCGGTCCATCAATGGGTCTCATGTTGATTTATCACCATCCATGCCACAACCCACTCAAGCAAGCCCCGGGTTTTTTGAGTGGCTTGGGCCCACCTAGGCTTGTGGCGTGATTAGGTGCGGAATGATAATTCCTTGCTTAGCGTGGCGTGCCGTTTGGCGTGGCATGTGTGCAAGCGCATATGATGAATTTTCGCATGCCCAAATCGGGTTTTTTCTTGGTAAAGCATCGCATTGGGCCGAGAATTTATTTGGGCCGAACCGTGAATATTTTGGGCCTCAACATTAGCCCCCTTGATTATTGGGGCCATGAATGTGTATTGAAATGGTCCGAATAATCAATTTTCAGCCCAAAATAAATTACCGTGGCATGGCATGACATGGGTTTAGGAGCAACTCAAGGATAACAGGTTAAGAGTCTCTGAAATTACAGCCAGGTCTTTTCCGGGAAGGTTGGAGGGGTCACAATGGTCCCGCTTAAAACCCAATCCTTCTTAAAACCGAGGGTGTTGCCTTGAAGAACTTTCCTAGACACTGTAATTTTGGAGGTCACTTACTAGAGTTACCAAGAGTTGACCTTATTTTGTGGCATGATATAGAAGAAAATGCTTGGTGGATTAGCTCAAGATAACTACTTAGCTCGCATGATTTATTTGCTTGAGTGACTAGAGAGGCTTGATTTTGCATGATTGTGGTTTGCAAGAGTTGCATTGACTTGTGTATCTAATATTAGTTATGTATGCTTGATTTTGGCTTGCATGATTTGCTTTGACTTGTATATTTGGTATTTGGCTTGATGCTTAGCATTGGCATGTATGCTTGATTTTGGCTTGATACTTGGTATTGGCGTGTATGCTTGATTTTGGCTTGTATGCTTGGAGGCTTGGAATTGGTATGTATTGGAAGGATATTTGAAATAAAGCAGGTGCTGGCAAGGTGTTTGAAATAGGGCATGTGCTGGAAGGATGTTTGAAAACATGGCAGGTGCTGGAAGGATATTTGAAACAGGACAGGTGCTGGAATGGGCCGAATAATTAAACCCGACCCAAAAAAAAATCAGATTTGTATTTGTAGAGAACTTCTCTTCTTCCCGCGTGCAAAATGACGACGTGTCATAATTGGCCCCAACGGTTATTTGCAGTTTCCCAATGCCAAACGCCTTCTTCCTTTCTTTTTTATTATTTTCTTTCTTTCTCTTCCCTTTTCTTGCACCAGATCCAACTTCTTCCTACTTTTCTTTTCTTCGTTTTCCTTTGTTCCCCCAGCTCAAAACTGAGTGAGAGAGTAAGATCATGTGGAAAACATCTGCCTCCAGCCGCTGGGAAAAGAGCCCAAATCGATTTCAACCCCTTCAGCCCTTCTCCCTTCGAAGAAGCCCTTCTGCTGTTGCTAGAAGGGACCTTTTTGTGCGGGTTTTCCTCTATGATTCTCAATTTCGCTCCCTTCTTGGTATATTCAAAGTCACCTGTTGGGATTTTAGCAAGGTATGTCCCTTCTCTAGCTTTCTCTTGGATTTATTGAGGAATTTGTTGGGTTCCCTTCATCCATGAATATTGCCCTTTGTTTTGGTTGTCAAGCATCAAACCCTCTTTTGACCTATTTTGTTATTGCAGCAACGTGAGTGCTTACAACGTGGGTGCTAGCAAGGAAGGGCTCGCACTAATCTTCTGGGATTCCCTTTTCTTTGATTTGCTCGAGTTGCTGGAAGGGTGCCAATTTCCGTGTGAACAAAACTGTTGGTATGGGTTTCTACCTTTTCCTCTTCTTACTTTAATCTTGCTCTGACCTCTTTTTTGTATATAAAAAGGCTGAACTTGGCATGATGTGCTTTATTTTCTGATTTTCTCTCATTCTCTTCTTTCTTCTTCTTCTTCAAGACCCAAACCCGTGGGTATTGTGCATCAGTACATAAGTCATATTTCGGAAGCTTGGATCAGAAAACTTCCTCAATCAAAGTTGTTCATCTGCTCGAGTACTATAGCCAGTAAAATTTGCAGAATTTTTTGAAATTTTCTGATACCTCAAAGCTGGTTTGCAACTTCTGCATTCATCCATGGCTGGTGAGTTTTTGCAGATTTTTCTTCTGCATGTGTCTTTAACTTATGAAACTCGTATGATTGCGCTTGCTTCACAAAATTTGCTTGAAATTATGTTGTCTATAACATATCCAAAATTGAGGATCATCCACCCATTCTAGTGCTCTCTACCTCCATTTTTCTAAAGCATGTTCATGAGTTGATGTTGATGCCTTTGTTGCATGTTTGTCTTCTATGTTTGAATGCTTGAGTTCCTCTGTATTTCCCAGAATTTGTGAACTAGAAATTGAATTCTAAGGTTGAGCTTTTGATTTAGGATTCTAGCTTGGTGATAAACAAGAGTTATACAAGCTCACTTGGGTTTGCATGCCAAGTGTTTGTCAAAATATCTCAAAGTAGCTTGCTGGCTGCTTTTTGAACTTTTGAAATGTTTCTTTTCGAATCTGAGTTGGAGCTTTTGAGACATAAAAATGGACTTCTCAATGGTTATGTTGGAATTGGTCTTGCATCACTTGAAGAAAAAATAAATTTTTGGTGGAATTTCAAAGTAAGGGTTAAGGTGCTGGAGCTGTACAGTTTCTGCTGTGTGGGCTGTCTTAGAAATTTGTTTGACATGCTTCCCTAGCTCGAAATGCAACGAAATTTTGGGAAAATGAAGCTTGATATGTCTAGTTCTAATCTGGAAAGTCTGGGATTTGTTGGTTGTAAGCTTGATTTATAGTGATTTTCTAAAGGTGGGATATTCTAGCTAGGATGGTTGGAAAGCTTGTGTATAAGTTTTGCTTGGCATGTTGCTTTTGCTTGGGAATTTAGCATGTCCTTTCTGTTGGTATTGAGTGCTGATCTGAGTATTGCTAGAGCATGTTCTTGAGCAATATTGTCGTGAGAGCATGAAGTGGAATGGTATTGTCGCAAGAGCATGAGTTCTTCAATTTGCTTGAAATGCCCGAATTGCTTGGAATGCTTGAATGAAATGAAATTTCTTGGTATGTGAATTGGTATCACACCTTGTGAATTTTGTCAAATGCTTGATAGATGAGTTTGCTTGCACTTTGAGAAAATTATGCTTCCGGCACATCCGTTTGTGTATGAGTACCTTTCCGGCGTCTGATTTTGGCTAACATATTCTCTTGTTTTAGAAGCTCGAAAGCATGATAAAGCATGAGAAGTCTACTTTGATAGCATGAAAGTGAGTCTTGGTCTCTTGCAACTTGTCTTTGGAAAACATTATGCTTTAATAGCGATTCTACTTCCGGCACCCCCTTTCTGTTTACTAGTTCCCTTCCGGCACCTGATCTGGCCAACGTACTCCCTTGTTTCTTTTTCAGGCTTGATTGAGAGGTTCCAAAGCATGAGGAATGCCATCTTCTTACTAATTTGCAAGGAATTTGGTAGCATGAAGGTGAGTTTTGGTTGCTTGCACCTTGACTTGCGATATGAAGGCTTTTGGAAGATTTGAAACTGGCAGAATGTTTGAAATTAGGCATGTACTGGGAGGATGTTTGAAATAGGGTAGGTGATAAAAATTCTTTGCTTATGGAGTAGGTGCTAGAAGAATGTAACTTGGCTTGTTTCAAAAGGGGGAAATAGAAAACTGTTTCTCACCATAATGCAAGATTATCTAGGCTTGTTGTAATCAAAGAGATAATTTATACTGTGTGGCAAAAAAGGTAGATGGGTTTGCTTGTTTGGATGGCATGGTGTACTTCCTTGAATTTGCTTGGCATGAAGCCCTCAAGTCAGCTTGTTGAGGTAAGCAATTGGTTGCAGAGTTGGGTTATATTCTCTTTGGCTTACTCAGGGTCGCGAAACAAAGTAGAGGCCTGCTTGTAAATTTTTTTTTATTTTTTATTTTTTATTTTTTTGCAACTTGCTTCAAAGAAGATCTTTGGAAGAAGTAGACTGAAGATGAGAAGGAAGAGGCTAAGCGAGTTGCTGGAAGAGATTCATACAGCTTGTTTTCCTCCAGATAAGTAACAAACAGTTTGCTTTCCTCCAAGAGGAAAATTGAAATTTACAACAGCTTCAGGATTCTTGTCTCTCTCTTTTGCTTGACATGAAGCCCCCAAGTCATTTGGAGTTTGCATGTGCTGTTTGCTATGATGGATTCTCTTAAACCCCCATAAGCCTTTCGCAAGATGTTTTGTCTGAAAAGTTTTAAATTTTGCTGTAGTGCAATTGCATGAATAAAGCTTGTGATTTTTCAGGAGTTGTCGTATAGCCATGAGAAGAAGTTCTTGCAAGTATTAGTTGCCGAAGTATCCATCTTCAGAAAGACCAATTCTTAAGTATGCCTGAAAATAATGATGGTGCCAAAGTCTGCGCAGAAAAACATGGGGACAATTGCAATGATGGGTCAGCTGGTTGCATAAATAATGAGATCAACAATGGTGATGAAGGAGATGGTAACGTGAAATAGAAGATACGATATTCTTTTAGCACCAACTACCCTTCTCCCGGCACCTACTACCCTTCTTCCAGCACCAACCTCCCTTCTTTCTTGGTGCATTTGAGGTCGTCCTTTGAGGTGATTGACAAGGTATGCCCTTTCCTCTTTGCAATTTCTTGAATCTATCGAGGGGCTTGTTGGGCTCTTCATGCCCATGGGCTTTGCTCGTTCACTGGAATCTCAGGTCCTTCTTTTTAACTCTGTAGGAATAGATATAGACTGATATCTTGGCCTAGGCTTGTTTTTCGCATGCTTGAATAAATTTGGACTTTTCTCCCATGTTGTGGAAATAGAAATTGATAGAGTGCATGCTCTGCAATGCTTGAATCCTTTTGCATTTTGAGGAAGAATTTGCTTGTCATGGGAATTGCTTGAAAATTTCGCTTGCCATGGATAAATTGTATGCTGCTTGGGTATTTGCTTAAGTGTTTCCTTTGGCCTGAGCTTTACTTGCCCTGCTTGGCGTATATTTTGCGTGTGCCGCGTTCTTGACCCGCTTTTTTGTTGTTGAACTATATGCATCACGAGCGCATGCTTGTAATCGTATGATTAATGCATAGGATTAGAGGCTATTGAAAGCTTTGAGAAAAGCACCATTGGTTTCTTTTTTTTTTTTTTTTGCGTGTGCAGGTGCACACGTCTCAGGCATAGGTGGGGCAGGTGCTGGAAACCTTGACGTTTCTGCTGCTGGAACCTTCAAATCCTTCAGCCTTCTAACTTGGATATTTGGGGCTTCTGCTTTAATCTTTTGGTAAGTAACTCCGCCAATTTGAATATTCCAGGAATAAGCATAGACTGGTGCATGGCCTAGGCTTACTCCCCTTGTGAACATATGCTTGATTAATTGTAGACTTTGTTCTCGGTTGCGAGAAGTAGGAATGCATGTCTTGCAATGCTTGATTTTTGTTCTGAAAGAGAATTTGCTTGTCATGCTTATTGAGTCACAGGATGAGAACTTTGTTTGTCACGAACTTGGGTCAGAAATTGCATATTTGTTTGAACTCCTTCTTTTCTTTTAGGTCAAGAGCATCTCACAAGGGGCGGAGGGTACGCTTCCTTACCCTCCCCTTAGGACACCTGATACAGTTGCCGGCACCTCCTCGCAGCTTCCCGTAGCGCTGTCTCCAACTTCTCCTTGCCTGGGCACACCCAACCTAGCTGCCGGCACCTCTCCACAGTTTCCAGCAGTGCTGCCTCCAACTTCTCCTTGCCTGGGCACACCCGACATAGCTGCCGGCACCTCTCCACAGTTTCCAGCAGTGCTGCCTCCAACTTCTCCTTGCCTGGGCACACCCGACATAGCTGCCGGCACCTCTTCACGGCTTCCGGCAGTAACCCTCGTGGTGAGATTATTGGTGACATCCATAAGGACGGTGATGCTTCCACCTCCGTAGGGCATTTATCGGAGAAAATCATGCCTTGGCAAGATTGGGAGAATTCCTTCATGGCGTTCAAAGCCTTCTTTGATGGTGGTGTTACACATAGCATGAAATCATCACATGGTTCTGTTTCCTTTGAGACTATAGGATGCATGGATCTTTAGCATGTATAGTTTTATCGTGCTTTGACTGTAGTTTTTTTTTTCTTTTGACATTCTAACGACTACGTTGTTATGACTTTGTAATTTGGCATTGAACCACTGAAGCTTGTATTAATTTTTTGAATGCTGAAGGCAGGTTGTAATTCGCATGTCTCATATATACAGCTTGGTTGGCAAAACTCGTCTTTGTGAACTGTTTGAGATTTTCTGACAGGTTGGATATCTTTAAAACAAGGTATATGCTGCCAAAATTTCGACAGGAGCGGAATTTCTAAAGTTTCTTTTGCATGGTTTATCTAGCCTCTGGGTTTGAAAAGCAGCTTCTTGCCTTCCTTAAAAAGGGCCAGACTAGCATGTGCATGATTCTTACCAAGGTTTTATAAAACTCCCAGATGTTGTTCCAGCACCTCAAGATTGCGTGCTTCTTTGGAATAGATCGGTTTCTCGTGCCTTATGCTATTTTTGCTTAAGCGTGATGCTTGTTGATGGTTCGGGACCCCATTCAAGTGACTTTGCTTGGCATGGTTACTGCTAAAAGGCTTAGCTTTTAAAAGGGAAGTTTGCTTGTCTATTTTCTTTTTCTTTTCAAAGAACACGTTTTGCAAAACAGAAGAAGATAAAAGTAAGGAAAGAATTCTAGAGGTTTTTTTTTTTTTTTCCAAAATACTCCATTCTCCTTGCAAATATCGTTTTATGGCATGCTTGCATGCAATGCAATGGTGGTGCGTGCATTCTTCAAAATTGTGAAAACATATGGTGAAAACACAAAAAGAGAGTTCATCTTTGAAATAAATTTGAAAAGCCAAAAACAAAAGGATAGGTGCAAAAGCAACTCAGTAGTAAGGCTTTGAGCCATTTTGCATTGATAAATACCCCCATCAAATTAAGCCCCCAAGTATGAAAGGGCCCAAGGTTGTGCATGACTTGCAATAGCATGAAAGCTTGCGGCTTAGGTTGGCATGTATTTGGCATGTGTTGTACTAGGATGCCATGCTCTGTAGAGATATTTAACAAAGCCACAGTTGCTGCTTTGCTTGCCTGCAGCTCATAACCCAACTAATCAAAGAGTGATTTGCAGCTCCTAACCCATTGTACTTTCTTCAACCTCTGTGAAGTTATGAGAGGTTACAACAGCTGCCTCTTGATAATCTTGATGACCAAATGAAGCCTCCGAGTGGCTTTCTTCCAGCATGTCCAATGTGAATACTTCGCTGCTGGAACCATTCTCTCATCCATTAGCAAGTAGCCATGGGGTGTTATAGCTTGCAGATTTTGAATATTTGCTCCAGTTGGCCTTCTTCATATTTCCACAAGGTTCCCACATAGCCTCCGGTGGCTTTGGGTCATTCTTCCACAGGTGGCACAATACGTCGTCGTCAAGCAAGTCATCAAAGCACGTAATGACAGTAGCCATCTACTTTCCCCTTCGTTTTGGCAAGGGGTCCTTGTCAATAGCTTGCCTCTTAGAGTTTTGTCATGTATCTCGGCGTGTAAGATCTTCCTTAGAGTATGGCAAGCAGTGGTGGATGTTGCAGGTGAAGAATGGATGAATATAGGAAAATACGCTTCCAGCACCCCTTTTCTTGAAAGCTTGACATCGCTTCAAAAATTCTGATTGCTTGGTAAAATAAACTTCATCTTGACAACATTTAGGTTCTTCCAGCAGTATCATAGCACTACCTTTGCAATATTTTCCTTTCATTTGCCATGAATTGAGATGTTTTCCTTCTTGAGTAAAGCATAGTGCTTGGATTTCTTGACTAAGGCTCGGGGCTTGATGATGCTTGATTATGGAATTGTGGCAATTGAGACATCCTGATAGCCTTTTGGTTTTGACTCCTAAACTTGGTCATTGGAATGGTCAAGGCTTAGAAGGTGCTTGAGGTGTTGGAGCATATCAGTTATGGCAACTTAGGTATTGTTTGTTGCAGCTGTTGTGAACATGTTTTAGGAACCAAAAGCTTGGACTTGGCTATTGAAGCTTGAGCTTTGTATGTGTCACTGCAGCAAATGTGTTGGGTTACAACAACAAGTGATGGCAAACTTGGAGGTCATAGTAACATAATTGGGATTTCAAGGAGATTTTTGGTCTGGGAATAGTGGTTTTGGTAATAATGGATTTTTAAGCTCATTTGGGGTTTTGGAATCACTGCCGTGGTGATTGCAATGAATTCCTTCCTCAGCCCCCAAGTGCACCATAATCATCAGAAAAGGATTTGATGGGCATAGGCTACAAAAACTCTTGCAACATGGCCTTCTTAGTATTTGTTTGGGTTATTGCATGGCATGATGAACTTGGGATATCCCTTTGTTGCAACGGTGACAGTTTGGCATGATTCGGTGGTAGCATGTGCTTCTGGCAGTGGCTCTTCCAGCAGTGGTGTTTGGATTTTGACTGGCTCTGTTCTTTTTCCACTCTTCCAGCGGCTCTTTCAGTGGTGCTTGAACTTCTATGACTGGAAGTATAGAGAGAGATTTGTCTTAAGGAATGGATGATAATGGCAGTGTGTTGAGATGTTGGGTAGGAAACATGAGAGCATTTGTTTTCTTGTTTGTTGTTTGGAGGCTTGGGTCCTTTGCACATGACCGATATAATGCTGCATGACCAAAGCATAAAAATAATATAAGCATTGTAGCTTGCAAATGACTAACATAATTGACATAAGCATGCTGGGCAGGTATGATTTTAGTACTGAGCATGCATAGTTGGCATCTACATTGCAATGTGTAACTTGGATTGATTAACACAAAGGTGGATCGATACGAAATGATAAGAAGTAAGATAAGTGAATAGTGCGTGGAATAAGGCCCTGAGAAATTTTGCTGGAGATGCAAAATTGAAAGGTGGTTTAATACATAACAAGAAAATGATGCAAGCTGGTGCACCATATGAATATCAACTAATCAATCAATCTTTTTTTTTGGACTTGAATGCACATGCTTTTGTCTATGCTTGAGATTGTTCAATGAAACATAAATTTTATGGATATCCTAAAACAACAAACAAATATATATACTATATTGAGATCAACAAGGCATGATAATAAAAATCTTATCTTGGTGAAGCCATTCGCAGAGATGAGGCTGAGAGCATTGAGCAAATGTTCCTTCTCCCTTTCTCACCGTGTTTTCACAACTCTAGAGAGGTGAGGGCTGCTATGAAGGTGATTTACGGCGATGGCCAGACTTGCTGATGATGTATCATGGCGGAGAGGTGAACGGCAGAGCTAGCCTCAACCATTGACGACGGTGGTCAGCGGCTTGCACGTTGGCTGAAGCCCCCAGTCCTCTTACAAGATATTGTTTTGCTTGAGAATGGATATCTAAGACACAAGCAAAGGGAGCATGTGAGTAATCTATATTATGTTTGTTCTACAAAGTAGATAGCCAACGAAAGGAAAAAAGAAAAAGAAAGAGGGAATGCTCTTATCTCTTTATTTCCTCCGGTTTATTGCTTCTGGTCTTCTTCTTTGGAGGCATTGGTGCAGATAGTGGCTTAATCCCCAGCAGAGTCGCCAATTTATGTAGGGGCTTTTTTCTTCCGGCAGCTACTACGGGCTTGACTGCCGTAAAGGGCAAAATGGAAGAAATTGCCCCTTGAGCCTGAGTTCGAAAATTAAGCCCCAAAATACCTCGAAAAGGCAGTAGAGCCTTAGGAAGTATTTTGGTTATCTTCACCAACGAGAATAATGGTAACTTGCAGATAGTTTTGGCATGCTTACAGATAGCTCAGCATGAGTGGCATGTGGCATGGGAGCAAAATCAACATGGGTTTAGCACTAAGAGAGAAATTAGGCTTGGTTTATGAGAAAAGAAAGTGTTTAAGTAAGGAATGAGGTGTTTTGTGAGGAATTCGACTAGGGAAAGAGGAAAAAGAAAGGCAGAGTTCTTCTGGCAGCTGCCAGAAAAACAAATTGGAGAAGAAGATGAACAGTGCACGAGCTTGTTGAGTTTTTGCAAGTTAGAGAGAAAGCTTGCTCTCTGCAGGTTGTGAGTTGTTTTGTTGGGTAGGGGAAGGCTCAATTTATAGCTGCCGGAAATCACCATTTTTCAAGAAACCCTAATGGCTTCTACTTACTTTGGCTAAGCTTTTCTTCCTTTCTCCTCCCCTTCTCTGACCTCCCCTTCTTGGCAAAGATTGCTTCTGTCTATTTTCATGAATTCAGGGGATTTGGGGGGCTCAACATCCTCCTTTCCCGCGGCTGTGCAATGGGAGCTTCCACTCTTGGTTTGCTGTTTTTTCTTCTTTTCTTTCCTCTTCTTTGGGTGAATCTGATGGAGGAAAAGAGGTGAAAATATATGCTGGTCCAAGGAATGCTTCTGACAGCATGCGGGATGGTATTCATCGGTTCTTTGGATGTCTCTGGCTTGGGACTGGTTTCCAGCAGCTTTGCTTAAGGAGTCTGCCATCTGCTCTTCACGTGTCCTCTACTTTCTCCAAAAGCTGAGGTTTTTTTGTGGGCTATTTTAGGATTTTTATATGGGCCAAGGTGATTTCCTAAGCAAAAGGGCTTTTACTAAACATTGGGCTTCTCAGTTTGGGCTTTATTTTGGTTGGGTTGTTTTGCTTGGGTATTGGGCTACTTTTCTCTCTTGTGCTTACCCACATGTTTGGGCCTAAGAAACGGGCTTGAGTCTCGAGGCTCCCAAGCAACCCGAGACTTTCCATTTCTCGGTCCATCAATGGGTCTCATGTTGATTTATCACCATCCATGCCACAACCCACTCAAGCAAGCCCGGGTTTTTTGAGTGGCTTGGGCCCACCTAGGCTTGTGGCGTGATTAGGTGCGGAATGATAATTCCTTGCTTAGCGTGGCGTGCCGTTTGGCGTGGCATGTGTGCAAGCGCATATGATGAACTTTCGCATGCCCAAATCGGGTTTTTTCTTGGTAAAGTATCGCATTGGGCCGAGAATTTATTTGGGCCGAACCGTGAATATTTTGGGCCTCAACAACCTCAACTATCTGTTCTTCCATTATTTTTCAGAAGCACCCAAACTATCTCATACTTTTGGTCAATTTTGATAGGAGGAGTTGTACAAAGTCAATTTTGTCAATCTAAGGCTGACTTCATAATTTTACTAACCGTTACTTAGCATAATGGGTCTATGCGCAAAATTTTAAAACTTGAATGAGTGTTTGTGTAATTTCTAGTATTTCAAGGAGTTACGTGTCTTCATGAACCTAGGTACTAGTTATTTTCGATTGGGTTCAATATTATTTTAATACATTTTTTCAGTAAGGTGCTTGGCCAAAGGCCCAAATATTATTTGACGACGTTACTAATGCAAAGATTGAGCCCAAATAAACTTATTTTACTACATTACGAACACAAATGTACTTTGGTCCTTTCTTTAAGTTGAATGCGTAGGCATGCCACCACCAAAATACATGACATGTTACCCGAATGACAGTGTGTAAATGATGTGCGTATGAAATTTGATTTTAAATCAAATGACTGAACTGCAGAGCAAATAAGGGTCTTTCATTTCCTCCAGGTAAAGGATGTTTAGATTTTTTATTTTATCTTTTTGGGTTAGGTCCTGTAGATACAAAATTATCTATTTTGAAACATGAATTGGAATACTAAATCTTTTAGCTCCTTATCCGTGGAGGAAAAATAGGACGCAATGAAATGAAGTGCTAGGAAGTATATAACAAGAAAGTAAAGTGCTTGAATTAAAGAGGCCAAAATAAAGATAAAGAAAAATTCCCATAACAAATAAGATAAATAATTTCAATAAAACTTATAGCCAAATAAAAACTTAATTAAAGGTGCTAAAACTGAAGAACACCAAAATTTATGAAGGTTAAAAGTGCTGGAAAGATAAATAGACAGAAATAAGTGATGGAAATGTAAATCTACATACATGAAAGTTTGGTAGTAAAAGTTAAACTCGGTAAATCTAGGGGTAGTAAAATGTAATTTACCCTTTTAGCATTTTGTTTCTGAATAACTAGATGCACTGAAAATCCTTACAGCCCACTTTTTTTTATTAATGGGCTCAGGGTCCACCCACAGGACAACAATGGCCCACCCAAGAGCCAGGGTCACAGTGGGACCGTCTTCACCAATGTCTTCTTTGTCTCCCTTGTTTTGAACTCAAGCTTTACTTTATAAAACTCCCAAAAGCTCATACAAATTGGACTGAAGCTTTCAACTTGGAAGCTTCAGAACCCAGGAATTCCTCTAATGGCCAATCAGTCCTCCTCTTCTTACCCCATCCTTTGCGCTTCCTTCAATCAAGACACCAGGTAAACTCAAAGTTCACTTTTTTTTTTCTTTCCAATTTATTTATTTTTGTGGTGGAAATTTGTAATTCTTTCGAATTTGTCAGTTGCTTTGCAATTGGGACAAAGGATGGCTTCAAAATATTCGATTCCAATACAGGGAGGCTCTGTTACGAACGAGGCAAGTTATCGAATTCATTTATTGCTTCCCAGAATCAAACTATGAAGAAAAAAAAGCACTACACTTGATTTTTCAATTTTTGTTTATATGGAAAATTTTTTCTGTAGTGGGCTGTTTCCATTTGTTTTAATATGTACTTATTTTATTTTGTTTTTGGTTAGCTATTGGAGCTTTCGTTATTGTTGAAATGCTATTTAGCTCCAGTCTTCTTGCCATTGTTGGAGCTGGTGAAGAGGTATGTAATGTAATCAGTTAGTTGTTAGTACTGGATTCTATCATGATAAATTTACTGACATTCTGACTGCTACAGCCATCTTTATCGCCACGGCGTCTCTGTCTGTTCAACACCACAACTGGAACTGCTCTTCGAGAATTAAATTTTTTGACTTCAATACTTGCTGTTCGCATGAATAAGAAAAGGTAACACGAAATTAGTCATCATGAGCTTGTGCTACGAATTCGTCTTGGTTAATTATCATAATAATCTTTAATTCGATGTTTCAAGCTGATATATGATATATCATTTCATTTGTTAACAAAATTTTCGAGCCTAGATATGATAGCAAAGACAATTGGCATATTTGGCACTTGTACACACTTGTTAAGACAGTTATCGAGGTTCTGTACTATATAGTGAGATTTTACAAAATTATCATGTGATAATGCTCCCCCATTTTAAAGTACCGAATTATTTCGAAGTTCTACTTTGTTTAACCCTTTTTGGTTCTTCTACATGCATCTGTGCAATGCAATCATATAGGTATGTATGGATAATGGGCACAGCAAAGGTATGTACAAATACTTGGAAGTACATAGATTTAATGTTCTATACACATTGTTTTCCAATAAAAAAACTATAAATGCTTTATTTTTTTGATACTTTTGTAAAATCATTTAAGTGGTGCAGAACTCACTCAGCCCATTGGAGATGGTTGTTAATCTATTAAGTGAACTTCAATTTTTTCTCCTTTCTTGTTGAGGATTTTGATATGCTTTTTTGGGAAATGCAGACTTGTTGTCGTTTTACAGGACAAAACATATGTATATGACATAAATAGTCTTGGAATCTTGGACACTATTGATACCATTCCAAATTTAAAAGGTGAAAGTGGGTCACATTTCTTCTTGTACCAGTATGTGGATTCACATTCTGTTCAACCAGCAATCTGCCTCAAAACTTATTCGTATAACTTATCTTTTGTCGTTTTTTTTTCATTCTCCTCAGGGCTTTGTGCATTCTCTCCAAGTTTGGAAGGGTGCTTCTTGGCTCTTCCTGCTAGCATCTCCAAGGGATCTGTGTTGTTGTACAATGTCATGGACCTGCATTTACATTGTGAGGTTATGGAATATGATATTCTTTTTCATACATGACAGAAAGATGGTAAAATATGTATGACGTCACTTCATTTTGTTATCCAGATGAATTAATACTTCTGAAAAATGTTTTTCAACATGAATTCAGAGCTTTTGTTTTAATAAGCCTGAGTGTTCTTTTTACCAGTAATGTGGAAGATTTGTGGTTTTGTTCCTCTTCTATCTTGTTGGTCAATTTTCATGGTTCTGTTTCGTCTACACAGCCAAAAGTATGCAGTAGAGGAAGCACACAAATTAGAAAAATAAATGTTTTATTTTATATTTTTCGGAAGACATTAAAAGTAAAATGGTGTAAAGTGGATCCTGCAGTATGCTTCTTTAGATGCCTGCTTTCAAATCCTCAAGAATCAGGATGCTTTGCAACTGCATTTTGAAAATATGTAGTCATATTTCAAGAGTATCTGAATTGAATTTTTTATTTTAAAAATAAAGGATCAATCTTCATGGAATTTTATGCCTTTATTTAGTTGTATTAGATATGCAGCAAAAGATACTTCTTTTTCCATCTCCTAATTCTATGTATATTTATATTTCTTGAATTTGAACTACAGATAGATGCTCATCGAGCCCCACTTGCTGCAATGGCTCTTTCTTCCAATGGGACGTACGTAGCAACAGCATCTGAACAGGGGACCATTATAAGAGTCCATCTAGTCTCAGAAGCAACTAAGGTGAAGAATAGCAAAAGAATTTCTTTTATCAAATTGAAGGGAAACAGTTCTTTTTTATCAAATCCAAGTAATATTTGTTGACCAGCACCTTGGATCTCAAACATATGTGTATATTTATATACTGCATAAGAATTACTGTTCCATCATCTCCTTTCCTGACTTATAACCTACAGCCACTGAAGCAAGTAGTGGCAGTACTTTTAATTGACTGTACTTTATTACAAGTAATATGGAGGTCTAATTAATCCTTCTTTGGCAGTCTTATAGCTTTCGAAGAGGGACATATCCCTCAACTATATTTTCTTTGTCATTTGGGCCATCTACGCAACTGCCAGATATTCTTGTGGGCACAAGTTCTTCAGGTTCTGTTCATGCTTTCTCTCTGGGGTTCTCTATTTATCAAAGGTCAGAACTAAAACTGAACATTTCCTTTCGTAACAACTGAACATTCTTTAGTTAGCACATTGATGTTGCATGTACCACATTAAGTGTTAATATATAAGGAAACTGACTCACGTATTTGCTTAATGTTGTTGCACTTTTCTCATGTCTTTAGATATGTAAAGCTCTAGGCCTTCAGTAGCATTTGCTTATTCTTTTATTTGGTATTTATCTTCCTTCAGCTAGTTGCAATTGCGGTTGCCCTTAAAGAGAAAGGAAAAGCTGTATTAATAAAATTATGTTCTGACAAATGATTAATCCTTATTTTATTTGTTGCATAAGTCTCGCTGTTCAATCTTCCTGTCGAGTAAACTTATAAAAGAGTCTGTTCAAAAAAGTGAATTTACAAAAGAAGAAGATAAAGAGGCAGTTCCTTTCAAATCCTTGGTGTTCACGATGTTCATGCAGTACACCTCTTTATGTTTTCCAATGTTAGAGAATATTTTTTCATCCTTCTAATTTTCATTTGTAAATTCAAATCTCTTATTTCTCTCTCTTAGCAGAAGCAAAAGATCAGGAAGTTTTCTTGGATCAATTATACCTGGCTCTGTTACGGATGCATTGGATCCAGCCCATCATGATGTACTTCATAATGCTGCACCAGCAGGAGTCAAAAGGTGGACCAGTTTATAACTTACAATACTGTATGCATTAGTACATTTTTACCACTGGTCTACTGACAACACAGCACCATAGGTATGGCATATCATGTGAATGGGATGAGACTTATCTGGGCAGTCTGGCTCAGATTCTAAAAGTCAGTTGACTTCTGGTTGTTTCAAACTCTATTTTCTACTTCTAGGGGAAAAGTTTAGTGCCTTTATGGATTCTCCTTTAAACTGAGTGCGGTCTTTGTCTACGTAACTGAACATGTCTTTGATATTAAATTATGATATAGGCGCTTCTGTCAGACCTTGTGGAAACAATTGTCTGGATGAATACACCTTAATGTGCACTGTGCACTTTTGGAATATAATACAGACCAGAGTTGCAGATTGAGATTTAAGAAGCAACAATATGTTTGACTGCTTTGTAATTATGAACTGCTTTCCAGTTAAGTAAGAGAAGTTATTGATAAGAATCCATTTTACATTATGATTATTGTGTTGTTGCTGTGGAATTGTGAACTTTCTAGTTAAGCAAAGGAGTTTGTTTATAAGAGTGGGTCTTTATTCTTTCAACTGGCCCATGGATTAGGATTTTGGTCATAAGCCATACCTGGGTTGTGGACATTTGGCAATTCAGATTTCACTTCTGATATAATATCCTTTCTTGCTATTGTTTTATCTTTAGCCCATTAATTCCTAAAGTCAAGTTTAGTGTTTTATTTTTTAAAATTATTTTTTTAAAATTTTTAACAGCTATGCCGTGATTCGAAAGGTTGACAAGGTTGCTGATACATCAACTTCAGAAATTGTGGCTTGCAGGTTCGTTACCGGTTGTTGTCTGTAGTCTTATAAAGTTAAGTCTCTTCTTTGGTATTCCTTTGTTGACCCTCCCCATTCTCAATCCCTTTCTACAACTTAGGGTTCTGAATTTGCCAGTTGAATAGTGTTCTCAACAGTAAATAATGTACAAAGCATTTTTATGCAAAACGTTTTTCACATGCCCAACAGGAGTGGCTCTCATTGGGCCATGAACTACTGCTGGATTTCCATGAATGATTAAATTAGTTTGAAGTACCAACTCTCATGTTTAAATTTCTGGTTCGTGATCGACTGGTTTTCATTGGTGACCACATAAACTTGATGTGCCATCTCTCTAAGTAAAAGTACATTATTTACCAATATGCGCTCTTGGGGAAGATGTGGAGGCAACAAATTCCTCGCACCTTTGTGCGGTGTAGGTTTTGAATACTGTTTGAATAAAGCTACTTAATAATCTTTTCTTTTTGAGGTTTGTCTGCTTATGTTTTATTTATTACAGTTGTCGATTATTTCTACCTTCTTATTGGCTTGAATTCTTCCTAATTGGACTTTCATTTCAGGGCAACTATTTCCATTATAACATACAATGGGTACTTCCAGGAGTACAACTTAAGCATCAACAATCAGAATGAGTTCTCATGGAGTTTGGAGCGTGAATTCAAGCTACTGACTGTCATCTCAGATGATGCCATCAGCTCCTGATGAAAGTGTTGAATGGATCATCTCTGAAACTCGGGGAAGTGCACGCTATTATTCAAGCCCAGCAGACAGAATTGTGCTAGTATGCTTCGAGGTCTAGTGACTAGCCTTGAAGGATCATGTAAATTGGGGGCGGTAATTGTTGACACGACACGGTGACAGTAGGTTAGTATTGGGCATATTTCGTGTCGGGATCTCATCCCAGATAACATATGATTAGTTAACAATTTGTGTGGTGTGCATAAAAGTGGAGATTTCTACATATATACATGTGAATAGTTGAACCCTTTGACCCTTCCCAAAATATGTATCTCTAAATTGATCATAACGAGCGGGTACAGCTTTTCAATAAAAGAAGTAATTATTTGGTTGGTCATAAATGCTTTTGTATCGTTTATGTAATGGTCATCAATTGTAAGTGCCCTCAATTGTTAGTGTATGTTTCCTTCGGATCAAGAGCAATGACATTCTGTTCCAGCAGCACAATTATTTTTGTATTGAAGCTCTCATAACGTGGGAGGGGTAATTTTCTTAAAGTTCAAAATTAATTCAAACCGTTTTAGGGCTTAAGTTAACATACACACCAAAGGTAAAATTAGGGGTAGGTATGGTTTGGATTGGATTGGTTTCACATTAAAATCACGGTCGAACCAATTACAATATAATGGTCCGGATTGGATTGGTTTCACCTCAAAATTAGGGGTAGGTATGGTTCGGCTATCCTATTTATAAATAAAAAATAAAAAAAACCAACGTAATGTCGTCCGGCTACATTCGTTTCAATAAATAAATAAATAAATAAATAAATATATGTAAAAGGATCCGATAGCGATTCAGACCCACGTGAAGAAATAGTATAGCATCGGCTATACTGTTTAAGTATATTATATTTTATAAGGCGTATAGCTGCGCGACTATACTATTTATTGTATTAAAAAAATTAAAAAAGGACCCTGGTGAAGCCGTGCGGCTATACTCGTTTATTCAGTTGTGGCCTCGTCGATGGCCACGTCGGTTGTTCCAAAGTACTACACAACGAGAACGACTCGTCGTCTTCAGTTGTGGAGGAAGACATGGATTTCACCTCGTCGTCATCGTCGTCTTTGTTGTAGTTATCATCTTTGTCGTTGTCGTTTGGTTTGGACTTGGAATTTTTGATCTTTTGATACTATTTCAGTTATGGATCTCATTTTTGGTTAAGAATGTACTTCTATGACAGAGTATTAACAAGATAGTTATATGATAAAGTATTAACAAGATAGTTATGTGACAGAGTATTAACAATGTACTTCTATGACATAGTAATATTAACAAGATAGTTCTATGATGTAGTAGTATTAACAAGATAGTTCTATGACATAGTATTAATAATGTACTTCTATGAAGAGCCCCTGCATGGTTTTCGCAATTTTATTTATTTATAAAATCTGGGTTGGCTTTTTTTTTTTTTTTTTTTTTTTTGTTTTTTGTGTTTTTGTGTTTTTTTTCTTTTTAGTTAATCAGTGGCAATCATGTAATTTATAAGAACTTCAACACCAATTTCTTATGTAGTAAATTGGTTTTCGGTGTGTTTCTAAAGTGCATTTCATGTGGGGTTTTTAATAAATAATAATAATTTCAGCCCATATTTTGGGTATAACAGTGAAGCTCCCTTTAATTTTTCACAGTTTAATTGTTTATTATTGATTTTGGGACGATTTACATAGAGTATATAAAATTACTCAACAAAACCCTTGTTTTATTTCATTTTGTTTTTCCTCACAAGGATAAACAAACAGTAAGGAAAATTCCCCAATAAGTATTTTATGTTAAGGATAAACAAACTGTAAAGCATCCTGGATAAAGTCATACCATAGCGCACATGTGCATGAAATAAATTACAAGAAGGAAACATCTATGGAGAATCTTTCTAAACATAAGACACAGGAAAAGTGAAATGCGCATAAGAAAGAAGCACATTCTGATCAGGTAGCCAAAGGATCAAGACCAAGCAATTCACCACATGTCATCATATGTATTGGCTTCGACAAATGGAGCATCTGAGTTGAGAGGAAATGAGAAACTTGTTTCATTGTTGGACGAGATTTGGGGTTGGAATCCAAGCATGAAAATGCTATCTTCACAAGATAGACCACTTCGCTTGCAACTTGATGCGTAGGAGGGGAAATGCGTTGGTCCAAAACATCCACAATTGTTATTTGATGGGCTGGTAATGTAGATGATGATGAGGAGGAGGAGGATGAAGAGACTGATGAGAAAAGATGTCCGGGATGCTTTCCCTTAATTGAATTTGTATAATTACGTCTCACTTTATCGCAATATATAATATGATTCTCCCCAACAAATTAAGGAGTAAAAAGTAAATAAAAATTTACCGAAGAATGAAATAAAAAAAATATCGATGACTTTTAAAATTCAAAATTAAATATGATAAAAGGGGTGGTTAGGGGAAGGAGTTGTACCTGAAACCGAAAAGGTGAAAAACGACCCATCGATTTTGGAAGCAATAATAGGGCTCGTTTGGGAGTGCTTCTTCCCGAAGCGCTTATGCCCGTAGCGCTTATGTCAGTAGCGCTTATGACATAAGCGCTTCTACAAAGAAGCGGTCTGTCATTTGGATGTCACATTTAAAAGTGGTTTTACATTACAGAAAAGTACTTTTGATATTTTGTTGAGTGTTTGGCTGACACAGTAAAAGCGCTTTTAAAAGTACTTCAAAAAAATTTAAAGAATCCCAAAATATTATAATAAACATAGGAAATAAAAATTCACAGGATCCCAAAATAAAAACACGACTTAAAGTTGTGAAGAGCCATTGAAGCAACAACTATTTGTATTTGTTTTTCCATAGGAAAGTTATGCATCTGTCGTATCATTCTCCAACAACGATAATCTAAGGATGACTTCGACTCACTCATGAATACTAGTTGTGTTCATAGTAGGATTTAGGAACATAATCCTTAACAAGGATTATGCCTGCCAGTTGTGTTCATACTAAACTAGGAAATCCTCACTTTTGGTTTTTCACCTTCATATGAAATTACGAATTCTTTTTCAATCTTCAGATTCCTCACTTTGGTAACACACCTAAGCTCTATATATAGAGGGAGAGCTAATGAGTTGCATATTCAAGAAGAAGAAGAAAAAACAAGTTATTTCCACTAATTCTAGAATCAACAATAATGGATTCTGAAGCTTTTGGAGCTGAAACTGGCAGCAGCAACAGGGTTTTAAGCATACTGCTATTAATCATAGGGCTCTGATACCGGTGGTTGGTTGCAAGATTTCGGTGTCATAGATGGTGATTTTAGTGTCTCTAATGTTGTGCCTTAACATATCAACATTGCAGACGAATTTAATGTTGATGCATATTGACAATTGTAAGTGTCTGTCATGGTTTTAATTTTAATAGGAGAGAAAAAAAGAGAGAGGGTATTTTGGCATTTAAAAAAATTAAATATGGGTATTTTTGGCATTTTAAAAGTTTCATTAAAGGGAGCCAAGTGCTTCCCGTGTTTTTGTCCTGTAGCGCTTTTAAGAAGAAGCACCTCTCAAGTGCTTCTTCCAAAACCACTCCAAAAGCTTTTGGATCTCACCCAAAGCACTTTTGTAATTTTTGCCAAACACCATTTTAAAAAGGCAAAAGCGCTTTCACCCATTTAGAAGCGCTTTTCACTGCTCCAAAAGCACTCCTAAACGAGCCCATGGTGGTTTGAGATTACCGACAACCTCCATGGTGGTTTTTATATTCTCCCAAGTGGTACCGTATCAAATCATAATTTAAAATAGGGAAATAGAATAGGTAACAAACATTTTTAAAATAAAAATAAAATCTGAGGCGTTTCTCTCTCTCTCTCTCTCCTGATAAGACTATAAGTTGAGCGTCATGGTTATCGGAGGCGTTTTAATTCATAATTCTGAAAGTTCAATTTGAAATTGAGAAATTAAAAGCTGAAAGATTAATGGTGTGAGGTTCTGGGTTCTGTGTGTTGTGTGAAGGTTGATGGCGCAGTTTCAGAACGAGGAGCTGGAGTATGTCGTCGATGACTACTTCGACGTCGCTGAGTTCGAAGACAACGACGCTTTTGCTGAGAACCAGCTCCGTGGGAGCCAAGATGCCGACTCAAACTTTGAGGACGACTTTGATGAGGTAATTGAGCTCTGTTTTTTTCCTGTTGAATTTGGTAATTCTATACAATTTGAACAAACAAAGGAGTGATATTTGGTGAAGTTGCAGCAGAGCTAGGTGAAGACTGATACTTCAGCTATGGAAGCTAGAAACGGGAAAGACATACAGGGAATTCCATGGGAGAGCTTAACTTCACCAGAGATAAGAACTACGAGAGCCTCTCTCGCCCTCGTCAAGACCTCGAAAAGGTTTCTACTTTGTACCCTTCACTCTTTTTCGTGGCCTCTACTTCTGTGTTCTGTATTTTTCGGGTTTAGAAATGCCTTGTTGGTCTTCAAGGCATGATCTTTACATATGTTTTTGTTTGAAATTCAAGGGATGCATTGCATTGTTTGCCTTTTCAGATTGGGATACTTTTTGGAAAGGGTATTTCATCATCTATAAATATAGCAATCCTCCTGCAGTTTTAGTCATTCAGTTTAATTCTCTACATACAGACGAAATATATAGAGAGCATTAGAGTTTTCATAAAGAGAGGTTCCTGCATAATTTGGTTCAAAGTTCCTTGTGTTGTGAATTGCAGTGCTTCTTTCACAAGGAGGGAAGTCGTTGTATCCTGGGAGACGAATGCTAGTGAACCATAAGCACTAGTGTGAGGCGTAATTCGTCTTAAGGTCAAAGTGTCCAACACTTGCTTCGACTCAATTAAGGTTTTTCTAATTCAATTCTCTTTTTGTAAAAATCTGTTTTATGTGCAGTATTTATTTTGTTTATTTTATAGCAATTTAGCACTCATATTTCCAACAGTTTTGATGTTGGTCCTTTGTGAAGCAAAATTATTTTACCCAATCTTCTAGTTGCTGAACATACTATGTTGACAGGAGTGCTTGCAAGTAGAGATGGGGAAGACCTTCTATGACTTTCACTACAATACAAGGAGTGTCAAGTCTACAATTGTCCATTTCCAGGTAGAGATTTTGTGCTTTCTTCTATATACTATTTGAAATGTTTTCAAAGAAAATTGGTTTGTGACTTTATTTGAAGACATAGGAATATTTTGATGTTGAGTTCATATAAACCTTCACTCCCTGTTTTTTTTTCTTTCAAAACTTCATCCATGTGTAATGGTGCAATATTTGCATATTTTTCATCTTCATATTCATTTAGCAATCATTTGGATACATCAAGTTCTTAAAACTACTATTGATATTCATATTTGCATGCATTCATTCGATTATTCAAGGGCATTGCTCATCATAATATCCTAGCTATTTTTGTCACTTATTGAACGCATGCTGTGTGTATAAAGTTTAGATCCTTTTGAATTTTGTGCCTTGCTGTTTTTTAATGTAGTTATATGCATGTTATTGGTTTGGTAGTTTTGCAGCTCTTGTAAAATTGTTTTATCCTTTATGATGGATATCTTACTTTGTGATTTTGGTTCTGTGCCTCAACCATTCACTGGAAGGTATGGAGTTCATAATGGTTGTGTCTTTGTTGGGCCCTATTTTAGATCTTGTATCATCTGAGATTTAATTGGCTTACTTCATGAACCTAAAGCTGCTCAATTGTCCTCAACCTCCAAAAGCTGCTCGATTGAGGGACTCGAGATATTAAAATTTTGGGGTCCTTACCAGATTCTCGTCGATTGTCCTCAACCTCCAAAAGCTACTCAATTGCAGTGTTTATTGACATATATCTAGGTTGTTCATACTGCTTCCTTCCACTGAAAGATTCAAGGGAGGTAGAAAAGAGTAAATAAGTCTATGCAAAAGCAGAATCACAAAACACATAAAAACAAGACACAGTAAATCCCTCCAAGCTGAAAATCAAAGATAAGTCGTTAGGAACCAAATTTTAAATACTTAGTCAAAAATAGTTCTTTGGAAACAAATATATATAACGTAATAAACTGACATTCCAAATAAAGCCATACTTACAAGGAAAGCAACGTCAGAAGCAGCAGCTGCAGTTAGAATTTGGTCGACTTTTTCCTCCACCGTTTTTCTATCTGTAACTGTGACTGGTTTTCCATACAAGTTTTCCTGTGCATTGAAATTCCTTCTGAAAAATTGAACACCTACGTTTTGAAAACAAATAGAGCAAGAGAGGGAGACAGAAGAAAAGCCATACCAACGTGGAAAGGCCGTCGGAAGAGAGACCAAAAGAGAGTAGAGAAGTGTAGGCCTCTATGAAACCCTGGTCACATTGCTTCACTATTTCTAAGCCTTTGAAGGTGATGTCTTTCTCATCCGCCAAACCCAGTCCTACTATGTACAGCATCCTTCTCAGTCTCGCCCCTCTGACTGGTGTTCTTGTCTCCGACTGTCTTCCTTGTCCACCTTTGCTGAGGGTTTATGGTTTACTGTTGTTTTTGTGGGGTTTTTCTCTCTTGCTAGGCTTGTTAATTTGTTAAACATCCAACACAGTTCATGTTGCCGTGTTCTTGCTGTGGTCCACTATAGAAAAAATAAAATTATATAAAATTAATTAAAAATTAAAGGGGGATTCACTATTATACACAATATAGGAGCCTAAATTATAAAAAATACTTATATAAAATAGACTTTAGAAACACAGCCAAAGTCCATTTTCAACATGTCGGCGAGCCTCCCATCGCCCCACCCAGCGCCACCTGTCTCTCTCTTCTCCATGCAGCCAGCCCAAGCCCCTTTCCCTCCTTCTCTGAAATCTCTCCGCCCTTCTCTGTCTCTCTCTCTCTCTCTCCACAGGGCATGACATCTTCTCAATTTCAGTGGGGATGCTACCCGCAGTGGTGTAGCCACAGTGGGGTCATTGGAGTCGCACGACCTCTTGGAAGCCATGGAAATAGACTTAGAGGTCCATTGGAGCTGCTGGTGCGACCTCTTGGAGCTGCACACCAAGTGGTCGACGAAATGTCTGAAAGAACGATGGGTTGCAAGCTGAAGAAGAAGGCTAGCGCGCTAGTTTTTTTTTTTTTTTTTTTTAACGACCTGGCCAAAACGACGTCGTTTTGAGCCATGTTTGAAAAAATAATAAAAAGACCAATGTATCCTCTCCAGCCACTGCTTCTCCACAACACAACTTGACGGAATCTGTCCTTAAGCCAAAGTTCAAATGTATTTTACATATTCTTGGCCATACAGAAGACTTTGCTCTTCAACCTGTGAGCACTGGCGGAATCTGTCCTTATTTCCATTACATTTAAGTAAATGTCTTTGGATTCAAATAAAAATACTAGATAATCAAATTCCCACCAAATCAAAATATGAAAATTCGGTTTTAGTGCAAAATACGATTTAGGCTAAAAATGATGGCTCATTAAGTCAATATATACTTCATACTAAAATCCCATAAAATCAAGTTTTCTTATTTGATGTGTAAGGAATAAAAGCCGCCAAAAATTATCTTGAGAAAATGATTATTCTGAAAAACCATTTTTCATACTTAGTCAATATTGCACCTATGCTAAAAAATTTATGGGTCCGCCAGTGCCTGTGAGACACTATAATTGAAGTCAAAGCAAAATGGCAAATTGCTATCTATTGGCCGATGGACCATCACAAAGCATTCTTGCCCCCAGTAATAACAAAGTTTACATTTTAGTATCTATCCAAAGCTGCAACTTCTGCCACTCTTGCGCCTCAGCTTGTGCATGCCATTCTAATTTTTTTTTAAAAAAAAATTAAAACTTAGGCAGCAGTTTAATTAAGGAATTTAGGGTAACTATATAATCTCCTCTCTCCTCTCTCCTCCCTCCCTTTTCTATGTGATCTCGAATAAAATGATGTCTCAAGTTTATGTGTTTTGTGCGTAAGTGAAGTATGAGATTCTTAGAGATGTTTATCGCACTAATTTTCAGTAACAATGTGAGTTTTTATTTTCATTTTTTTGCATATGTAGAATATATATGTTGATCAATCAATTTTTTTTTTTTTTTTTTTTTTTTTTTTTTTTTTTTTTTGGGACACTTTTACAAAAGGCCCTTGTGTTTCGATTCCTGGCTCCGCCACTGGCTACCCGTGAAGCTATTTTCCCTCATTCCCAATGATTTCAAGTTGGGCAAATTCCATATGTCTGTATATTTGGGATGCTTCCATGTATTTGGTTTCTGTGGAACCAAAACATTTCAAGCTTAGTTTGTTTTTTTAACTTGAAATACCTGTAGACTTGTGGCATTTGACATTGAGGGAGGAAGGGATCCAAAACCAGCCCCGTCCCTCTCTCTCTCTCTCTCTCTTCCCCAGAGGACACCCATCTTGACCCCAAATCTCCCTCCCCACCCCACTCCCCCAGCCCCAACCAAACTGTCTTTACTGCATAGATCCGACACAGATCCGACGAGCCCAAAACTCCAGATCCGTCCAAGACACAGCCCCAGTCGCAATAGCATATCCAACCTCCAAGGCTCAAGGCTACGCCACCATATTCGTCGCCAAGTTCTTCGGCCGCTGCAACGGCAAGTCGACGACACAGTTTGATGTAATGGAGGATATAGTCGGCGATTTGGATATGTGGGATTTGAGATGAATGGATGGATATGCTCGAGTGGCTAGGTGGAGGTCGCTGGTGGGTCGTCGCTAGGGGAGGAGGCAGCTGGGTGCGGAGGTTGGGGGTCGGTGGGTTTGCGGCTGGGCTTCATCTTCGTCGGGGAAAACGTACTGAATATTAAAAAATATTTAATATATGGGAGTTTTACTAAAACACCCAAAATGTGGGCTAAAATTATAAAAAAAAACCCAACACTTTATAAACACATCCAAAACCCATCATCAAACACACTCAAAACCCATTTATAAACACACCAAAAAAAATATACAATTGTTTATTTTGGGGTTGATTTTAGGTGTGTTTCTATGTTTAAATAGTGTTTGGGTTTTTTTATAAGTACATGTCTATGATTGGGTTTATTTATAAATTTGTATTAATGTATTTGATATTAAAAGTTATAATTAATTTTAAACAATAAAAGAATTCTTTATTCTTTTTTTGGCTCACATGGAAGTTCATGCCGCTGAAAAATGGATACTAGATGGACCTATTAATTGCCACATCATCGTTTAACGGAAAATTTGACTGTTAACGGATGTATGAAAATGATAGAAAAATCAAATTTTGGGTACGAAGTTGATATGAAAAAAAAACTTTAAGTATCAAAGTAAAAATTTTGGAAATCTTGCGGGTAGAAAAGTGAAATTTACCCATTTATTTTTGAGTTATTTATTCAAAAATTCATTTTAGCATGACATATTATATAAAAATTTATATATATCCTATTTGTAGAGAAAAACTCAAAACTAGCCACTTGTCATTTTCTAATTGCTTCTTAATGAGTTAAAAATTTATAATAACCAATTAGAAAATAAAAAGTTACTAGTTTTGAATTTTTCACTCCAAATATGCTTTATCTAGTTTTGAATTTCTCACTCCAAATATGCTCTATAAAGGCTTTTATATATTATGTCCTGTTGAAATGGGTTTATTAGTCAAATCTGATTTATTTATTTAATACCGACCAGTTAGTTGAAGCCTAACCTTGTTCTCCTACAATTGTTTTGACTATTGTAATTTTTTTTTTTGTGTGGGTCAAATATCAAGTTAAAGTGGGAGGTAGGGTTGGTTTTAAGATGGATCAAATCAGAATAAGGGGATTCCCATTTCAATTCAAAAAAATTTGGAATGAAAATTCTTTTCCAAAAAATTTCGGACTTTAACATATTTTGGAAAATTTCATAAAATTCTTGAAAATATTAAGCATGTCTAACGATTTTGAAATGCTAAAATTGGCTCAAAATTGAAAATTCATACAAAAAACTATTATATGTTATGACTTAGATGTTGTTATCGTTTATGTAATTACTCGTCTATGTTATTTGGTCATATTTAGTTTAACATGAAATTAGTCATATGTGTAATGTAAAGAGTACAGCCGTTCGGCTATACTATTTACAAATAAATAAATAAATAAACCAACGTAAAACTGTCTGGATATATTCATTTCAATAAATAAATAAATAAATAAATAAATAAATAAATATATATATAAAAGGATCCGCTAGCGATTCAGACCCATGTGAAAAAATAGTATAGCCGCGGCTATACTGTTTAAGTATATTATATTTTATAAGGCGTATAGCCGCACGACCATACTATTTATCGTATTAAAAAAATTAAAAAAGGACCATGGTAAAGCCGCGGCTATACTGTTTAAGTATATTATATTTTATAAGGCGTATAGCCGCACGGCCATACTATTTATCGTATTAAAAAATTAAAAAAGGACCATGGTAAAGCCGCGGCTATACTGTTTAAGTATATTATATTTTATAAGGCGTATAGCCGCACGACTATACTTTTTATTGTATTAAAAAACTAAAAAAGGACCCTGGTAAAGCCGCGCGGCTATACTCGTTTAAAAAAATCTCAAGTATAGCCGCGCGGAAATGACAGTCGATGGCCTCATTAGTTGTTCCAAAGTACTACACAACAACGACTCGTTGTCTTCAGTTGTGGAGGAAGACAGGGATTTCACCGCGTCGTCATCATTGTCTTTGTTGTAGTTATTGTCTTTGTTGTTGTCGTTTGGTTCGGACTTGGAAGTTTTGATCGTTTGATATTATTTCAGTGATGGATCTCATTTTTTGTTAAGAATATACTTCTATGACAGAGTATTAACAAGATAGTTATATGATAAAGTATTAACAAGATAGTTATGTGACAGAGTATTAACAATGTATTTATATGACATGGTAATATTAACAAGATAGTTCTATGACGTAGTAGTATTAACAAGATAGTTCTATGACATAGTATTAATAATGTACTTCTATGAAGAGCCCCTGCATGGTTTTCACAATTTTTTTTTAAAAAAAATTGTTTGGGTTTATTTATTTATAAAATCTAGGTTTTCGGTTTTTTTTTTTTTTTTTTTTTTTTTTTTTTTGTTTTGGTTTTTTTTCTTAAGTTTAATCAAGTGGCAATCATGTAATTATAATAAGAACTTCAACACCAATTTCTTATGTAGTAAATTGGTTTTCGGTGTGTTTCTAAAGTGCATTCCATGTGGGGTTTTAAAAAAATAATAATAATTTCAGCCCATATTTTGGATATAACAGTCCCTTTAATTTTTCATAGTTTAATTGTTTATTATTGATTTTGGGACGATTTACACAGAGTATATAAAATTACTCAACAAAACCCTTGTTTTATTTCATTTTGTTTTTCCTCACAAGGATAAACAAACAGTAAGGAAAATTCCCCAATAAGTATTTTTTGTTAAGGATAAACAAACTGTAAAGCATCCTGGATAAAGTCATACCATAGTGCACATGTGCATTAAATAAATTACAAGAAGGAAACATCTATGGAGAATCTTTCTAAACAGAAGACACAGGAAAAGTGAAATGCGCATAAGAAAGAAGCACATTCTGATCAGGTAGCCAAAGGATCAAGACCAAGCAATTCACCACATGTCATCATATGTATCGGCTTCGACAAATGGAGCATCTGAGTTGAGAGGAAATGAGAAACTTGTTTCATTGTTGGACGAGATTTCGGGTTGGAATCCAAGCATGAAAATGCTATCTTCACAAGAGAGACCACTTCGCTTGCAACTTGATGCGTTGGAGGGGAAATGCGTTGGTCCAAAACATCCACAATTGTTATTTGATGGGCTGGTAATGTAGATGATGATGAGGAGGAGGAGGATGAAGAGACTGATGAGAAAGATGAGAAAAGATGTCCGGGATGCTTTCCCATAATTATTTCCAATGTGACCACACCAAAGCTATAAACATCGCACGTCTCATTCACTTTCATTGTGTAAGCAAGCTCTGCTCAGAGAAAACCTCAGAGAAGTGGCATTATTAGTTTATAGACATAACTATGCAATGCAATTTTGACGAAACTGTATCATGCATAAATCGACTTATTAGTTTATAGCTTAAGATAAGTGAAAATATGTTTATTAGTATATTTTCTAAATCAAAGAAGTGAAAATGTGTTCATGTTAACCGCTCCTAATGATGAAAATGAAGCATTGGTCTAAAAGCAAAAGCTTAAAAAGTGCGAAATACAGAGAACAGGGAATCATAATATTACCTGGTGCCATGTAGCCATATGTGCCTGCAACGGCAGTCCAATTAGTTGAGTCTGGATTTAAAAACTTAGCAGTGCCAAAGTCTGAAACACATGCCTCATATTCAAAATCCAACAAAATGTTCTTGCTTGAGATGTCACGATGTACAATCGGTGGCAAGCAATCGTGGTGCATGTAAGACAAGGCATCAGCTACACATTTAACAATATTCACCCTTTTACTCCACCCCAACTCTTTAGCTTCTTCATCTTTGCCAAACATTGTGGCTAAGCTACCTCTTTCAAGATAGTCATACACCAAAAACGAGTGTCTTTTATGTGCGCAGAAACCATAGAGCTTCACAATATTTCGATGTCTTATCTCACTAAGTGCCCTTACTTCATTCAAGAACTCCTTCTGAAATTCTGTCGTGCCATCCCATAGCAGATGAAGTTTCTTCACAGCCACTACATCTCCAGATGACAAATTCACTCTGTAGATGCTTCCATGTCCTCCCTTTCCAATACAATATGTGGAATCAAAATCTTCTGTTGCCCTTATGATTTCCTCATACATTGATTTTCCATCAAAATTTAAAACCGAAAAGGAAATTTCTCCATGCATGTGGTTTTGTTTAGTATCTTGATGCTTCTTCTTTCTTTGCACCATTACAAAGACAATTGTAAAGAAAGCAGATACAAGTACAAATACTGCTAGAAGAGAGAATATTAACCTGTGGTCTTTTTTAGAGGCATGTGCATTGCAGGGTGGTAGCAGAGCTCCAACTTTACCACACAATCCTTTGTTCCCTTTCAATTCTTCTAGCAGAGCTTCTCGAAATGCATTGATGTTAGGAAGGGGACCTTCCAAGTGATTGTAGGATATGTCAACGTGCAACAAGCCGCGCATCTCTTCGAAACTTGATGGTATGGAACCCGAAAGATTGTTGTGAGAAAGATCAAGTGTCACCAAACTCTGCATACTGCCTATTTCTGATGGTATCTTACCTTCAAGTGAGTTATGACTTAAATCCAGGTAATTCAATTGAACTAACTTCCCCAACTGAAGTGGAATTGCTTGAGATAACTTGTTGTTGCTCAAATTCAGATGGTATAATTTGAGCAAGTCACCTAGAATGCTGGGAATTGAGTCATTGAATTTATTTGTTGACAAGTCAAGATAATCAAGGTTAGTCAATGATCCGAATTCAGAGGGTATACGACCCAAAAGTTGATTTCCATTCAACATCAACCTCTCCAAAGAAGTCAGTCTCCAGAATCCCATTGGAATCAATCCAACTAAATGATTCGAAGAGAGATCTAGCTCTTGAATTTGGGTTGCATTGCCTATGTCAGGTGGGATGCTCCCACTAAGGTTGTTTCCCGCAAGTCGTAGGGTTGTCAACTTTGGGCATTTTTGCCAATTGTGTGAGATTTCTCCATACAAGTTGTTATGGCTTACATCTATAAAATGAAGATTCGGATAAACGCCAAAGTCTTCAGATACGTTTCCTGTCAATTGGTTCTGTTCAAGATGGAGTCTGAATAAGCTCGTGCAGTTTTTCAAGCTTTTGGGGATTGGACCAGTCAAATAGTTTCTGGCTACTGAAACGTTTGCGAGTTTTCCACCTTGGCAAATATTTTTGGGCAAATAACCAGAAAATTGGTTTCCATACAACTGCAGTTCAGTCAAATTCTTGAGATTCTCTATCTCCTTGGGAATCAAACCAGAAAGTTGATTGGAATGCAAGTACAAAGTGTTTAGGTTTATTAAGTTCCCAATATTTGGAGGGATGAGACCACTTAAACTGTTGTTGGACAAGCCTAGATCTACAAGAGATTTCAAGTTCCCTATCTCCTTGGGAATCAAACCAGAAAGTTGATTGTTATTCAAGTACAAAGTGTTTAGGTTTATTAAGTTCCCTATCTCCTTGGGAATCAAACCAGAAAGTTGATTGTTATTCAAGTACAAAGTGTTTAGGTTTATTAAGTTCCCAATATTTGGAGGGATGAGACCACTTAAACTGTTGGAGGACAACTCTAGATCTACAAGAGATTTCAAGTTCCCTATCTCCTTGGGAATCAAACCAGAAAGTTGATTGGAATACAAGTACAAAGTGTTTAGGTTTATTAAGTTCCCAATATTTGGAGGGATGAGACCACTTAAACTGTTGGAGGACAAGTCTAGATCTACAAGAGATTTCAAGTTCCCTATCTCCTTGGGAATCAAACCAGAAAGTTGATTGGAATACAAGTACAAAGTGTTTAGGTTTATTAAGTTCCCAATATTTGGAGGGATGAGACCACTTAAACTGTTGTTGGACAAGCCTAGATCTACAAGAGATTTCAAGTTCCCTATCTCCTTGGGAATCAAACCAGAAAGTTGATTGGAATACAAGTACAAAGTGTTTAGGTTTATTAAGTTCCCAATATTTGGAGGGATGAGACCACTTAAACTGTTGGAGGACAACTCTAGATCTACAAGAGATTTCAAGTTCCCTATCTCCTTGGGAATCAAACCAGAAAGTTGATTGGAATACAAGTACAAAGTGTTTAGGTTTATTAAGTTCCCAATATTTGGAGGGATGAGACCACTTAAACTGTTGGAGGACAACTCTAGATCTACAAGAGATTTCAAGTTCCCTATCTCCTTGGGAATCAAACCAGAAAGTGTATTATCATAGAGATAGAGATGGGTAAGGCTTGTTAGATTGCCTAGTGATCTTGGAATTGAACCATGGAGTTGATTCTCTCCCAAATATAGCCCCACAAGAGATTTCAGGTTGCCTATCTCATTGGGAATTTCCCCCAACAAAGTATTTTCAGAGAGATCAAGATGTGTAAGATTTCTCAAGAGACTGATTTCTGGTGGAATTCTCCCAGACCACTGATTTATAGAGAGATTGAGATAGTGGAGTTTGGAGAGGTAGCTGATTTGAGGTGGTATGGCATCAAATAGTTTGTTGAAGCTGAGGTCAAGATATTCAAGATTAGGGAAGGACAAGAATGAAAACTCATGTAGCGTACCTTGAATACCACAAGTGGAAAGGTTTATCGTGATGACACTTCCAGCCGAGTTGCATGAAACACCAGTCCAAGTGCATGGGCTTGTTCTTGGTTTTGGATTGGTGTTGGAAGAATTGGTGGCATTAATATTATGAGTGGAAGGGTACCAGGTGAGATGATTGAGGGCTTTATTTGGAAATAAGCTGGCTTTCCATTTGAGAAGAGCCTTTGCTTCAGTAGAAGTAGCAGAAGGAAAAGCAACCCAATTTGGTGATGAAACAAACAAGAAGATGACAAGGCAATAAGGGAGGAAGCATAGTTTAGTGGAAGTTAAAGATGTCATGGTTATTGTTTGTGTGGTATACGTATATTGTATGGGCCGTGCCTTAATAGTTATATATAGTGTGGTTAGTCTTTGGAGTTCAGTTGAGCTTTGAAAAGTCTTTCGGATCTCATCTATAATAAGTTTTCTTTTGAGTAAAGGTCTCAATCTTTCATTCTCTAAATTTAAATGCCAATTTTGAATTTTCTAGATGAAATAATGAAATGAAATTGATGGAGGTGATAGATAACCATATGCAGGACATAGGGGTTTAGATGTGTCCCACCCACGTGAATGCCATTGTTAGAATTGTAATAAAGTCTTTGTCTCAGTGGTTGTTGTTACAATGGCTGGAGTCAAAGTCTTTGTCTCAGTGGTTGTTGTTACAATGGCTATTCTTAGTTGCCTTAGGCGACTCAGAAATCAAACTCACGTGCCTTTCACGTGGCTTTTACCCTTTAGCAGCATTAATGGTCCATTTTCAACTTCTTCTTTTTTCCCTCTTTAATCTCTCATCTATACATTGTAGAGTCGTTTATTGATTTGATTTACTGTACATGGGAATAGGAATGCGTAATTCATGGTTTGTTTTGTCGTTTATTGGATAAATTCATTTGATTATTGTGCTCCTCCGATGCCTCTACCGATAATTTAATCAACTTCATTTGATTATTCTGCTATTTCGTGAGATTTTTTTTTATTATAAAAAAAACTGGTTATTTGGGATGTTAAAAAACAAGAGGCTAAATTTTTGAAATTCCCCTTAAGAAGAGGTTATTTGGGGTGCTATTTCGTCAAATTTTGCCCAATGTTTTTTTATTTGAGAAAATTTAGGATACAAACATTTTTTTAAAGTCAATTACATTCCAACTATTTTACAGTTAAAAGATACCATGTGGGCACTATGAGGGCAAATTGTTCAATTTGTATCTTATAAATAATTAAAAACTGAAAAATAAAATAACATAAAACATATACACAAAAAATAAAATAATTATAATAAAAATAGAGAAAACACTTTCTTTGTTGTTCGGAATACTGTTTCTCACTATGTTTTACATTTTTGTGAGCTCGGACCACCGAACTATCTAGCTCTGACAAATCAAACAGAGAGAAAAATAACCTTTTTTTTTGGTGTGTGTGGGTATATTCGAGTAATATTATGCATAGATCTAGTGTTAACATGGCTTGGAATGTTTTCAAGTTCTGCTCAGTCATTTTAAAATGACGAAAGTTTATATCTTTTATTTTCAAAATAAAATATTTATGGAGCAAAATGAAAATGAGGTACAACTTCGGAGGGATTTCAATAGCTGGGGTTGAGGTTGTTGCTCTATCTGTAGTGTTTTTGTTTATTTTATTTTTATAGATTTGTTCATTATATATATTTTTTTTCTAATTTGGATTGTTGGGTCTCAATAAAATTTCTCTAGCAAGAAAATATTAGAATCCTGACACATTGAAAAATAGGAAAGAAGCATACATATCTTCAGTCAAAGTCTTTGTCTATTATCTATAATGTTAAAATTGGAAAGTTTGCAGTTGTTGCTGAACTTTAGTGAACTGAGGTTGATACTTGAATGTCGTTTTCTCCTTCCTATTATTACGACCCATGAGTCAAGATAGTGGCCGCACTTGAAACCTATTATATTCATTGTCTTTATCACTTGACTTGGCTGCTACTGAGAGTTTGAGAGGCCTTAAAATGAGCGTGCACATCGGTTTTAACTAAGAATTGACAAGATAACTTATTAAAGGAGCCATTCAACTCAATGCACATGATTGGAAAACTAATTCGATTATGTTTGTTTTTTAATATGCACAACTTTCTCATAGACTTTTCTCTGATCAATGGTTCCTCAACTTTGATGTTTTTAGGAGAAAAATATATTGGAATTACTTAAATGAAATTGATGGAAAGTGAGAGGTTACTATTTGCGTGACGTAGGGGTTCAGAAGTGTCCCATTTGAATGCTTGACACAATGTCACATGGTATATCATAGTAACAAGCTTCAACAAATGCAGCCTCTCCGAATAGAAAGATACTGAGAAGGGTTTTTGTCATGAATGGTACTTGAATTTTATAACATATTTTACTCACTAAAATTGTACCATATTAATTTTTTTTAAAATTTGGTTTGTGACATTCATGCCAATGTAGTATCGTCACAACAAGAGAGAAGACTTCCCCTGCTTTTTGATGCCAAAGCTAGCTATCCATATGTTACTGCAATGGCGACCCAATTAGGTGAGTCCAGGTTCCAAAGACTGAAACACATGCCTCATATATAATCCAACAAAATGATCTTGCTTGTTATGTTCCCAATGTACAATTTATTTCAATTCCCTATTCCATTTGCTTGGCTGGTCATCTTCAATTCCAAAGCTGATCACGAGCCTTCCACTGAAAAGCACAACCTATCGCAAATGTTGATTAATTGTCCTCTAAGTTATGATTTTAGTGTATTTTGAGTGTACATTCATTTGCCCATTGTTTTTTTATTTGAGAAAATTCAGGATACAAACATTTTTTTTTAAAGTCAATCTTCCCCTAGTGCTATGAGGGCAAATTGTTAAAAACTGAAAAATAAAATAGCATAAAACATGTACACAAAAAATAAAATAATTATAACAAAAATAGAGAAAATACTTTCTTTGTTGTTTGGAATACTGTTTCTCACTATGTTTTACCTTTTTGTGAGCTCGGACCACCGAACTCCCTAGCTCTGACAAATCAAACAGAGAGAAAAATAACATTTTTTTGTGTGTGGGTATATTCGAGTAATATTATGCATAGATCTGGTGTTAACATGGCTTGGAATGTTTTCAAGTTCTGCTCAGTCATTTTAAAATGACGAAAGTTTATATCTTTTACTTTCAAAATAAAATATTTATGGAGCAAAATGAAAATTAGGTACAACTTCGGAGGGATTTCAATAGCTGGGGTTGAGGTTGTTGCTCTATCTGTAGTGTTTTTATTTATTTTTTATTTTTTTTATTTATAGCTTTGTACATTTTTATTTTTTCTTATTTGGATTGTTGGGTCTCAATAAAGTTTCTTTAACAAGAAAATATTAGAACCTGACACATTGAAAAATAGGAAAGAAGCATATATATCTTCAGTCAAAGTCTTTGTATGTTATCTGTAGTGTTAAAATTGGAAAGTTTGCATGTTTTCGCTGAACTTTTATTCTTCCTATTATTACAACCCATGAGTCAAGAACACGATTTCTATCATATATTTATAGATGTTTTAAAACCATGTAAATAATCAAGTTCACCCAACAATAATTTTTTTTTAAACACATTTAAATTCAAGTTTAATCCTATTAATAAAATTTCATATAGAGGGCTGTTCAAGACGACGTAATTGAGGTTAAATTTGTTTTCTACAATTTTATTTATCATAAATAATTAAGACATTAATGTGTAAAACATGTTTGTTGGTTGAACTTGGATATTTGCATGGTTTAAATAGAAACCTATAATATTCGTTGTCTTTATCACTTGATTTGGCTGCTACTGAGAGTTTGAGAGGCCTTAAAATGAGCATGTTCAACGATTTTAGCTAAGAATTGACAAAATAACTTATTAAAGGAGCCATTCAACTCAATGCACATGACTTAGAAAACTAATTTGATTATGTTTGTTTTTAGTATGCACAGCTTTCTCATAGACTTTTCTTTGATCAAGGATTCCTCGACTTTGATGTTTTTGGGAGAAAAATATGTTGGAATTACTGAAATGAAATTGATGGAAAGTGAGAGGTACTATTTGCGTGATATAGGGGTTTAGAAGTGTCCCACCTGTATGCTTGCCACTGCACTATGTCACATGGTATAACATGAAAGCCTGTTCCTTGTGCTCTTGATTAAGTTGTGTGCAGACTGTAGAGCCAAGTTTAAACTTGATTCCTACTATATCCATACAAAATACCATATCCATAGCATTAAACTATAATTAGAAATAGATGAGCTACATATGATTGGTCGTAAACGCTGCCCATTCGATCCGAATTTCATCAATTTGTTCGTGTATGAGTTACTCTGCCTTCTTGTACTGCAAAACCAAGATTTAAAAAAATAAGTTTTAGTAAGAGATTATAGAACAGTAGACCAATTCTCTGCCCCTATACATTAAAGAACAGTAGACCAAGTTAAGAACCTGAGTTTCCATGTTGCTAGCACAAAACTTGCTTCAGAATTGATACCCTTTTTCGTCTTCTCCTTCATTTTAATCTCCTCTTCACGTCCAAAGTCATGCATCAAAATGCGTCAGAGAAAAGAAACCATTAGCTGAATATTTTTAACACCCACTGCATCTAATCTTCTTTATAAAAAAATAAAAAAAAATAAAAAAACCATGGAACAGGACTGTGAACTATTAAGTTTCTGGAACTAAAATGCTCACCTTGTCCAAGAGCAGAATCTATGGCAAAAAAATAACACCCTAATATACAGTCTAGAAGATCTTCTTTCAACAACTTCTGCATATTTTACTGGACTAAATTTTTTTAATTATTGGTGGGAAATTTAAATTATAAAGATTCAAGCCAATCTCCAAATTCTTTATTGACCAAAACATCTGCTAACTTGAAAATACAAAAAGTGACACTTAAAACCAAACAAACCATTCGGGTTAGATTGGGAAAGCAAACAAGTCAGCAACTTTTAGCATATGCATGTGCAAGATTCAAGCCAATCTACAAATTACATAAAGTTGAGCACATAAAAAAGCAAACACCCCATGAGATCCTAAAAGGCCGCTTAACACACATGACCTTTTCACTGAATATTCACCATTTATTCAAAGAAGATAGAGAGAGAGAGAGAACCTGCAAGTGCAATTTGCAAAGAAGATTGTACAGAATTTGCAAATGAAACCTCACCTTGCAAGTAAAAAAGGCATAGAAGGGCAGACCTCAACCAATAGCCAAACAACAAACATCTCTTGAAGGGATTAACATAAATGTTCAAGCCCAAACACAAACACAAAGAAATTAGAAGACTAAAATTCATGAAACCTAAACAACTGCTTGTTGGAATATTGATTTAAACTAAGCACTCAAATGAACAAGCACAAAATAAATATTGAAGGGAAACTAAGAAACAAAAAACAGAGGAGGGAGAGGTAGTTCTCGGCTATTCATCCTCCTCAAATCTCTCTTTTATTCTATTCTCCTGTTTCCTCCTCTCTCTTACATTACATTTCTAGAAAGGTACTGAGAAGGGTTTTTGTCACGAATGGTCCTTGAAATTTTCAAAAGTCCTCATTTGAATTCTTAAACTTTCCAATCAATCAATGTGATCCTTAAATCTCTGTTTGGATGAAGAAATTCAAACCCTGAAAAACAAAGGAAAAAACAATTGCATATGTTGCTCAACAAGGATGTGTACTCTCCTTGACGAAATCTAAATGTGACCCTGACGAAACAAGGATACGTGACCAATTTTAACAAAGTTTTGTTGGAATGCAACAACAAAGACCGAATTGATGTAAGACTAAAATATAAGGGACCTATTGATTGATTTGAACGTTTGAGGACTAAAATAAGAACTTCTAAAACAGAGTACCTATAATAAAAACCAGAAACTTTTGTTTCATTGTTTGACAAGATTGTGAATTGACATCGATGACAACTTATTATCGTCAAAACAAGAGAGAAGACTTCCCCTGCTTCTTAATGCCAAAGCTAGCTATCCATATGTTACCGCAATGGCGACCCAATTAGTTGAGTCCAGAGGTTCCAGAGACTGAAACACATGCCTCATATAGAATCCAGCAAAATGTTCTTGCTTGATATGTTCCCACTGTACAATTTATTCCAACTCCCTATTCCATTTGTTTGGCTGGTCATCTTCAAGTCCAAAGCTGATCACGAGCCTTCCACCAAAAAGCACAACCTATCGCAAATGTTGATCAATTGTCCTATAAGTTATGATTTTGTTGTATTTTGAGTGTACGTTCACTATTTTATTTTTTTGTTGAGGAATCACTATTCTTTACATTAAAACAGAGCACTGCGAGTGAAGTTTTAACTGAATGCTTGAATTCTCTAAAGCTCTCATGAATACCAGGAATTGCTCAGGGCCAAAACGAGCACAACCAATCGAACCAGATATATTTAGAAGGGTATTGTGTGAGTGCTATTGTCTGGGTTTACACAAACGACTGAACAGTTCAAGACATCACGTTCACTTATTAGCCAAGTAAATCCGATAGTATTCCACTATGGAAGGTTCAAGGCCAAAAGCTACCTATCCAAATGCAATATTCTTCTAATAGGGACTCTCTCTAGTGTCTTCATTTTTTATTTGCATATTGTTGAGTCAATTTCCATTCATGTGGAGGATTGTTGGAAATTTAATATTAACTAATATTAATTTTCCTATTTGAATGGAAATTAATAAAATCCATTGGGTTAAAGACATGACCCTTTGGTTAAAGACATCTTCACATGGGGGGTGACAACTCTTCAAACCAAGGGATGCATTGTTTGGAGTGACAACTCTTCAGACGAAGGGATGCATTGTTTGCCTTTTCAGATTTGGATACCTTTTGGAAAAGGTATTTCATCATCTATAAATAGAGCAATTCTCCTGCAGTTTTATTCATTCAGTTTAAATCTCTACATATAGACTTTCATATATAGAGAGCATTAGAGTTTTCATAAAGAGAGGTTCCTGCATAATTTGGTTCAAAGTTCCTTGTGTTGTGAATTGCAGTGCTTCTTTCACAAGGAGGGAAGTCGTTGTATCCTAGGAGACGAACGCTAGTGAACCATAAGCACTAGTGTGGGGCGTAATTCTTCTTAAGGTCAGAGTGTCCAACATTTGCCTCGACTCAATTAAGGTTCTTCTAATTCAATTCTCCTTTTGTAAAAATCTGTTTTGTGTGCAGTATTTATTTTGTTTATTTTATAGCAATTTAGCACTCATATTTCCAACCATTTTGATGTTGGTCCTTTGTGAAGCGAAACTATTTTACCCAATCTTCTCGTTGCTGAACATACTATGTTGACAGGAGTGCTTGCAAGTAGAGATGGGGAAGACCTTCTATGACTTTCACTACAATACAAGGAGTGTCAAGTCTACAATTGTCCATTTCCAGGTAGAGATTTTGTGCTTTCTTCTATATACTATTTGAAATGTTTTCAAAGAAAATTGGTTTGTGACTTTATTTGAAGCATAGGAATATTTTGATGTTGAGTTCATATAAACCTTCACTTCCCTGTTTTTATTTTTTCAAAACTTCATCTATGTGTAATGGTGCAATGTTTGCATATTTTTCATCTTCATATTCATTCAGCAATCATTTGGATACATCAAGTTCTTAGAACTACTATTGATATTCATATTTGCATGCATTCATTCGATTATTCAAGGGCATTGCTCATCATAATATCCTAGCTATTTTTGTCACTTATTGAACGCATGCTGTGTGTATTAAACCCGTGTTGAGAGACTTGTTTCATTGTTTGACGAGATTGTGGATTGACATTATTTATGCCAACGTACTATCGTCACAACAAGAGAGAAGACTTCCCAAATTTCATTTTCCATATCACTTTGATTTTGGACTATCAAGAAAAAAAGAAGAAATAAAAAGGAATTGCGTCATTCATTTTGCATAATCAAGCAAAAAAGAAGTTTTAAAAAAAAACTAAACTAAACTAAACTTGAATCAAGTTTAAAAGTATTTAAAAAAAGAAGAAAAGAAACTTAAACTGATGCCACTTGAACTTTGTGTCGTGTCTCAATGTGTCCCTCCAAAGAAAATGTTGAATTTTCACTTTATCTGTCCTCAAATTTATGATTTTGTTGTATTTTGAGTGTACGTTCACTATATGTATATATTTTTTGTTGAGGAATCACTATTTTGTACACTAGCCCATTGGCACACGCTCACGCATGTTCCAATTGGTTTTATTTTTTATTTTTATTTTATTTTTAGTATTAAGAAAAGATAACATGGGTAGTTATGTTCCATAAAAGTAGGACTTCTTATCATATTTTATTTTTATTTTCAATTTTTTTAATATAAAAAATGTGAATTTACCATATTATTCTCATTTAATTAATAATTTCAATTCTTAATGTTTGAATTAACCAATGGCATTTTTTGGTATATTTCACAATTCTCTGTCTTTTGCTTTATATATACTAGCCTCTCTGCACGCGCTTCCGCGCATGCGAGAGACTTTTTTTTTTTTTTTTTTTTTTTTATTTTTTATTTATTTAAAAAAAAAAAGGGTATTTGTGTTCCATAAAAATAGGATTCATTATCTGATTTTTCTTTTAATTTTAATTTTTTTAATATGAAAAAGTGTGAATTTACCATATTATCCTCATTTAATTAATAACTTTAATTCTTAATATTTGGATTAACCATGGACATTTTATGGTATTTTGAATGTTTCACCATTCTCTGCCTTTTGCTTTATATATATAGATAAATTAAAAAAAAGAGCACTAGGAGTGAAGTTTTAACGGAATATGCTTGATAGGGTTGGGCTAATAGCACGAAAAATATACATAATCTTTTAGGTGGCAAATTGATACATACATACATTACGAAAAATATTTCTAAATACTAATAACCCAAAAGACAGAAGTGGGCATGAAATAGATTACAATAATCCAAACATCTAAGAAGAATTAGAATAAGGCGGACTCCAATGAAAAGCAGCACATGTCCTGATCAGGCAGTGAAACCACCAAGAGCAAGCAATTCACCACATGTTGTCATATGTAATGGCTTTGACAAAGGCAACCTATGAGTTGATGACAGGAGCTGAGAAACTTTCTTCATTGTTGGACGACACTGCAAACTGGGATTCAAGGATGCAAATGCAATCTTCACCAGAGAGACCACCTACCCTGCTTCTTGTTTCGTGGGTGGGGAGATGCGTTGGTCCAGAACTTCCGAAATTGGCATTTCAAGGGCAAGTTACTAAACTCACACACACTACATGGATATTAAGACTTGAACCCAGGACCTTATCCGAGGGAGCAATTGCTCCAAACCACTAAAGTTGTGTGGGAGATTAGGTTGTAAATTTAGGTTTCTTTTGGAAAATAAATAATATTTAATACCAAAGACAAGTACCAAAATGAGGTTGTAGAATTGTATGTCGTTTAGGACTTAACATTTTGATAAACGAATGTATTTCGTTTTCCGAAAGAAAATGAAATCCTTTTACGATTTTGATTAAACCAGGATAGAATTTGGAAGACCGCCTTATTAGTATGTATGTGTGTGTGTATATATATATATATATATATATATATATATATATATGGGGGCGGATCCGTGGCACCATATTTTTGACACCTTCTCCTCTGACTCTGCTTCCTCTCTCTCTCTCTCTCTCTCTGGTGAGAGTGTTAAGCTTTGATCCATTCATGCTGATATTACTCTATTTATGAATTGTTAAAGAGCAACAAATGGTAGCTAAAAAAGAATATGTAGAATAAAAAAGTTTTGTGTTTCGGATAGTGTGAACGTCATGACTGTCATCCTTGAGAAGATAGACTAGGCAAATAAGTACAATGAACTCATTAAACTTGATACCCATGTCCTCATTAATATCACATGCCTCAAAGAGATCACTGATTTCCTCATCTGTAAAAGAGACTTCCAGTTTATAAAAATATTTTTTCATCTCTTCTTGATCAATTGCGCCATTTGAATCCTCAACTGTCAAGAAAAGAAAAAGAACAAACCTTAGCAGTTACCAATTACGTGGACAAGCAAAACAGAAGCAGAAAAAAGCATATTCTTTGGTTGAATATGTTAATGGAAGAAATATGCTTAACCTAGACTGTTCAAATCTAGGCAAAGCAAAATTGGTAGAGTGCCTTTATTATCAATTCTCTTTAGAAGAAAGAGAGAGAAGGAAAATTAAAGATAATTAATGAGATGAGAGAGAATGAATTTTTAATTAATATATTATCAGAATTTTAATCCCAATGTATAAATATTAACTAAAGGAAAAAAAATATTGTTTTGCCATGTCAGGTTTAATCTCAGCCATTAAAAGTTGAGTAATCTAATGGCCCAAAAATTGTGTCAAAATTTATGTCAAAAATATGGTGCCACGGATCCGCCCCTATATATATATATGCTTCACCCTCGTCAGGTTTTGTTTCACCAACAAATCCCTCACAACACTTATCTCTTGTGTTGCACGCAACGCAATGGCTTCCAACTTTGCATTCTGTTATCTTCTTCTACTTCTCTCTTCAACTCTCTTCATAACCATTCGAGCCGCCCGACCCTACGAACAACCAAACCTACCCAAACCATCAGGAGGAATCAGCGTTGATTTGGTATCAAGCGTGCTCTCTGACAAAGGGTATCACGCCATGTCACTAACCCTAGAAGCCGTTCTTGAGGCTTTGACGCCAACCCATTTCATAAACCACAACACCACTCTTACCCTCTTTTGCCCTCAAGACCAAGCTTTCTTGAACTCCAAGTATCCTCGGCCTCCATTGACACTCCTCAAGTACCATGTTGTGCCATTCAAGATCGACAAAGATACCATGGAGGCAACTTTTCATCATGGTTCCATGGTTGACACTCTTCTGCCTGGTCATCCTCTCGTTGTTACTTCCGCACCTGGCACCGGCAGATACGCTTCTCTTAACCTAGTAAAAGTCACTGAATGGGATCTTTACAATAATGGACGACTGATTATTCATGGGGTTGAAGACTTCTTCGACCCGGCTTTCCAAATACTGAGATATCCAATATACGACGTGATTAACATTCAAGAAAATCCTCGAGAAGGATTTTCTATGCTGAAAGATGCACTAGAGATTATTAGCTTGTTTATCTTGCTAGCACTGGTGGCTGCTTTCACTTATGTACTAATTCGTTCATTTATTTTTCCTCAGAAGCCAAGGGATGGAGAATATGCACTTTTGTATTAAGGTTCTTGTTGTTTGAGTTTTATTTGTCCCTTGGTTTCTTCTTATAATTCCTTATGTGCTGACGGTTGTAAGTCTTATATTATTTCTGAAGTTGAAAATAATCAATAAGTTAATCTTTTGGTAGTCTACTATTGCACCGGAAGTTATGCGTTCAAATTTTCCCCCAATTTCGCCTCCATCATTCTTCACCCAATATCGCTTGTATCATTTGTAATTTTTTTTAGTCCTTTTGCATTAGGCCAAAAATTCACTGTTCTCTTGGGTTACGACAAAATTTGAAACTTTTATCCTCCTCAATCCATTGTTGTTTCGAATCTTATTTTGTGATAACCTACGAACATATGAAACGCTTCAGATCATGGGTATGAATTACAACATAGTCTATGAAAGCTTGGAACATTTTTCTACTTGTATCTTCTTTTTCGAATGCAAAGTGCTACTGTATCTCATGTCCAAATGCCAATAATTTATTTTTTCGCCTTCAGCCTCAACCTGCGAACCAGGGGATGAATTATTTATAGGGCATGCATTCTCTTTCTATGATGTATGCGTGTGTATCGTACAAATTTTAACTTCATATCAATCGATCTTCGAGAAATCTTTCATTTATGTTGAGTAATCGTAAGTTTCATTAGTAAGAAGTATCGAAAATCGAAAAGATCAGGAGTTACAATTAAAACCCATTCTTCACCTATAGATTTGTAGCAGTCTTGCCCAAATGTGAAGCTGCATCTCTATCCATTGGCTAAAACAAATCCGATTTCGAATACATAGAGTAAGAAACAAGCAGAGCATGGGCATCCAAGACACATTTCTTGGCTATCCAAGTTGGAATTATACAGTTCATGTACTCAGCCAAGGTACTACAACTCAGCATCAAGAAAACTGGTTTAGAGCAAAAGCTGGCAACTCATTCTGAAAGTAGATTATCTAGTTCTTGTCTTGACAAACTGGCCTCTTGAAGCCTTCTTCTCCATTTTTTCCCTCTTCTTCCGAGTCTTTTCATCCTCGACACCTCCCTAATTCACACATAAATGATACCAAATTACACACAATTTCAAATATAATATTCTGTCATGCAAATACAGAAGCAAGAGAGAGTACCTCTGAGCCTTGCGACATAAATCCTTTAATGAAACCCCATGATTTGTATACTCCAAAACCTGGGATCTGGAAACCAACAAAGGAAAGTGTAAAACCACCTATTTCTGTCCTCTTACAGAAGTTATTTGAAAATTTTCCAAGGAAAAAAGAAAAAGAAAAAAAAGACCTTATCTTATAGCCATATTTGTCTGGTATCTCTAATCCTTAAATGTTATTATACATAAATCGAGTAGTCAAATTATGAGAATCTTTTAGTGACACCTTCTAAACCCCATCAGATGAATTTCCTACAACAATACAGTTGCCAAAGACAAACTTTTGTGTTACTCATATAACAGCCTACTGCCCCTACCGACAAATGATAAAAATACAGTAAAAAAATACCAGTGTCATTTTAACCTGTCAAGGACCAAGTGACAGTGCTGCATAGGAGACAAGTCCAATTAAACCAAAGCAATTTTTCCTTCTAAGTCAAAGGTAATATAGCGACTACTCTTCCTTATTCATGGCCCTTTTACAAAGAAGATTCTAGGTCACCTGGGGGTAGCCTCCCTTAATAGGTGATGAATGCCCACCTATTTGGAAAATATACAAGCAAGGTTCTATTGCAGGCATGTATGAATGCATGACAACAAGTAAAAACATTAATCACATCTTACCAGCAGATAGGTGTACCAAAATTTTCCAGAGATTATGGACATGACTTGCACGAAGCTTGTGATGTAAATTACATCATGCATATACCTGCAAGACATGACCAACCAAAAGTCCAGATTTTACCATAAATCAAATGTGTTTGTGCATAGGCAAGCATGCTCACGTGCACGTGTATGCATGTGTGTTTGTATTAATACCACAAGAATACATCCTACATTTCTACAGCATTCAAAAGTGCCAGGGATGCTAGATGTCAATAAGTAGCATAGAACAGAGTCGGTTGTTTAAATATAAAATTGTATGGTTTAACTTATTCATTTGTTGCTGTGTTCCCAAAGAAGAGAAACACACTGTACTCCAACTGTTGCCACACTGCAAATCCTATAACTTCTAAATAAAGTCTAACAGCTCTTAATGTTGAATGTAAATAGATTTTTCATTTTTAGTACTTCAAATGAACATAAATTACATAATTGAGTACCATACTTAATTAAGGACCCCAATAGAGCACATACCACATGGGTCAAAAATAGTTACAATGGTATGCCTATAATTCGATAAGCACCCAAAATTCAAACCCTTGGTATTATCCTATCTAAAGCATTGTCTGAAAGGAAATGAACAAGAAATGAAGGTCCTGCAAATAATAAGAAAAATCACTGAAAACAAAGACATACCCACACACTCCACCAGTGGTCATATCAAAGCCACCATCTAGAAGTTCCCCATCATCACCATAAGAAGGAGTTGCCATCTGGGCAAGTTGTTTATAGGGGATGTAATAAGCCAGGGATGTCAGAAGCAAAGCAACCCAATTTTTCCAGGTGAAAGTAGAATGGAAAATGAGCATCCTTAGCAACACATAAATAACCTACATACATTAACATAACATCAACATCACTATACTCAATGGGTTTTGAAATAGAAATTATGATTACCAAATACACTCAGCGACGGAGCACTAATCATACATTACAGGCCACAATCAGGCGACGGAGATTCGCCATGTGCCGGGCGTTCTCTTCCTTACGCTTCTTTGCACCTTGATTTGCCATCTCTCTCTAATCTACTCTCTGTAAGAAAGAATGTAACCGTATCAAAATTGAGAATCCTCCTAGTTAAGAAGAAGAAGAGGAAAGCAGATAAAGTTATGTAATGGACGAATTTGACCCTTAACAGGTTGAGTGAGCAGGTTAATATGTAATCCATTTTGAAAGTAGGGCCCAGGACTTGCCCCAGAAACCCAATAAAAATGGAAACAAAGCAAATACGAGCTCCATGTCATCAGAAGAAATACAACAAAAATCACCAGAGCTGCAAGTACACGGAAATTCCCAATTTCTCAAAAATCCTCAACACAACTAACCTAATTACCAAAATTAAATAATCATCTTCATCATAAATCAATCAAAACAACTGTTAACAGAAAGAACCACAATTGGCAAAGAGCAACTTAAATAATTTTCAAAAATCAACAATTTCAACTCCAAACCCAATTTAATCCTACTTCGACGTATATTTAAATATACGCAATATACACATGTATCTATATAATATGTATTACATAGAAAGCTGTAATTAAAATGACATGGGTACATATAAAACATGAACAGATCTGTTTTTCCAAATTCAAAACAAAAAACCCAATTTAATATTTACTCAAACTAATGGAATTCAACAGGGGAAGCAAAATTAAGCAATTCCTTCTTCCTCTAACCTACTAAAGAACCCAACAATATATTCTTTAGAAAGAAAACTACAATCACAACTAATATCACAAAGAATCAGTAAGGTCACCACATGGTCCAAGCAATATTTAATATCAAGTGCATTTGAGGAAAACATACACTTTTGCATGAGGCCCCCTATATTCACCATCTTTTCATTCGTGTATAACTGAGAGTTGAAAAGACTTGCCGAAAATTAGAAAGCAATGTGCTTGGAGTTTGTACATATATTGACTTTCGTAGTGTTTTGATGTAGGTTTGGTAAAAGCTAATGCACATTTGTCATCTAGCTTACTTAATTCTTATCCACCGTGATAAACCAAACAATACAATTAGAATTTTTTTTTTCCTGATTATTCATACAATTATACAGGATACTGATGCCTTCTCATTTACTACATTGCAAATTACTTAATATCTAAAAATTCAACCTATACGATAAACAGACTTAAGAAAATCAAGATTATCTAATTTTTCCCTTTTTCAATCATTCAAAGTTACAAATGGAACAAACAAAAAAATTTAAGACAAATATGAACATTTCACTACTCCCAACTATTTTCTCTTGTACTTGAGGAATTTTTCACGGGATATCCCAATTAAATTTAAGAAAAAGCAGACCATGAGAGGACTCAAAAATCACAATAGACGATGGCAAATATCCAGATTCAAGAATTGAAACCCACATTCAAGATTACAGGAACATTGAAAACCAAACATACAAACTCAGATTCAAGATTAAAAAACTCAGAAAATTTAAATAAATAAATAAAGCACTAATTGAATTGCCATAAACAAAAAACTCAAAATTCAACACAGAGGTGATTCAAGCCATAAAAATTGGTAGAAACCCACATAAAAGAGCAACAACAAAAAAATCCCCAACATATAGTCGAATATCCCAAACAACAAAGAAGTATGTTTCGAACAAGTTATGCCATCAAAATACAGAAAAAAAAATTTAATAAAAAACCAACATATCAATCCGCAAAAAATGGAACCCACGATGGTCCAGTAGAGAGAGAGAGAGAGAGAGAGAGAGAGAGAGAACTACCTGAGTTCGGCTGAGAGGGATGGACAATTGATAAGAAGTTAAGCTGATATTTGAGGAAGACTACCAGAGCGAGGACGTCTGGTGGAGACCGTAGAGTAGTTGTGATGGTCGGCTGTTGGAGACTGCGGGTTCTTGTTTTTTAAAAATTTTATTTAGTGAGTGGACAGCTGTCAGAAGAATAAGGAGGGAATATGGAGGGTAAAGAGAAAATGGCCACAGGAGAATTGAACCAGTTACCAATTCATTCTTTTTCAGCCACAGGATTGAAATATTGAAATCCAGCCGTTGATAAAGTGACTGCACCGGTGTAGCCACTGTACCACATAATCGTCTAATCTTTAACCCCTCCTCTCCTCATTCTCACGCTGCATAGCTCCTCTCTGCTCTCAGGTTCTATCCCTATCTCTCTCCCTCTCTCTCTCTCTTTCTCTCAGGCTGATGCTATCAAGCTCTTAAGAATGGCTTCCTCAATTACCTCATCTTTGCAAACCAGGTTAGTTTCAAACCCTACTGGGAATTTCATGTTTGCTTGTACTTTTCTCTTCAATAATTCAAGCATTGTTTCAGTTGTTCTCTTTTTGGGGCTTATGGCATTGAACCCTTTTATTGTTATGGCATATTGGTTGCAATGTGTGGTAATAATTTGCAAAGTTAGAATTTTTTTTTACCATTTGAAGCCTTTTTCAAGCAGCTTGTAATGGCATCATGATGGGTTTTGTGTGAGGAGGGGCATAGTAGGATTTGGTTTTAGGGTTGGCTAAACCATTTCCAGTTAATTTTGTTTATTAAGTATTATTCTTTTCTTAGCAAAAAACACACATTTAGGGGCTAGAGGGACATAGCCAGCTAAAACCTTATTCTCAAATGTAAATGCATATTAATAAAGAAAACACAAGTTGAGAAAAAGAAAGGAAAATTGACGAAAAGATAAGAAACAAATAACCAATGCAAATACAGAGTTAGAGAAATTAGTGTTTAGATTGTGTTCTTATATTTTGAAAGTTTTCATTACTTTCAGTAGCAAGTATTGGAATTTGTTTGCCTGACTTTCAGCATTTTCTGATTTAATGGTAAGTTCACCAATTGGAGTGGAATATTTCTGATTTAGTGAAGATCTCTTTTCCTATCATGTTTCAGCAATTTGCGGTCTGCCTTTTTGGGCGAGAGAAATGGATTCTCTGTTTGTAGTGTTTCTGTAACTCATGTTGGGTTTTTGAAAAAGACTATAGAATGTAAGGAATCCCGAATTGGAAAGCAACCTATTGAAGTGCCATCTAATGTGTCAATCAAATTGGAAGGTCAGGCTTTGGAAGTAAAGGGACCATTGGGGCAACTTTCGATGACTTACCCACGAGAAGTGCTGGTTCAAAAGGAGGATTCTGGGTTTCTAAGGGTCAGAAAGGCATTAGAGACTAGAAGGGCCAATCAAATGCATGGCCTTTTCAGGTAAGTTCCTTCCATCCTTCAGCCATACACTTTGAACAAAAATCAGTCTTCGTTATTCTTCATGGTTTGTTCTTTCAATTATGTTTTCTGGTGATGTCTTAGAGCTCCAAGTATCATGATAATGGATCTTATAAAAGAATAAGTTTAATGAGATCAGGAATTGAAAAGGGTTTGTGGTTAATGGTTATTATGATATTCTGTATTGTGATTGGATGTCTGCTTTCACATGCCATAGGTAGAATGAGTACTTGACCAAGGGGCGAGTGGTTATTTTGCTTTCTTTCTTTTCTGTGAAAAACAAAGAAAAAATAGAAGAGAAAGTTTTCATTGAATTTGCATCTAAAGCAGGCATTAGTATGATCAAGAAACCTCTCTCTCTCTCTCTCTCTCTCTCTCCTCTCTCTCCTCTCTCTCTCTCTCTCTCATGTGCCATGTTGTTATGATGCTTTTATTCCCAAAATATTTTTTATTTTTTATTTTCTGTACAACATGAATGCTGGTGGTTTGGCCATGTAAGAGGAACATGTACAAGTCTCACTTGAGATTTACAGAATCCGGCTGACCCTTAGGATAGTTACAGACACCATGGTGGTTGAGATTTACGAAAAGCTGTTGAGCCTCTTTCAACTGGCCCTTATGTTCCTATTTGAATACTTTTTCTTAGGACACTGACGGACAATATGGTGGTGGGAGTGTCAAAAGGATTTGAGAAGAGGCTGCAATTAGTTGGCGTCGGTTATCGAGCAACCCTAGAAGGGAGGATCTTGGTATTAAGTCTTGGGTTTTCCCATCCAGTTAGGATGGATATTCCTGATGGCATACAGGTGAAGGTGGAAGAGAATACCAGAGTCGTTGTCAGTGGATATGACAAGAGCGCTATTGGCCAGTTTGCTGCGTCGATCAGGAAATGGAGACCCCCAGAACCATACAAAGGCAAGGGTGTGAAATATGCGGATGAAATTATAAGAAGAAAGGAGGGAAAAGCAGGAAAGAAAAAGTGATACCCTTGCGTTGTTTCATATTTGTATTCTCACATTTGTGCTTGTCAAATATGCGTCACAGTTCTCGAATGTACTGACGTACTGTAAGCAATTCATCGTTAGTTTGTGCTTAATTTTTCCAGTATTTTGTTTACTTGGATCCATTCCAGTTCTGTATACTCGCGCACCCAAATTCAAATGAATTACAGAAGAAACTGCCATGGTGAATTCGAATGAAGACAACATGAGGAAATGAAGCAAATAATGACGAACCAACTCGCTTAGAAAAACACAAAGCCCTTAATCTCCGGCCGACACCATCAAATTGAAGTTTAATTATTCGTTATCTGGGAAACCCATTTTTTCAAGCCATTACAAAGTTTGATACTGTTACCCGAAATCTGCCGGCCATTTAGAGATTGGCTATTGAGATTTATGCGATTGCAAGCGTGTCACTATTGGAAGTAAAAACCTCAAACAACTGTGAATTGGGTGGGGAACTGACCAAATATAAGTTCCTTTCCATGCCTCGAGCAAAATGAGGACTTCAATATTTCCCTAGTACAAATAGTAAAAACCAAAGCAAGCCAGAACAAATATAAAGTAAAATAAACAGGAAATATAAGTGAAATGAAAGTAAAGCAGATAATGAATTACAAGATTGGAATGAAGATTTCTCGATTCAAACCAACATAATTTAGATCGGACAGCAAACAATCACAGTACAACAGTGGGAGTTTTGCGTGTTGAAACATAGTTCTTACTAATCAAAATTGAGCTGTAACATCTTGAGTTTGCCATTACAAACCTATATTTTCTACAACCGGAAGCAATTGACTCAGATGACGGAATAGACAAATGGTACAAACAGAATGAAACTACGAGGACGAAAGTAAAAATTTGTGTTAAACAATCGGTCTAAATTAAATGCTCTATTGATCACCAACTGGTCACCGAACACACAGGGATGTTCAGTAGCTAATAACAAAACACACCAATTTTCTGTGTTTTTGCTTATACAGGGGTTTAGAACCTTACTTCCAAATATTAAATTAATCAGCTGGTAAGTGTGCAGTCCTTGTGCACCAAACACGTCACCATTGCAGTGTAAAACATAAACCAAACAAATGAAATTGTTTTGGCTATAGCAATAGGTCACCTGGTGAGTAAAATAATGTCCTCAACTGTCAATTTGCATAAAGGTAAAAGCAAAGAAAGTAAATTCACAAAAACTAATGCCATGCTGTGGTAATACAGTACAACTTCATTGGACAGGAAAACAATGCTCAAATCTAAACAATGGACATAATTTCTTTTAATCCAATAATCCCATTTAACTGGCCACTCAAATTATAAAAACAGAAGCGGCCACAAGATGCATGAATCACATGGGAGAAAGATAGTATACTGATGACTGGACCAGCCGGTCATTCCAGATGTTGCTCATCGAGATTACAAACCTAACTCCATCATATACAAGCGTGACGCGACTCATTCACTCATATGAAGGAGAAAGGCATTCATCAACCATATCCACAAGGCCTGGGTTTTCCAATGCCGCTGCCACCCGTTCTTTATCATTCAGTTGCTTATTAACTGCACACAGGGTAGAAATTAAAAGCATGAAGGTTACACTAAGATTTATGAATTTTTTACTAGGAATACCAATGCTTCAAAACATCAACAACGTTAGTGTACGAGAGAGAGAGAGAGAGAGGAGAGAGAGAGAGAGAGAGAGACCAGCAGCTTCAGTTGCATGAGATCCGGGTGCCACCCTAATATCCACCTGACCACAGGAAAAAAAAGGTTAGAAAATAAGCATTATGTTTCCAGAAAACAGAATCTCTGGATTTTCTTTTGAAAGGCTGAGACTTTAAAATGCCACCAAAAAATAATAAAGAATTTAAAAATCAATTACATGCACCAGAGAGAAGAAACCAAAAAAAATACTGGGAGAGGGGGGCCAATGACCCTTCTAACGGAAAACATCAAGAGAGGGCTAACATGAAGTCAATAAATGGTCATGAATCACAGGTAGCAGACAATACTGACTGACAACTTGAGATGATAGAGCTATTCCAATATTTGGAACAAAAGGTTTGTAAAAGAATCCTCTCTGAATGGCATCGTAAGAGTCTGAGAAAATGATGGACTAGTTCACAATACACGAAAGTTGAAGGAGGCTTAATTAACTACTTGTTTTTTGTCATAATTCACTTTCGATATCAAGTGGTTGTAAAAAATATCTTGAGTGTGCGTTTGTGTGCCTTCATGTCTGATAAGCATATATTCTTAGAGGTGCACATACCCAGAGTAACCTTTGGTGTCCATTTTCAATAATCTCATGATACATCACAAAAAGCACACCTACTACTTGTATGTCGAGAGTGGACAAATCAGAAGATACAGCCATTACAGCAACTAATTACCACTTCTAACACTAATGCTTTTTTAACAGAGCTAGCTCCAAGAGGCCCTTAAAGGCTCATTTTCCCTAGAAAACACCTATACGAATAATGTTTTTAAAAGATCTTCACAAACTTCCGAATGTCTTTAACATTTTATCAAAACAGTAAATAAGATGACTGGACACAAAAACACCCTCAAAAAGCAAGATGCAATGGAATTGTTAATGACTTTCAACAAAATTTGAGAACCTATGCAGTTCTGCCAACTTCTAGGCATTAATTAGAGATACTATACTGGCCTTGAGGTCAATTCACCATATCCAGAGTCTATATCTCCGATATTTTTGCTACCAATTTTATTTATTTGCGCTATAGTACCTAAAAGGTCAGTTAACCAGTCAAGCATCAAAAAAGAAAATAAACAAAATAACAACACAAAAAAGGTTTGTCAATATATTATCCTATTGTAGAGCAGCACATCAGGAGCAACGTTTTCCCTTCTTCCTCACTAATTAATTCACACAAGTTAAGAAATGGTGCATAACTCTTTTACACATATGTTCAAACAGTTGATTTCTTACCAAGTCATACAATAATCTTGTGGCAAAACTTTCCGCCAATGCATTTTAGTGTTTCCCTTTAAGATTAAGACAACTCCAAATGTCATTTTCTTTGATAGTTCAGTTCAGTTTGTTGAAAGCACAGCTGTAGTGCAGAAAACGTATAAAGAGAAACACATGCTTGAGATGAAAATATTGGAAATCCACGGTAGAAAAGAAATGCAAAATATCAAGCAAAGGAAAGTGCTGGAAAATAAAAGACCAATCCCAACTCAGGCATTAAGTGTCCAAAAATGATCTGGAATATTACTCCCCCCATACTAATCACATAGCGCATAATAATATAGCTCTCCAAACAAACCTCTATAGTTTTACCCCAAGTCTCATAAAGTCAACTGACAGCTACCTTCTTCTCTCAACTCAACAGCTTAAAGAACAGTAACACAGTACGGTCAGAATTCAAATAAAAATATTTGACGTAGTCCTTATATGCACTCCCAGTTTCACCTATATTAAACGGCACATCAAGAATATTGTAAAACAAAGTCAATCACAAGAAGATAAGGGTCATACCTTGTAACGAGAAGGCAGGCTCCTCAAGAGTTTAACACGTAAGCAAAGACCAATAACTGTTGCCATACTACAATGTTCCACAGTAGGAGTAAATGTGACTCTGAAGAAAACAATTAGCATTTATTCAACAGGGTTTAAAACGAAACATTAATTAGGAAAAAAACTGTTCAAAATGAGCATACGATTTTTTTTCTACCTGACAGAGCCACGACTATCATCTACGTCAATTGCATCTTCTGTAATTACTTTGAGCTCTTCCAAAGAGTAAGGGTGTTCCGGGTCTTTTATATCTCTGATATGATTTAAGAATTGTTAAGAAAGACTAAATTCGTCTAGGCATACAAGTCAAAATACAAAACTACTTTCAAGCCTAAGTCATAGGTTAAGCTGATGAGAAAGCTTAATATTCATTCATAAAATGCATCAGAACATAACTAGATTCTGCATGTACATATACAGTTACATGCATGCGTGCAACTATACAGAAAGGATATCAAAAATTCTTGTTGGTCAATGGGTTCAACAGCATATTCATCTGCAGCAGCACTTGGGACACTACGAACCCGACGCTCTTTCTTTTCGTAGACGACTGGATTTGCATTTATTAACCCAGATACCATTTTCCCTGGAGAAAACAAATCAATAAAGTAACAAACGTAGAAACAAAAATGAACCAATCTGTGAAAAGCATGGATATGAGACAGCTGAAATTTCAAAGAATAAAAAATTATATAGATCTATCATACAAGCTGCTAGATGATACTTAGTCTATCATAAGATCAGGATCTTACTCAGAATAAATTGTGTCACGATGAAATTTTGTATCTCATCATACGATGCTATTTTCTTACTGTCCTAGAACGGAACCAAGAGCCATACGACCCAGCAAAACAGAGACAATGGGGAAGACATTTAAGTACAATCAATAAGTTCCCCAAACAAAACAACTATCACAAAATCTATATATTCATGAGATTTTTTATAATCACTCAACTAACTGAACTTAATGATCAATTGAAAGAGCTTCAAAATCCAACCCTGTACACCAGCATGACATGCCTCCAGTATCAAACATGGAAAGCACAGAGAGTTTCTGGAAAAAAAAATATAGAGCAACAAGAAATTGATCAAATTTCTTGAACCCAGAAGAATATCAAACATGGAAGCACAGAGCAAGAACGTCACCATATGGAATTAAACTAGAAAACCAGACGAACCAGCAATATTGAACACCTAGAATAAACTTAACAAGGGTTCAACCAGAAAATTAAAAAGAAAAGTTGAGAACTACTAATAGAGAAAACCATCACCGATTAATACTTGTACAGTCAGAAATAAAATGAAACTACAAAGCAATTGAAAATACCAGTAATAAAATGCATTAACATGAGGAAAAGAATGCATAACTTTCTTTCTTCTGCGGGATTTACATACCAGTACTAAAAACCCCAAAAAAAAAGAAGATGGTAAAATTAAATTCGAGAACTATCTGCTGTTTCAAAAGGTGAACGTAGATACAAAAGAGATAGATTACCTGAAAAGGTAGATTCTTCGAAACACTTCAGAGAGCAGAAGAGGAGAGTGACTAACAAAAAGCCTGAGATTTTGTAAGAGGAGAGAGATTGAAAGACAGACTGAAAAGGCGACGCGTGAATGGCGGGGGAAGAAATAGAGAAGAGGGAATCGAGGAGAGGGGCCTGGAGGAAGAGACTGAGGGAGAGAGGTCGGAGCGAAAGAAAGAGAGAAAGGCCGTTGGTGGCTGCGGGTTGAGAGAAGTGGCGCCCACCTTGATGGGACCCTTTACAAATTTACTTAATTAAGAGCAAGTACGATGGTAAATACCCGTCGTTATTCCTGCGACTTCGGAAAAAAAGTAGGTTAATTTTAGTAACCTGAATTTTCATGGCTAAGCACGGGTTCAACTTAGGTTTGAATACCGAACTGGACTGGTTTGGATTGGTTTTAATACACAAAGGAGAGAGAAATTTGGTAAAAGAAGCCAAAATGGACAAAATTGCCCTTATTTATTTTTGGATTTCCTAAGGAATCCTTTACATTTGTATGTCTTTGATTTGAAAGTTGAAAGGTTTTTCTGTCTTTTTTGAAAAAGCTTTGGCTTTTTCCAAAAGTGAAAATTTTTTTTTGGCTAAAACCTAATTTTCCTTTTATTAATTTATTATATATATTTTTTTAAATATATCATCCTTTAGTCAGTCCAACTCTCATAAACCCTAGTAATTAATCCAACTTCAAAGCCAATATCCTTTATATATTAGAGCATATTTAAAGCAGCAGTTATTCTCTCATCTAAATTTCCGCACATTACTATCGTGTGCATGTCATTGTAAACAAGGAGGAAAACATGGAGGAGTAATATAAAATACATGACGTCTACACGGTAATTTCGATTTGGAAAGATAAAAGTATGAATCTGTGAAGAAGAGAGAAGCAAGAAGAAGAGAAAAATACGAAGAAGAGAGGAAAAGGTTGAGGAGATAAAAGAATAGAGAAATAAATGAAGAGATAAAGAGGAAGAGAAATGGAAAGAAATAGGTGGAAAAGAGAGAAAGATTGAAGCGCAACAAGAACAGATATGGTTCACCGAAAAGAAAAAGAAGTTGGGGTAAAGATGTTTCTTTTTATAGAAAATTTGGGATAAGTCCAAAATTGAGAATATAAGTTGGGTTTAATCCTTGCATTTGCTTCAATTGATATAAGTCCTTTGACTTTTCTGCCAAATAGAATTACATTTATTTTTTGAATTTTCTAACACAAATCTATTATTTATTTATTTTTTAAAATTATCTAGTTATTCCTATTATGGCCCTGAAGTATAAATTGTGTAGAAATTAATTTAAAATACAATAATGACGAGATTTTATTATAATTTTAATATAGGGATATACATAGGTTAATAAATCTCATAACCATTGCACGTTTTTCTGTCTTACTTTTTGTCTCCATTTTATTCTTTCTTGTTCTTCTTCCTTCTTCTTTGTTCTCCATCTTCATCTTTTCTTCATCTATTTTTTGCTATGTTAATATACATATTCTTCTTCTTCTTTTTTCTTCATCTATTTTTTGCTATGTTAATGTATCTATCTTCTTCTTCTAGGTACCTAGGTAGAGAATTGGTGCATTCCATATTATACCTATTATATGGGTTAATTTAGGTTGTACTAATACTTTTTTGGTTTTTTTTTTTTTATATCATTTTTCTTTTTTAATCATTTTTTATTTATATGCTTATGGCATTTTGTAGGTACCTAAGTTTACCTTATTGTGTAGGTAAAGTAACATATGTATGTTTTTTCTATGCTCCCGACTTGATGTATAGTAGGTGTTTTAGTTTATGTACATGAGTTTAGGTAACAATTTTTTTTTGTTCATCCTATGGTATATTATATACTCTTGTAGATATATTATTCTATGGTGTAGGTATGTTGTCCTATTGCCTATTTCATAGGTATATATATGTGTTTTTTCTTATTTTTGACAATGTGTAATAGTATTTTATGTACTTTTTTTTATATGTAACATACAATTTTGTATGTCTATTTTTTGTATATGACTTATAGGTAGTCTTCTAAATTATGTTCCTAACTTATAGGTAGTCTTCTAATTTATGTTCATAACTTATAGGTAACACTATTTATCACTACAAGTTTTTCGTTGCTAATAATAACATTATTTACTTGTATGTCAAGGACATAATTTCACGTGGGTGCTTGTCTAATCGATTGGTATAATATGTGGGATACTTTTCATTGATTAAATTGTATTTTATCCATATATTAGGTAAATATTATCAAGGAAAGAATTCAAAATTTAAATTATGAAATTCAAAATCTAAATTATGAAATTCAATTACAAAGAAATAATGCATTAAATTTAGATTTTCAATATGTTTTCCTTATTTACCTCAAAGGGTAAAATCGACACTACAAAAAAAGTAATAAATGTCATCTAAAACCCGAAACATGTGGACTAAACCCAACGACAACTAATAATTTTGGACCTAGATGTAAGAATCCTTTTTTTATTTTTATTTTATTTTTACACAAGCAATAATCTACTTTAAACTAATCTAAACTACGAGAAGGAGATTCGAACTCAGGTGCAGAGTGAGAAGCACATTCCTCTAGCCAACTAGGCTAAATATATTATTTAGTTCGGTATAAATTGGAACTAAGACACATTTGTGTATTAATTGGGCTTAAATATCTTAATATTACTTAGAATTACTAATATGATTTGATTATTAATTAGGCTTATTAATAATTTTGGATGCCAACGTGGTCTAGGGCCTTGACTTGTAGACTAGTGATATCAGGTTTGAACCATCATAGCTCCATTGTAATGTATGTGAGAAACCCTCCTCCCCTTATAGTTTTAGACTATCATATGTATTTAAAAAAAAAGAAAAAAAAAGGGATATCAATAAACTTAATATAACTGATCTCATTCGATTTAGACCATTTTTATAACACAAGAATTGGGACAGAAACTTATCCATAGAAGTTTGGTTCGGCTTTTGAGCCTAGGTTGATTTTTTTGGTCACACTATTTTTTTTTGTTTTTTTTTTTTTTTTTTCGGTTCACCAGTTCAAATATCCACTCTTAATTTGCCTCACAAAATATTATTATATTATCTACTTTAGCTTTTACATTTACTATTATCTTTTATAAAAAGTACGTGAGAGGCATTTCCCATTTACAAGCTCATTTTGCAGTTCGTATTGAGGCTTATCAATTTGATATCTCTCTCTCTCTCTCTCTCTCTCTCTCTATCTCTCTCACACATTGGCTGTTTCTTTCCTTTTCTTAAGAAAGCCAATTGACATAGTGGTATAGATGCAGAAAACCAAGGCCACCAAAATAGTCAACAAAAATCCTAGTTCATTAATTACCAGAAAAATAGTGATATAATCAACCTAGTTCATTAAGTAGATGACAAAATTTATTTTATCTTTATTAATAAATATTAATATGTGTACAAAATACATCAAATAACTGTACTTCTGTAATATTCTATAATCACTTCTTTCAATCCAACATATATCATAGGTTTGACAACGATCTATCCTATGATGCCTATCTGATTGAAGCCCCCATACGGATAAGAGGGCCCCATATTTTTTTATAGCTAAGAATTGTGGCGACCCGGCTACCGTCCGTCATCAGGATTCAGGAGAGCATGGGCTTTCTCAGCGGGCTCCACATCCCCATGCCCATCCTGGTTTTAATTTTTTCTACAAACAAAATCGAATATCTCATATTCTCCTTTTTGTAGCAGAATAAAAATTTCCAAAACAAATCTGAACAAAAAAAAATATTTTCTTTTTCCAAACCAAAACAACTTAGGGATGATGACGATGATAATGACGTTTTTACGTTTGTATTCCGAGTCAAACCAGCACAGAGGCCAAAAGCCAACAACCCAAAAACCTCAAAAGAACTCGGAACTTTCTTTCTCTCTCTCTCTCTCTCTCTCTCTCTCTCCCTCTCTCCTCGGATTTTGTTGGACTTCTGTTTTCGTGTTCTACTAATACATGACAATCTAATTGCCTTTTTAGTTATTTGATAGTTTTGTTGTCGTTCATCTAAAAGCAGAGGACTTCCACTTTTCATCTCCTGGTGAAAAGCTCATCAATTCTGGGCACTGTTTCTTCTTTTAACATTCAGGTGCGTTTTTGTTTTTGTTTTTGTTTATCTGGGTTTTGATTAAATTTTCTTTTTATCGCAATCGGGTATGAAGTGGGCTTCATGCAGATTAAAGACGAGATGTTATGGTGCCTTTTTTAGTTTATAGATAAATTTGACTTTTCCAGTTCAGCTGTTCTTAGTTGTTGGATTTAAATATCATCTTTAAACGACCCATGAATTATTGTTCGTTTTTGTTTTCTATTTCTTTTCAAATTGATTGACTTATTGTCAGGTGTAATTATTATACAAATTTATTTTCTTATCACACTCAAGAATTTATTCTGCTTCACATATGAATTGTTAGATGCTATTGTTTCAGGGTTTGGTGAGGTTTACCTCTTGGAGTATCTAAGCTTACTGAAATTTCTGTCGGAGTTCTGGATTGAAAATGAGAGCAATTGCTCGATCAATTAGCCAATGTAGATTAGCTTTACAGCATCAAGCATGTCAATACTCAAGTGGTTTTGTGAGAAGGCAAAAGCTTTTGACAAACACCTACTCTGGGTTTGTTTATAAACACGCTAACAATGCCGAATTCGATATCTTTCAACGACCCAGGTTTTCTGTGATCTCAAGAGCTCTGTCAGTAGATGCTGCTCATGTTACTAATGGAGGTACTCTTCTATTTTGGGTTGTCTTATATACCTTTTTTTTCATCATTAGTTCATAAAGAAGCATAGTTTCCTCAATTTTTTGTTGGTTTTCGGATTAGTGGCAGATGTAAACAGAGCAGGGCCACTTGTTGAGTATGAACGAAGAATTGCCGCTGGTGAACTTGTTGATGGTGATGCCTGCCAGGTATGACAAACAACTGAGCGAGTGCATGCTTATCAATTTCGTAGAAATAAATGAGGAAAAGATTAAAATGAATACTGTTTGGGAATCTTGGTTTCATTCTAATGCTAAATGACGCAATAACGGTGTATGGAAACCTTGGAATTGAACTTCATGTTTTCACGTACTGTTTGTTACGGGACACGTTATTTAGTGGGAAGTTCACCATTGATTTGGGCTAAAAGATTTAAACTTCAGGTCTTGTTTAGTAAATCCTGTGTTAATTTTGGGGTGGTCCTGTTGAATAGCAGCTCAATAAACTGTATTGAATAAGGCAATCAATATGTCTTACCTATTGGTGTTGCTTTTTCTTTTTCGATCTGACTAATTTTTGCAGGTAGGCACCTTAAGAGAACTTCAAAGGCTCTATGATGAACTTGTCCAGTCAGCTGATGCCTGCCGATTGGATAGGTATACAGCTTCTGCGAAATCTGGAAGGTAATATTTCATAACTTGTTTTTTTTTTCCGCCACTTGTGATCCAATTTTAAATTCTATACTGATACAGCATTTCATTAGCTTTGTGTTGAATTTTGTACTTTCCTACTTTTAGTTTGTTCCATGTTGAAGTAGTAACCAATTGCTCATCCATTTGTATGTATGCAGGAGTAGGTGGTTGTGGTCTCGTTTCATCCCACAGTCTTCAAGCTCACCAGTCAAAGGTCTTTATCTTTATGGAGGGGTGGGCACCGGGAAAACCATGCTGATGGACTTGTTTTATGATCAGCTGTAAGTTTGAAATGCATGTTTGGTTGTTCTGTTATTGTTTGATTTCCATAGATATGCCACACTATCATTCATAATTCTTGAGAAACAGCCATGTTAAATGTAATATTATTAACAGATTTTGGCGTTGATCAAAATCTTATTTATTTCTGTTCTTGATTATCAACTTGTCCACCTTCTCTCTCACCATAGATTGCTGTTTTTATCTCCTAATACTTTGATTTTCATTTGTCAGAAAATGCAGTTGGAGAAAAAAGAGGATTCATTTTCATGACTTTATGTTGGATGTCCATAGATGCTTGCGAGTAAGAATGCAATTCTATTATATGGACTTTTATTTGTCATGGACTGAGAAATATTTTCTTACTGGAACATAAGCTCTGTGTTTGGCAAAAGTGTTATAATTAAAATGTTTAACCAGAAAAAAATACATACTTAGAAAGTATATGTCTTCCCATCATTATAAATGTAGATTACATCATCAAGTACAGTAGCACATTTGGTAGTTTGGCACACCATCTCCTGGATGGATGAAATCCAAGCAGAGACAGTACAATTGGTTTTCATACTTCAGGATTAGTAGCTCTTTTTTTTTTTCAGTCATTTGATCTTTGCACACCTTTGAACAAAAAATTCATTTTATTCTGGATATTTGTTGCATTGGTATTAGGTATTATACAAATTCCAGATTAAGGTTAACATGAATGTTTTATAATTTCTCAGAAGCACAAGGGTGTAGAAGATCCGCTTGAAGTGGTTGCAGGAGAGATATCCGATGATGCAATCTTGTTGTGTCTGGATGAATTCATGGTAGAGCACTAGCATTTACAACTGTGATTAGAAATCATCTCTGATTACTGGTACTTTTGTTGTACTGATTGTCTTGCGGTCTATCATAGGTGACTGATGTAGCTGATGCATTAATATTAAACCGTCTGTTTAGACATCTATTCAACAACGGTATTGTAAGTAGTTTACCTCCATTTACTTTCTTGTGATCGTAGTCTTTTATACATTGTGATTTTATGTATTCTCTAATTAAAATAATTCTATTTTTCCTTCTTTTTTTTTCATTTTTGGTGTGTGGCAAGTGTAGATTCTTGTTTCCACCTCCAACCGTGCTCCAGATAAGCTGTACGAAGGTGGACTACAGAGGGATCTTTTTCTACCCTTCATTGCGAGTTTGAAGGTATGTATCTGGATGTGGTCTCATTTGCTTGTTGTTCGGTTAGTTCAACCCTGTGATATTAGTATATGTTGGGCACAAAACAAGATAAAATGTGGCCAAGCTACTTGTGGCATGACTAAACCTTTAGTTGGGTTTTATTTTGTATTAGAAAAACCTGTCTCATGTATGCAGTTTTTTGGAGTGTTGCGTCCGACAGCAATACTCGTGTGTCCTGCCCTCCTAGTGTGTTATTTAGTTTGCACTTCATAACAAGGGAATTTTTTGGTTGTAGGAAAGATGTGTAGTTCATGAAATTGGTTCGGCAGTAGATTACCGGAAACTGACTTCGGTGAGATATCAAGTCCACTAAGATTTGTTACCTCCACATGTTCAGGTGATTTTGCCTAATGTTTATAAATTTCTAATTTCATGTTTGCACCTTAACTACAGGCTGAGCAAGGTTTCTACTTTGTTGGCAAAGATTTGTCAGGCTTTCTGATACAAAAGTTTCAACAATTGATTGGGGAACATGAAGCTGGTCCACAAGAGGCAGAAGTAGTAATGGGAAGGACCTTAAAGGTACTTTCTTGGTTGCCTTTTGGTGAGGCATGTGAAGAGAATATTATATAGTCCTGTTGTTTTTTGGATCTGACAATATTTTTTTAATTGCCATCAGGTTCCACTAGGTGCTGATGGAATTGCCTATTTTCCTTTTGAGGAACTATGTGACAGACCTATGGGAGCTGCAGATTATTTTGGATTGTGCAGTAAGTAAAAACCTAGCAGATTGGATTTTTTTATGCATATTAGCATATTAAATTAATTCTGGGAAATGCCCTTAAATACCACTCTTACTGTAGCAAGTTCTCAAATAGCACTATTACTATAGCAAATTGACAATATCTACAGTTTTGACAGAATGCTGATACTTTATTTATGTCATATCAAAACTATTTGGGGTTGTTTGCTATTGAAATATGGATGAATTTCGACAGCATATCGAGATGATATCGATATAATGGGACTATTTACTAAAGTGATTGTGCTATTTGAGAACTTTACTACAGTAATGGTTGTATTTGAGGGCATTTCCAATGAATTTTAGATAGTTGAGATATGGCACTGTTGGGGTGAGACTTGAGTAGGGATGCAAAGCAGTATTCAGCACTCGTGCAGTCCTACATTAAAAGTAGGAGCTTCATGATACGAATCTGGATGATAAATTAGTACATATATCCTTATGAACCTTTATAAAAAAAGGTTTTGCTTGGATGCACAAAGATATGGATTGAAATATTTGCTTAAATTTTGGGTCTTATTTATTGGATCCCCAGTAGTTTGTGCAACCAAATTTGTGGAGTTATCTTGTCCTTGTGACTGTCAAACACCCTACTCTTTTGGTAGTTCAAGAATAATTTTGTCTAAAGGTTCTTCATTTTCCTTTTACAGAGAAGTACCATACCCTGGCATTGGAGGGCGTCCCAATATTCGGACTCCACAATAGGACAGCAGCATATCGGTTTGTCACTTTAGTTGACGTATGTTCCCTGTTTCTTCATGATTAGTTTGCCTGTTTTCTTTACAACTTACTTTTGGACTTCATACTTCTGCAACCAAAGCATTTGGGAATAAGATTTGTTCATATCCTTGGTTAACCTCCGCTGGATACTTTTGTAACTGCATTTGTTTTATAGCTGATTTGCAGAAAGGAGTTTATTTAATTTGAACTGATTGTGGAAATAAGACATTCATTTCAGTCTACAAGTGTCGGATAGATAGATTTAGTGCTTTTGTAGTGTATTATCATTCTTAACAAGTTCATTAAATGCACAAATTTAATTATGCTATCATCTGTTGTCTACTCTCCCATTGAGATGTTGAAATAGTATTAATGCTTTTCACCAATGCGGTTACAGGTGATGTACGAGAACAAGGCCAGATTGTTGTGTACAGCTGAGGGAACTCCATTTGAACTCTTTGAAAAGATTGTGACGATCTCTGATGCCCAACAAATGGCACCTAGAACCTCTTCGAGGTCAAGGAAAAATGATGATTCTGGGCTGTGTGTGGATAATGAATTGGGTTTTGCTAAAGACCGCACCATTAGTAGGTATGTTACTCTGCAGAATCAGTAGTAGGAATTTTTTTTTAATACAACGTATGATGATATATGATATTTAATATGGTAACTATGAATTTGGAACTATATTTCTACCAGTCTCATTTGCCTGTTATTGCACATTAACATGTCCTCTCTAATTCATGACAATTCATAATTTTCTCTTAAATATGCATTTCAGTTAGATTTAATTGTCAGGTCAATATTCAATCAATTCTCTTGGTTTGGGTTGAAGGGCGTGGAAGGTCTGGTGTGTGTACTATGTGTTTCGAAACTTTGTTTCATCGAAAAATCTTTTTTTGGTTTGCTTATTTTCAGACCTGCTTTAGTCTGATTCTAACCTTTTACAACCTGCTTTTGTCCTCTCTTCCAAATACAAAATCTTGATATTTATACGGGACTGTATCGATGATTACCTAAGCACGTAAGAACTTGTTCTCTGTGGTCAATCTTTGTGTTCCTAGGTCATAGATAAGTAACTGAAACTAAGCAGCTTATGTTGTAGTGTAGGATATCGAGCTACAATTATCATAACAGTCTTACCAATTCTATTATCTTTTATATATAACCTCCCGGAAGAATTGGGAAGGGAAAGGAAGAAAGCACTTGTGAATAAGTCTATTTGCATTTTGTATTTAGGTTGTATGAGTAGTTAATTTGGGTCTCTCTTTATTTCTTTCTGTTGCAAGTACTGATTCTGAAACCATGAACGCAGATTAACAGAGATGAATAGCAAAGAATACTTGGAGCACCATGCTGCAACGATTGGAGAAAAGAACTCACAGGAAGGTGCGATTCACGATAAAACCGTGCAAGCATGATGCAGCAAAAAGATCCAACATCTTCTAAGTCCATCCAGTTAACCATTGGTGTAAAATTGTGTGATTACATGTTAGCAATTCACCAGGTTTAGTGAGGGGTTCCTAGTTAAAAATAGGATTCACTAGATCTATTTTTTTAGTCTGTTCAATAAATGTAAATCTCATTTGCCCTTATCATAAACGTTATAACAAGCAACAGTTCTACTGGTTGACGCCCCTGTTTTTATAATAAGGCTCTGAAATTTTGAGGCTTGATTATTTTCATGCAACGTGCAGACCCTGTCATTGAAGCAGATTTGTTTCTGAGCTATGGAACTTGGTTGTGAGAATTACTAAAGATATAAAGACATCGAGAAAAGTAGAAGAGTTGAGGATGACATATTTTCTTTGTAGCACTCTCTTGTTTTGTTTATATCCCGCTTGTCTTTATTATATTTCCCTTGTTTTGCATTGTTCTTATTATATTTCCAAGTTCCAAGCAATATCAGCATCCACATCACTTAAGGAAGTCTTTTTAATCTTTATTTTCTGGTTTTCTCGAGTAGACTTCTAGTCCAAAACACGTAAACACTATTATAGTTGTATTATTATCTTGCTAAACTAACTATTATCCTCTCTTTGAGCACTTAGTTTATAGTTAAATATTTGCCATATAGAAATAACTAGATGTTAGTTAAGGAACCTCTGAGTTCAAGAAACCGCTAAATTTTGTGCCGGTGCCCCGTAAGATTGTCCTTTTTGGATTTTAACTAGTTCATGCAACGTGGATTTTGGGAAGCAATGAAAATATTTTGTGTTGTGCACTGTTATGGTTTTAAGTCAACTTCATGCGCACCCCATATTTAACTACCTTGAATTATCTAGTTCAAACTTGCTTGGGTTGCCCCTACTATAGGCAGATGAATGTAGCTACTGGCCTATATTGGAACAACCCAAAAAAATAAAAACCAACTCCTTTTTGCATGGAGGGAAAGAGCATTACACACGCATCTTTGAACCATCTCTACCCATGCAATATTGATAGGATCAAGTTCCCTATCAATTGGATGAATTTGGTACCGGAAAGAGGGAAATAAGGCAAAATATAGATCTCTTCGAGAGGATCTAACCCCCAAAGCTTAAAGATGTTTTTACTTTAAAGCTTCTCCAACTGATATTTTTTTTTGCCAAGTGGACAAGAAAACGCGTGCGCTCCAACCAAACGCTATATCTAACATAGATATGAACAGCAAGAGAGGGAAATGTGTCAAAAATGATGCTATCAAACTCAGGCGTCAGTTCAATTTTGTGATTATAGAAAATTCGAAGATTTTTGGTGTGGAGCTCCTCTTCAGTTTTAAAGAGCCAAACAATTCTCGTAATGCTCTAAATATAGAAAAAAAAAAAAAAAAACCATCTACAAATAATTATAAAGATAAGAGTCCCACACCAAATATAGCAAATAGCAATATAGAATCCTGGAAACAGCAATAGACACCAATCGATAGCCTATTGGATTTGGAAATACAAGAAGGACGTATTGACCCAACAACTCATTACCCAAAGCCATAATAATTCTAACATGCAAAAAGGGTTAGTTTCCTAAATTAAGAAAAAATTAGTCATTTTTGGATAATGATTTTTATTCTGAGTAATTCCACCCTAAAACCCAAAAGCATTTTAGGGGAAACCCAAATCTAGATCTACCACCTTCCCACCCCACCCCACCCCAATGCCATGCCACCAGAGCTCATGGTGGGGGGAGCAATAACTGCTGATGATGTTCATCATCCTGAGTTATGTGCTTCTGTTTTTGTTCATATAGGTTTTGGAAAATAATTATTTATTCTCATTGCTTTAATTCCTCTTCTGGTTTAGGCATTCTCTGGCAGGCAACCAAACCCTCTGGTAATCGCATGGTTTTGGCTTTTTCCTTTTCCAACCATTTAATTCGTGTGTATATATATATGTGTGTGTGTGTGTGTGCCCCCATCATCTTCTTTGTATGTACATATACATGTTAATATTCATTGCCAATGGGAGCAATTAATAATACAATGTTCCAATAATACTATGTATAACTTGTATGGCCTTTTCTTTTGGTCCATTCTTTTGTTTCATTTCTTTTGAATGAAATTGTTCTTTCAAATATTAAATACCATAGCCTAATTAGGATTATTGTGTATATTTTTGTGTGATTTTGAAATGAATTTTTGTTCAATTTTGTTGTTTGATAAAGATCAATACTTGGGGGTGAAATTGTTTTGTTAGTGTTTTCTTCAGTTTGTTCGGAATTGTTGCTTTGGGTTTAGAGATTATATATATATATATATATATATATATATATATATTCTCCTGAAAGGGAATGGCAGCAGGCAGTCAGCAAAGCTTAAGAAAAGCTTTGAAAACTGTTGGATTGGCAAAAGCCAATGGCGATTTCAAGGTAATTAATTTTACATCATGCAACATCATGGTTTATGATTGATAAGTTTTGAAAGGGATATTTCATATACGTGCTAATGCAGGCACTGGATGTTGCCATTGCCAAGGCCACAAGTCATGATGAAGCATTGCCCAAGGAGAAACATGTTTTAAGTATGTGAAACTTCTTTCTTCCTGGCCAACATGCATTTTCTGTGGAGTTTATATGTGGTTGTCGTTCGGTCGTATACAGTTTGATCCATTGTCTGCAAATTCCAGTTGATAGCGAAATTGACCGTTCAATTTTTCAGTACTTTTTTTCTTTCTTAATTGCACGGATAAAATGCAGGGAAATATTGCAGCAATGAGTGATTTCAAGTATCTAATATATGTCGATACAAAAAATGACAAGTTTATTATGTATAATTTTGAATGATATACACATTTGCTTTGTTGAGTTGATTTCTGAACAAAATTCAGTTCCAAAAATATTTTATTTATGGGCTATTGCTTTGAGTTAATCATTGTGTTCTTCTGTTGCCAGCTATACTAAATGCAGTTTCGGCATTTAGACCTCGTGCTGAAGCTGCTTACTGCATCCATGGTCTTGCAAGGCGTCTTAGTAAGACTCACAATTGGAAGGTATGTCCCTGATGACCTTGGTTCAATTTTCTTTTTACTAGAGCAAGGATATTATACAAATACTAGAGCAAGAAATGGAAAAAAAGAAAGAAGAAAAAAAAGGCCATGCAATTTTCTTTATTCAATACCTACTTTTTAACTTCTCGTTCCCTACTGCTGATAAGATTGTTTTATTACTTATATTGCTGCTGCAAACTCCATATGGTTCTTGTTTATGATCTCCCTCTGAAAAGGACATCCCCTTATTTGTTAGTATATGATACAAACAATCTCAGCTTCCAGTGTATGCCTAGGTAGCACTGAAGACCGTGATTATTGTACACCGTGCTTTGAGGGAAGTTGATGACACATTTTGTGACGCTGTAGTCAAATATAGCTGGAGTAGAGGTCATATGCTGAATTTATCTCATGTTTGGGATGGATCAAGTTCAAGTGGTATGATTCCTTCTGAAATCTTTTCTTTCAAACAAGGGTTTTTAGTAGCGGTAACTGACTATGGAGGTATATTTGGCATGAAGCATTGGATTTTTCTGCTTGGGTGCGGACGTATGCATCATACCTTGAAGAGCGTCTGGAGTGTTTCCGCGTATTGAAGTATGATGCCCAGAAAGATCACTCGGTATGAAGTTTGAATTGGAACTTTATGTGTAAGCAATTTAATTTTTAGGGTAAACCAACTATTGTTTAGTATGCGCTTTATGCATTGGTTTTAAACGTATTAACTTATGACCAACTCAAAAAGAAAAGGCATGTAGCCCTTCTGTTCTGGCATAAGGACTCATAAACCCTGACCATGTTATATTGGTTTCATGTTGTTTCTATTCTCTTTTCATATTATGGTCGGTTGTGTTATGCTGTTTGGAATAAAGGGTCTGATATCTTTGATATATTTTCCCCAGAGAACTAAGGAACTTGATACCCCAGACTTATTAAGGCAATTACCTGCCTTGCAACAGCTTCTATCTCGCCTTCTTGATTGTCAGGTGCGAACCCATGTTTTTCATGTAATCGTGATTTATCCTCTTTGAAATTTATGTGCCATCGTCATCTTCTTTTCCTCTGTGTTTCAACCTTTATTTTTTTTTACTTTTCAGGCTATATTGATTGATTTGAAGTTGTATTTCTTGTAATCTTATTGGTTGTAGTTGTATCATTTTGGTTTTGTTCTGTTGAAAATTGATGGGAATCTTTTCCAGCAATTTTATGCATCTCACCCTTATATATATGTTTCTTCTGTGGAATCATGTATACATATAAAGATCTAAGAATGCCTTATAATTACTGAAAAACTGAAGGTGTCCTATTTTGCAGCCAAAGGAGGGAACTGTATGTAATTGCTTGATTCAGTTTGCCCTGTCAATGGTAAGAATTATCAAAACCTATAAGAATTACAATAAAAAAGACAAAAGAAAAAAATAAACTAACTTAATCTAGTACCATTTCAAACTAACCTCCTTACGGTGTTCCTCCATCAGGTTGCTGGTGAAAGTGCTAAGTTGTATGCTGCAATTACTGATGGCAATGTCAATTTATTAGACAAGGTGGGTTGTGGTTTTTGTCTGTGCAACATGATGGGCGGTTCCTAGCTTCCAAGAAACATCAATGTATCACTCACTTTATTTTCTGGCAGTTCTTTGAGATGCAGCACGATGATGCAGTTAGAGCACTCGAAATTTATAAGAAGTCGAGAAGCCAGGTATATGTCATCTATGATACATTGCTTATGTTGTCATAATATTGGTTCCTTGAAAGATCTTGTATCAAATTTATATTCAACATTGGAAACTTTATGTTACTGCAGGAAGAGAGGTTATGTGAGTTCTTTGAGATCTGCAGGAGCTTTAACTTTGGACGGGCACTGAAATTCATCAAAATTCAACAGGTTGGAGCTTTTAATGTGTCCATGTAGTTCTGTACTTGTTAGTGCCCTTCAATTGGGTTGTCAGTATGGGTAACAT